CCCTTCAGCAGAGTGATTGGGTTAACCCACCAGATATTATCCTTTTAAGAAGAAGAAAAAAAATAACTTTATTAATCCCCGAAGGGAAATGCAATTGCCTGTTGTCGTACTTGACATGTTTCTAAAAGTTATCTACGATTTACACAAGAGTTATAAAGTCTGATGGCTGTTGGTACAAATGATCTTCTGAATCTTTCTGTCCTGCAGTGAAGAGAGAGGAGCCGTCCACCACCATTGGCCCTTTGGTCCATCAAGTTGTTGTGAAGTGGATGATACATGTTCTTTAGAATAGTCTCCACCTTCTTCAGTGTAGATCTCTCCACCACATCCTCCACTGAGTCCAGCTTGAGTCTAACCACAGAGCCAGCCTTTTTCACCAGTTTGTTAAGACGTCTTGCATCTTTGTGTTTGATGCTTCCTCCCCAGCAGACTGTAGCGTAGAACAGAACACTTGCCACCACAGACCGATAAAACATCTGCAGCATCTACTACTGATGTCTATTGATCAGAGCCTTCTCAGGCAAAAGAGGCGGCTCTGCCCCTTTCTGTAGATGTAGTCTATATTCTTAGACCAATCCAACTTATTATCCAGGTGTACACCTAGGTATTTTTATGATGTCACCACTTTGATGTCCACTCCACAGGTGTTCACTGGCTGAAGAGGGGGTTTGGATCTACAGAAGTCTATGACCATCTCCTTTGTCTTTGAGGTGTTGAGGAAGAGGCAGTTTTTGTGACTCCAGTCACTGAAGGCTCTTATCAGATCTCTGTATTCAGCTTCTTGTCCATTTCTGATACATGCCACAATAGTGGTGTCATCTGAGTATTTCTGGATGTGGCAGGACTTAGTGCTGTATTTGAAGTCTGACGTATACAGTGTGAACAGGAATGGCATCAGCACTGTCCCTTGTGGAGACCCTGTACTGCTCATTAATGTCCCAGAAACACAGTTCCCCAGCCTGACAAACTGTGGCCTTCCTGTCAGGTAATCTGTGATCCAGGAAACACAGGAAGGATCCACTCCCATCTCTGTGAGCTTGTCTTTGAGTATGGTGGGTTGGATGGTGTTGAATGCACTTGAAAAGTCGAAGAACATGATCCTCACATAAACCCCAGGTTCCTCCAGATGAGACAGGGCATGGTGAAGCATGTAGAGGACAGCGTCATCCACTCCAATGTGTTCTTTGTATGCAAACTGCAGGGAGTCCAGTTTGTCTTTGACCTCAGACCTCAGAAGGCATAGAATCAGCCGCTCCAGGGTTTTCATGATGTGTGAAGTGAGGGCCACTGGTCTGTAGTCATTGAGTTCAGCAGGACATTTTGTTCTTAGTACTGGCTCAATGCAGGATGTTTTCCACAGAGTAGGTACCCGCCCCAGCTGTAGACTCAGGTTGAAGATCCTGTGGAGAGATTGACACAGTTCTGAAGCACAGTCTCTAAGCAGCCTTGGACACACACCATCTGGGCCAGCTGCCTTCTCAGGACAAAGTCTTCCAAGCTCCATCCTCACCCCTGTTTCTGTGACAGACAAGAACTGGTGTTCTAGGAGGGAGGCAGTTGAAGTAGATGAGACATTCAAATGAGATGGAGGAGGAATGGGAGAAGTTATAGTGGAGATTTGTTGCGGAGAGGAAGATGAAGTAGCAGTGGAAGAGGGAGTGACAGCAGTGTCAAATTTGTTGAAGAACAGGTTGAGTTCATCAGCTCTTTCCACATCACCCACCACTGGCAAAATACCACCACTTTCTGTTGCTGTGTCCAGAGATGGAAGTGATTCCTCTCCACACTTCACGGATGTTGCTGTGTAGTAGATTCTTCTCTATCTTCTTTTTGTACTCCAGCTTTGCCATCTTCAGCCTCCTCTTCAACTCTTTTTGCACTGTTGTTGAGTCCTTCTTTGTCACCATCTTTAAAAGCTTTCCTTTTTCTGGTTAAGGATTGCTTTTATGCCACTTGTGATCCAGGGTTTGTTGTTGGGGAAACAGCGAACAGTCTTTGTCGGTATAACTGTGTCTCTACCGAAGTTGACATATTCAGTAAAGCAGTCAACCTGTTTGTCAATGTTCATACTGTCCTCATCTGTTTCCAGCAGCACATTCTGGCCCGTTGATTTAAAACCCCCTTAGAGCTTCACTGGCTTGAGGTGTCCATCTTCTGATTTTGACTTTGGCCACAGGCTGCCTCAGCACACGAGGTCTGTAACAGATCGGCAGATAGACCAAGTTATGATCTGACTTGCCCAGTGGTGGTAAGGCAGTGGCTCTGTGGGCCCCTTTGACGTTGGCATACAGCAGATCCAGGGTCTTGTTTTCTGTGGTAGGACAGTTCACAAACTGTGTGAATCCAGTCAGGTGAGAGGAGAGGGTGACATGGTTGAAGTCTCCCGATATTATTATTATTGCCCCCGGATGTTGAGTCTTTTAGCAGGGCAACACTATTATGCAAAGCGTTGCATGGAATTTCTTCAGTTGATTTGGGTGGAATGTAAACAACTACTGTTATGATATGACTGAATTCTCTTGAAACAAAATATGACCGAAATGCAACTGCCAACAGTTCAATATCTGGACAACACAACTTCTCCTTGACAGTTATGTGTGAAGGGTTACACCATCTCTGGTTGACAAATAAAGCAGGACCTCTTCCTTTCTTCTTGCCACTAGCTTGAGCATCTCTGTCTGACCTTATGAGAGTGAAGCCAGGTAGATCCATACTGGAGTCCGAGTTTTTTGGATTCAACCAGGTTTCAGTAAAACACAGGAAACCGCTTTCATGGTATGCTTTCTCAGTCTTCACCAAGATCTCCAGCTCATCACTTTTGTTGGGCAGAGAGTTGATGTTTCCCATGATGATTGATGGAAGAAAGGGTTTATATCGCCACCTCTTAGCTTTCAGCTTTCTCTTTAACTTTGCACCAGCACAGCAACCACGATAACACCTCCTGATGTCCACTGGAATTGTATGTTGTTGTCCAGATTTGCTTTTCCTCAATGAAAGGCGCTCTTCTCTTGAGTAAATTCTTCGCCCAGCAGAAGTATCCATCAGCAGCCAACAAAATTACAATAAAAATATGAAACAAATCTAGCAAAAAGATAATGCAGAGAGACCAGACTTGCAGCAACCTCTGGGTTCAAGTGCATCATTTTATGTAGAAGCTGCTAATTTGGATATCTCTAGCATGTGAGTTTGAAAATGTAAATAATACTTTCCAAATTAACAGAATTTACATCCATTTATTCTTGAATGCAAACATGAATTTGTGGAAATACAGCAATACTAGATTTTTTACTTCTGTACAAAAAGCAATTCCTCTCTTATTTGTACTGGAGTAATATTTGACCTGTAGGATCTGTACTTTGAGTCACTGACCCAACAACATGCAAACATTACAGTCAAACCCTGAGAATCAAAAAGCAGACTGACTGACAAAAATAATGATCACTAAACTGTTGATTTCAGAGGGTAAGTCAAGACTAGAGTAAAATGAGTCAATACAGCGGGCTGTGATAACCTAACAAAAGGACAAGGGATTGAAAAGATAATTTTTTACATACAGGAGACTTGATTATCTGCAGTTTCAGGACTGCACCTTTAAGGGTGTCCAAATCACTATAAAAAAAAGCTGGCTCTGTGGTTGGATTCAAGCTGGACTCAGTGGAGAATGTGGTGGAGAGAAGTACACTGAGGAAGGTGGAGACTATTCTAAAGAACATGGATCACCCACTTCACAACACCTTAATGGACCAAAGGGCCAATAGTAGTGGGCGGCTCCTCTCTCTTCGCTGCAGGACAGAAAGATTCAGAAGATCTTTTGTACCCACAGCCATCAGACTTTACAACTCTTATGTAAATAGTATGACTTTTAGAGACATGACACCTGAGATTACAGACAATTGAATTTCCCTTTGGGGATGGATAAAGTTCTTCTTATTCTTATTCTTATCCTGATAAGATTGTGACACAGAGAGTTCCATCCCATCACCAAACCCAGCAAAACATTATAAACACCTGGGCAACTTAATGCAACCTTGATACAACAGCTCTACCATGAATTCTACAAGGATAATAAAATAAAGACCACCTTTCAGTGTAACACAGTCCAGTATACCCACCATATCTCTAATAATAGATATACAGAAGAAATAATCCCCTGTTTGACCATGTCGGCAAAAAAAAATAAAAAAAAAATTCAGTAGCATCCTTAAAGGATCTGTAGGGGTTTTTATTTTTTTATTTTTATGAAACAGAGAAACAAAAACAAGACCAGCAGTGACAGGATGACAGTTCTTTTCTGTAATTTTTATTGACTAAAGCCAGCTTGAGGGGGTAAGTGTCAGCCAAGTAACTGTTTGTACAATTTCTACATTAGAGATTTACAATAAGTGATGTGCTTAAATGTCAAAAGTCAGCAGGAGGAGATTTTATTTTTTTTGTCAATAGTCAGTACGTAAGCATGTAGAAGACAAGATAAACAGAGACTGCTTTGCCACAGGGGATGCCAAAATTAACACAAACTGAAAGTTCCTCACAGGAGCTTTAAGGTTTGTGGTAGGCTACAGGTGACATACTGGATTACATTAGATTTCTCAGGCGTTGGTATTACTGATGGTTGGTTTATGTACTTTCCTCAATGAGATTTTCACAGCATTTATTCCGAATAACTGTTGTGTTCCACCAAATTTTTTAAGATAATGAAAGACAGTTTTGTTCGACTGAATTGATACAGGTCGGCAGCTAAGATCATGGCTTTGCTTTTAGGGGCAGGTCATCCAAAAGGAAAAAAAAGAGATTTACAATGATTAAAATTATAATGATAAAGTAATATAATTACTCTGTAATATGGCCTATTGTAATAACCCATCTTGGATACCTTTTTCCCTATTTTAAGTCTGTTAAGATCATAGACTGTATAAGATGCCCCTTTCTGCTCAATAAGACACCAACATCTACATCCAATGGGGGGCAGTAAAGTCCGGTTCAGGGTACTGAAGGCAAACCTTGGAGAGGAAGAACAAGAAGAGAAAAGAAGAAGGAGGAAAGGACGGTGAGTGCTGTGTTTTGTTGACAGGCTGTGTTTTTGACGACTATAGCCATAGACGTTCAAACTAACGTTTCCCCAGCTGCCTCGCTAATCCGTCAGCTTTATTGTCAGATATTTAATATATGACCTGAAACAACTGAGTTTAATGTGTGTGATCGTTAAGTCACAACTGGTTCAGGTATCGTCCCATCTATCTCAGGGATACATACAAACCCAATGAAGGAGTCCACAGGTTAGCTGGCTAATTTTAGCTCTGAGGTGGAAGCACTAGAGGATAAAATGCCCTGAGAGTAAGCTAACTTAAGTATTGACACGATGTTTGAAAGGAGCACTAATGCAGACAAAACCAGCTCTGTTCACACATCTGATCAGTCTGACACAGCTCTGATCTGAAGGCCAGCTGCCATCAGGGTTCACATGGACCAGGCCTGCATGTATCATGCAGCTCCTATCAGCTGGTTTAAATTAATCACAGCAGACTGTGTTGATCTGGATCACTTAAAGCTGGTACCTCTGGATCACTGTAGACTGTGTGGATCTGGATCACTTAAAGCTGGTATTTCTGGATCACTGTAGACTGTGTTGATCTGGATCACTTAAAGCTGGTACCTCTGAATCACTGTAAACCCCTCTGTTACTGTAAGGCATTCTTTGTGAGAACTAGATACAGAAATCTCGAAGTCAGTTTTGGCAAAACTCTCATACAAGAAGGATCTCATGGAGACCAGGCATTAAATAAACCTCACAAAACATAACATAGCTTTTGGAATATGTAGATACGAAAGAATATTGCTATTCAAATTATAAAATGATGTAGACAGAAACATGATAATTCAGCCTGGTCAACTTGAGCTAACAGGTATTTTCCTCCATGTACCAGGAAAGCCATCATTTGCTCCATTTACACATATGTCAGATGGCCGTTTGGTGAGGGAGTAGTTGCACAGAGGTCTTGCCCACATGTAGAGAATAAGCAAACACTTCTTCTTAAGCCTTCTTTGCATATTTATTTTATAGATATCAGAAAAATCCAGTATCTACCTTCGTAGAATGCACTAAATGCAGCTCAAGAGTGTGCAATCCAACAAGGAAACCACATATTAACATGATCTAGCAACTTCTTTGGCACATTGAAATGGACAGAGGCCAAGTGTAAAACCGTTCTGGGGTTTAACCAGTCAAAATATCACATACTTTTTGGACCTCTTATCAGCGCACAGTTCATGAGCCAGCCTCCATGATTGAATGGGGAGGCTTAAGTGTCCATGGCATGGGTAGCCCACACATCTGGGAAGTCTCTGTAAATGCACGAATGCTAATCACATCCGTCTGCAGACTTGTCACACACTTAAAAAACATTTGTAGCATCATCACACACACAAAAAAAATGACAAAGGAGACCCTGAACTGTTGGGCAGCTGAAACTCTGTCTCAGGTAAGAATGGGACAACATTTCCCTCCCTAAGTCCAGAAACTGGTCCACTTCATTTTCAGTCCTTCACTGAGCTCTGTTAAAGGAAGAGGTGATTCGACACAGTGGTAAACAGGACCCTGTCCCAGCTGTTTTTAAATGTGTTGTTGGTTTCAAATTAAAATTGGCAAACATTTTTGTCAAACATGAACATTTTTCAGATTCAAATAGTGATTTTTATGTCTTTCCACTAAAGGTTTTAATGATTTGTGCCCCACAAACATGTTCCCCAGTGTCCCAGTTCTCATGGTTAAGTAAAAACAGTATCACAGCTGAGGCTGCTGTGATGTTGTTCTGAATTTCGGCCTCTTTTCCTCACATCACAGCAGTGCTGATTTTCAGTTTCACTCTCTCCCATATAATATTACCAAATGAACATGACACCACATGGATAATCAAGTCCGCTGAGACCATTTTAGAGGTGAAAGTATGTCCTCTCACTGAGTTTTTCATCAGCTGAGGTTTCTTGTAGCCTTGTCTGCTGACATTTTTACACCTAAGGTCAGATGTAACTCTCCATTTCTTCAGGTTAGGATATTACCCAATTATGGCACACATTGTGATTGGACTTTGTAGAGATCCTTCACCCATCACTTTTTAAAACAATAATGGTACTTGGAGTACTTTGACTTTGAATAAGTTGTTGAGGATTTTAAAGGCAGCTTTTCTCTGCAGAAACACTTTGTACGGATAAAGATGACGACTTCATGGAGTGACCGGCTGCAGAACTATGCTGACCTTCCAGCAAACATGGATGGTGTGGCCATGAAGAAGTACCGCCGTGAAGCTCACCATAGGTTGGTGTCAGACTGATGAGAAAATTTAAGTATGAAAATGAACAATAATACCAATGGATGTGAAGTTTGCAGCACCATGTCCCCGCTTTTTCAGGTCTTTCCCAGCCATGAACAGTAATTTTGTGGTTGTCATGAAGTAGTTGAAAGACATAGAAATAGAAATAGAATTACGACTTGATACAGGTTTAGTGTGTTAGCACTAATAAATTCATTTGGATAAATCTGTCATATCCTAGATTAAATCTACACCTGCAGCCAAATCAAAGAAATCAGTTTTTTTTCTATCAACACCATTTCTGTCTTCTAGCTCTGATTTAATCTCTTTTTCCCAGCTTGTGCACATTTGACAGTTTTAATATTCTTATTTGAGGAAATTCTCCTAACTACCTTTTAAATGGCAGCTAGTGCTCCACTTTCAAAAGTTGTTTTGTTAAATGCGTCACAAAGAATGCAAACATATCTGGATTGTATGTGTAATTGGTCTGCCCATTTCAGCTCACTTAAAGCTTTGTCTTGTTTTTTTGGTTTCTTTGTTGTTGTTGTTGTTGTTGTTTTTGTCTGTGCTGCTTTGTCTTTTGTGTGTAACACTTTTCTGTGAAGCTTTTAAGTTAGGATGTCTTGGTGTAGGGTCATCTGAGTCATCCGTCCATTTTCAGTGTTCCCTCTTCAGCTCTTTGGGAAAAAAAACTACTCCAAATGTCTCTCCAAGTACACAAGAGAAAAGTACTTTAAACTGGAGTTACATAGTGTTTTAGTGGTAACACTAACAGGCATGAATCCAGTGATAATACAACATGTATTCTCTATTACAAAGCTTGCCAAAGGATCTGGCACAAAACCATCCTGCAATGAGGTATGATGTCCTTTTGTTGTTGAAACAAACTACTGACTAAATGAGTCTTCAGTTTGATGTCCATGTGAATTGATTCTCCATCCAGCTCTCATGGGGCTCCATTTATACTGACACTGATTGTGAGTTGGATTTCTCTCATTTTGGACAGCAGCTGCTGGTTGTCGTGTTTGTTAAGTGTGAGCTTGCTCTGTTGCATTTCTTTTTTGTACATCATCTTTCTTTTAATCCTCATTTGTTACAGTCAATCTGATTTTATCTCTCACACCATCTGACCAGTGTGCAGTCTGAGCAGAGCTACAGATTATATGTTAGGGGTGCATCGTGTATTTCTGTATTTGGGCAATCACAGAGCACACCTACAAAAAATATTCCTTTTCCAAGTATTAATTTATACAACAGAAAAAAATGGAGTGAGAGCAGTACACATTTGAAAACTCCAATAATTGCTTTCTTTTTGGCTTGTCCCATTGACTTTATTGCAAAAAAAAATTTTAGCAGTTTTTTAGGACTTACATCATGAAAAATTCCTACACAATAGGGAAAGTAATGGCACACCAGTAAATAATTATTCCTACAACTCTTTAAAATGAAGGATGAGTAGCAAATAGAAATTTGTCCGTAAGAAGAATAAGAAAAAATCCACAGTGTAACAATAATGCCTCTGTGCATTCACCCCATGGCCCCAAGTATTAGTTTTAATCCCAGTTGAACTCCTCTGCTTTGGTTTTATGTTCAATCCTGCCTTACTATGATGCGTTTGTAGTCAATTAACCAAACTTATTAGAATTACTCTGATAATGAAGACTTGGAAGAGTGTTTTACAGTAGTGGACAGAATATTGGTGTTATCAAAAAAGTACCCACTCCACAATGGAAACATACCTCTTGGTTAGTAAATGTCCTGCAGTGAAATGTTTTTTTAGTGAAGTATGTAAGAAGTATCAAAACTCAAAGTATCACACTCAGTAAAAACTGAGATTTGTTATGAAATGTGCTTTTAAATCCTGATACAGTGATATAATTAATGACTGTATTCATGTAGGAGCAGGAATGTAAAGTAGCCTACTCAAGGTGCTCCAATTAGTACTTCTGAGGAGTTGGAGCTGGTTTAGAAAGATTTTGTCTTTTGTTTACTGCAAGGGATGGGGATCACATAATAATGTTTTATTTCCAACTTATTCTGGTTTTACAGACCCGACCATGAACACCTCACAGTCACACCTTGAACCTCCTGATCCACTCAGCCACCAGCACAACTGACCACCAGAATTCTTCTTTGTGTACTCTAATATTTATTTGCTGCTCTAACACTTGATTAGTTTAATCAGTGTGTGTGCACCATTGATTTAATTGATTTAATTAACATGAGGCAACCTCTCTCAAAGTGTAACGTTATTTCACAGGACACTGAGGACTCAATAGTGGACTCCATAATAAGCTTAAATGTGATTGATTATCAGGTTTTGACGATTGCTTTGTGGGGTGTTTAATGGACATGGTTGTTGATCCCCATCCCTGTTGACTGCAGCCTGATGTGATCTCTGTTTTTGATCATCCTGCAGATATTTTCTCTGTTGTACAAATGAAAATGTAATGTTGTGAACCCATAAGAAAAAAACAAAGACTTTCTATGTTACACACTCTTTGAATACCTTTGTTAGTCCATTTTCATAAATGGTTCAGACTTTGATGATGTTACAACTCTCAACAGACATTAAGTTGAAATGTGCCTCCTCTAAAGTGACACCAAGATATTTCTCTCCAAAAGAAGCTTTCACAGATTTAATCACCAGCAGGTCTGCATGCATGTTAGTATCAATAATGACAATCATGTTGGTGATTGTTCAGTTTTGATAGGTCTATCCAACACAGTCTGTAAATTAGCTTTAGTTGTAGCTCTGAAAGCAGAACATTTTGAGGAAAAAATAACATCTGAGTGCTCAGTGAACACAGCGCAGCATTTCATTCCTCCTATATGCTGTCATTGAAGATTTAATCCTGCATTGTTCTGTTCCTCCAGAGTGTTTGTTAACCGGAGCTTGGCCATGGAGAAGATCAAGTGTTTTGGTTTTGATATGGATTACACTCTGGCAGGTAAGTCTAGTTTAATCCTTGGGGTATCAGACTTGATGAATACATACAGGAGCCTAAACATCACTGTGTTTTGACTCTGCATGAAAGATATGAGGATGTTTTGTCCACACCAGCAAAGATGTTAACAAGGTCAGTGTCATATTTCTCCATAGGTGTTATCTCCTCCTGAAAATGAGCCTTGATTTGCAAGTACCTCAAGACCGTATATTTTAGGGGTTTTGAGAAAGTGCTCCAACTCTCCTGCGGAGGAGGTTCAACGGTATGAAGTAATGCAAGCTTCATACCAGTGCTTGGACCTCCTTTTAGTCTTTGCTGGTCTAAATTCTGATTCTGAAACAGTTCATCTCAGCTGTCTAGACTTTCTCTCAGGTTGTGGTGATCTTCATTTCTTCAACCAGGTCCTGAGAGGAGCCCGAGTCCTTTGATTTAAGCTGTTCAGAAGCTTTTTTAAACAGGGTTTTACAGCCCAGTATGGGTTTTAACAGCATGTCTGACTGTTATGCTTGTAGTTCTTTCCACTTGGCTGTGTAATCTGGATTTCAGAAGCATGAGGGAGCTCTTGATGGAGCTGCCATATTGCAGCTGCAGAGTTTTGAATTCATGCTGAAATAATGCCTGAATCTGGTAGGTGTCAGTAGTGCAGCTGAAGAAACAGATTTTCAATTGTCCTCATTAAATATTCACCATAGATCATAAATTTGACTGTCAAAAATCAGCAGGGTGAGGTTTTTTGTCAAGTGACACTACTTCATTCTCTACAGTGCAGAGTCCACAACACACATTAACTTGGCACACAAGTTATGCAGCTGGTTTGAAATTGCCAGATTAGCTGATCTGGCAAATGATTACCTCACCTAGCCACATGGAACATTAAACATCAGGTTGGACCAGCTGTTTATATCGCCTCGCATCTGATCAGTCAATGTTGCTCAGCCTTCACCTCCATGTTTGTTTTCTGTTGTCTGTTCTCTGCTCTATCTCTTTCTACTTCTCTAGTGTATAAATCCCCTGAGTATGAGTCTCTGGGCTTCGACCTGACGGTGGAGCGGCTGGTGTCCATCGGATACCCACAAGAGCTGCTGAACTTTGTCTATGATCCCTCCTTCCCCACCAGGTCGGTTTACTAAATTGTGACATTCTGAATTCACTTTCGATCAGCTCACAATCTAACATCTTTTTGTGTGTGTGTGTGTGTGTGTGTGTGTGTTATCCTCTCTGCCTCATAATTTAGCTGTATTTTATCTCTCTGTTTTCCTCAGGGGTCTGGTGTTTGACACAACGTATGGCAACCTGCTCAAAGTAGATGCCTATGGGAATATCCTAGTTTGTGTGCATGGATTCAACTTCTTGAGGGGGTGAGCTCCACATGTTGCAGGGAGCTGTCCACACAGTACTGAACATCTGAAACAATGAAACCTACAACCTGAATTAATCTTTGGTTGATTCCACATCAGTTTTCTTAAAATAATCATAACTAAAAAAGCCATAGAGTGGCGGTGTGACACTTTGAGCTAACTGCTAACATCCCATAGCAATCAAGCATATGTAAGGTTGGCACAGTAAACAGTGTTTTTAAAAACTTGATTTAAGATGTTGGATGTTGAAGTTTAGCTAAGGCTAAAGAGGCTCTCAACAGTTTTATGTGTATTTGTTTGTAAACTAAAGGACAAATGGACATTCAGGAGGTCAAAGTCAGAACACACAACTCTGATCACCAAAGTGAGAAGGAAAACATAGAGTTACTGTCGGTGAAGCATGAGTCAAACTTCTGCCTGTTCTTGAACTTGTTACTCCTCTTTAACTTATTAGGCCTGAGATCAGGGAGATGTACCCCAACAAGTTTATTCAGCGAGGAGACACTGACCGCTTCTACATCCTCAATACACTCTTCAACCTGCCTGGTAAGAAAGCTGCAAGAGCAAATAGTCAAAAACTTTTTCAAGCAGTGAATCAGCAGTGTCTGATAAACCAGGATTTAGGAATCAACACTCAAACCATGTTTGAATCATTAAATCAAAATTATTCACGCAAACAAAATCTGAATAAATACTTAGATCCTGATCATTCAGAGGTCCTCACTGCTTTAGACAAGCATTGGCTAGAATCTCTGGCATTGCGTTGGACTGGTTCCTTGACTCTCTTTGAATCTGGCCTAAATGATTACATCTCAATGCGCTCTAATTGTGTTTCATGATGGTAACACTGAGGATACATGTCAATCCCAGGTTAAACAGAGCCTTGATTTGACTTTGATACTACTCTGGAGAATATTTCACCTGCAGATTATATTTAAAAAAAAGTCTGTGGACTGCAGCTTTCATGTAATGGTAAAAGTGTGCACCACATGTGTATTATTTATATATCATTATTTCTTTTCTTTTCCTCAGAGACATACCTCTTTGCTTGCTTGGTTGATTTCTTCAGTAACTGCCCCAGATACTCCAGGTACTGCATGCTCGTTGTTGATGTCGAGTTATTTTCTGATGGTAGGAGATGAATTAGGTTGGAATTGCTTTAGACAGTCTTACTCTGAACCTGTTGAATGATAATAATCATTGTAAGAGCTTCAGTGTAAGATCAGTGATGTCTCAGTGTGATCGCAGAGCCAGCTCACGTACCAAACTGTTCTCAAAATTGACCCTTAGAAGTCAGTATAACGCTGACATCGAACTGTTTTCTTAGCTGTGAGACTGGCTTCAAAGATGGCGACCTCTTCATGTCCTACAAGAGCATGTTCCAGGATGTCCGAGATGGTGTGGACTGGGTTCATTTCAAGGTAGACTCTTTCTTTCTTTCTTCTTTCTTTCTTTTTATTTTATTTCGAACATTATTTAATCAAATAAGACAATAAAATACAAATCAGGAAGAAAAGAAAACCAACAACAATGTCCGAAAAGGAGTAGGATGAAGTTTAAAACTTATCGAGCTCCTACCCCCCTTTTGCCAACACAAATTTCTTTACTGCATATACAATAGTTTAAATGACTGCAGTAGTATCAGGGATAAAATTATTCAGACCAACCCATTGAAAACTGAAAACAGGGCTGTGTTGACTCAATAGGTCAACACAGACCCTCCTCATCTGAATACCTCTTGAAAATAATATTTTTTTATGCCTTCTTGTAATTATTCAGGTTTGGACTTCGCTGAACCTCCATGCTCAGTCCATTCCACAAACTCACTCCACAAACTGAAATGCACATCGTTTTCAATGTTGAACCAGCAAAATGTACCTTGAAATTAAGCTCTCGTCTCAAATTGTAACCCCCCTCTTTATCACTGAACATCTTTTGTATATTACCTGGCAAAAGCCTGTGTCTTGCTCTAAACATAATCAGTGCAGTTTTGTATTCAACAAGGTCCATGAGCTTCATAACATGTGATTGTAAAACAGTATGTTATGAGGGATCCAGGTATCCTACCTTGTTAACAATTCTAATGAACTTTTTTCAGGCAGCTGTGAGCCATTTCCTGCAGAGCACTAACATCAGTGTTTGACTTGTTTCTCACAGGGCTCCTTGAAGGAGAAGACGGTTGAAAACCTGGAGAAGTACGTGGTTAAGGATGTAAGTTATCCAGCTGCTTGTTCATGGACATCTAGATTAAATACAACCGTGGGGTTCTTTGCTCAGAGGGGTGATAGAAAAAACAGAAAAACATTAATGCTCAGTTTTCCCTCCATTCAGCCAAAGCTTCCTCTCCTGCTCAGCCGCATGAACGAAGTTGCCAAAGTTTTTCTGGCCACCAACAGTGACTTCAAATACACAGAGGTGAGGAGAAAGCTTCAAGTGAAGCAGACTCTGCCTCTGTCATCTGGTTTGATGTTTTGGTGTACACTAATTGTAGAGGATTTCTGACACAGTGATTTTTTTGAAGCTGTGTTGGTTCCTTGGCCTTTGATCTACCCTAAAATACTCTCCTGTTCCATTACAGAAAATTATGACCTACCTGTTTGACTTTCCCCACGGCCCAAAGGTAACACCAAGGATTCAAATAAATTTGAATTGAACTGGCCCGGTTGAAAAACGATTGATGCAAATATGACATCATAGCACACAATCATAAAACCCTTCATTAGAGAAAAGGTGTGTGTGTGTGTGTGTGTGTGTGTGTGTGTGTGTGTGTGTGTGTGTGTGTGTGTGTGTGTGTGTGTGTGTGTGTGTGTGTGTGTGTGTGTGTGTGTGTGTGTGTGTGTGTGTTTAGCCGGGTACACCTCACCGACCATGGCAGTCCTATTTTGACCTGATCCTGGTGGATGCCCGTAAACCCCTGTTCTTTGGAGAGGGAACGGTGCTGCGGCAGGTCGACACTGTAAGTGTTTATGACTGAAGTCTGTGTGAAAAAACCCCTGCTCTTCTTGTATTTGCTTTATAAACAATCCAACAACTGCGTTTGTTTGTGTTGTTTTCTTTCAGACCACAGGTCGACTGAAGATCGGCACTTACACCGGACCTCTCCAGCACGGTATCGTTTACTCTGGAGGTAAACAAGGAGCTTGCTCAACTTTGGATTTAATTTTACCATTTCAGTAATCCATGATGTGCCTACAAGGGGAATTAGCTCACTGCATATGCATCAGACTTATCACTCCAGTGTCAAGTTGCAGTTGGTGATATACACATTGAGTAGGTGATTCAGTGCATTGCATGGTTTGAAGCCCAGAATCCTTCACAGATCAAAACTAAATCATAGTGAACATGTTGAATCAAAGTTGAAGTCAGAGTGAACTTTATTATATTTGCAGTTCTGGTCAGTGTAGAAACACAACAATGTACACTTTATCTGACTTTGAAATGGTCAAAATAAGGCACACTAAGTCAACATGTGGAGGTGAAAAGACAGACGTGTGTGTTTAAAACACTCGTTCAAGTTCTGGTGTGGACAGCATTAGTGCTTCCTCCATGTAATGGGATACTTTGTGTACTGGTATGTGGCCCCGTGTTATGCTCCCAAACCAGTTACTACAGGCAGTAATGCCACAACCATATCAGAATTATTCTGCTCCTTGCTTTTTAAGAAGGTCTTCATATTGTTGAAAAAAAAGAGTAAAATGCCATATTTGTGCACTCAGGGTCTTCAGACATTGTGTGTGACCTGCTGGGGGCTAAAGGGAAAGACATTGTTTACATTGGAGACCATATTTTCGGTGACATTCTCAAATCCAAAAAGCGTCAGGGCTGGAGGACGTTTCTGGTGATTCCTGAGCTTGCCCAAGAGCTGCATGTGTGGACTGACAAGAGCTGTGAGTTTACACACACACACACACACGCACACGCACACACACACACACACACACACACACACACATACACACATACAGGTTTAAAGTCCACTGTTCAAATGATATCAAGCCCAATCCTGTTGAAATTAGAGGAGAGACTACATATTAATAGATATATTCACATTATATGCATATATGAATTACACAAAATGTGACAGAACTTAATTTCCTTTGAATTTTCATTAGATAAAATGCTTCCAAGTAACCTGAGTGCTGGTTCTGTTTTCTCCAGCCATCTTTGAGGAGCTTCAGTCTCTGGACTGCTTCCTTGCTGAGCTTTACAAGTGAGTGTTGTGTTTGTTGTGTGGCTTTGTGGCCCGGCCCTTTTAAATGAGTTTATGTTCTTTCTTTGAAAAGGTACTGAGAGGAAAAAGGAAATAATTTTTGGTGCAGTTTCAGTTAGGATTCACTGGGGTCAACACCGTACAATAAATAGACTGAAAGGTTATGACTGTGAGGCCAGAGGTGTTCAGTTCCTGAGGGTTCCCTGTAGCCACTGTGTTTCCCAGCAGTTACTTTAAGTCTCTGCTGTTGCAGACTCTGAGTAACAAATACCATCTACTCCCCTCTCACTACTTCATCAGAATGAAATTCTCGGTGTAGTGTTAGACTGATGTAACCCTTACAGATCTGCTATAAATAAGTCTCAGTTTCTTATTTCAGTAAACAAACCTGGTCTGAGCTGTATGATTTGTTGTTTTGAGAGACAGAAATATCAAATTTAAAAACCCTGCATTGAAGGCTTTACAGTCTACAGCAGGAACTTGTTATTGGACCTGGTCCCACAGATCTGGCTACACGTGTGTTTTTTTCCTTAGGCATCTGGACAGCAGCAGCAACGAGAGGCCGGACATCAGCTCGCTGCAGAGACGAATTAAGGTGCATCTCCTTCTGAATGTTGAAAGTCTGCACATGTTCACAAAACATGAAGTCAGTCACATAAAGTCAAATAAGTGAAGCTCACATTTGCTCATCTTAACTCCAAGTCCCATTAGAGACTGCCGTTTTACAAGTATGCTGAGAGTAACCCTGATCAGGACCTTCAGAGTCTTGGATTGGACTCAGTGGTATTCAAGTAGTTTGGAGCAAGTGTGTGTTCACTGATGTTTAACAAATTTCATTCCCAGTAATTAGAAGAAAAAAACAATAGTAAGGTTAAATGTGTTTGTTACTTTGAGGTTAAATATCAACTTTTTTTTTCTTGATGTTCAAAGTGCTTTAGAAATATACAGAGATGATCTCAATAAACTGGTTCCACATAATACAGTCAAGAATAGCAGGAAGGAAATGAAATGCTTCCCTGCTTCTCTCTCCCTCTCTCCCTCCCCAGAAAGTGACCCATGACATGGACATGTGCTATGGTATGATGGGAAGTCTCTTCCGCAGTGGATCCCGGCAGACGCTATTTGCCTCCCAAGTGATGCGCTACGCTGACCTGTACGCCGCCTCTTTCATCAACCTGCTGTACTACCCGTTCAGCTACCTGTTCAGAGCTGCTCATGTGCTGGTCAGAACCACTTCTTTTCTCTCTGAAAGATTACTGAGACTTTAACGTGCGTGTGTGCGTGTGTGCGTGCATGCATGCGTGTTTTAAACCAGTGCCTCTCTTTAAAAACCTCTCCCTCACAGATGCCTCATGAGTCCACAGTGGAGCACACACACGTCAGCATCATCGACACAGAGTCGCCACTGGCCACACGAAACCGCCATGATGTTGACTTCAAGGAAATTGAGAGCAAACGACATCAGCTGACCCGGTCCATCAGCGAGATTCAACCCCCCCACTTCTTCCCCCAGGCTCCACAGGAAATCACCCACTGCCATGATGAGGATGATGATGAGGAGGAGGAGGAGGAGGAGGAGGAGGAAGAAGAATAGATGGAGGTAGACGATGGCAGGAGGCTGCAGATGAGCTATGGGGCTGTCAGAGTCGAGTCTGTAGTCCAGATCCACTTGTTGATCTGGTTTTTCCAAATGTCAATGTCAAAATTAGGAGAGCCGTACTGTGTCTGCTCATGGTGGACCTGGTATGAGGGACTGATGGTTTTAATCCGTCTGGGCCCTCTTAGATGTACCTGTCCACAAAAGGAATCAATCTGAAGCATTTGGCTGGTAGGATTTAAAAGGGTCAGGACTGAAGATATATTAAAAAAAACAACACCTTACTTGACTGGAGCAGCTGTTGCTTGGACTCCCTGGTTTTACTGAGGAGGTGTTTTTCTGCTTCTTTGTCGGGATCATGTAGGTCAGCAGGAGGCAGAGTTTGGTGTGCATTTCTTCATTTGTACTGTAATCATTTCACAGCCATGCTGCTTTAAAGCTGAACCCAGCTTTGACACATAAATCCCTATTGACCTGCAGAGCAACACTACTCAGATACTCTGCCTTTTTGGGGACCATGTTGGTTTTCGAGCTGTAAATTGTTTCCACTTTCAAAGAGAAAAAAGGATTTTCTTTTATCCTAGCAGACGTACCTCAACAGAGAAAATGGTTGTTGTTTAAAATGTGGAGATCATCCTGCCTTTTATTGAAACAAGTCTGAGAAATGTAAAAACAAAAGACTTTTGTAATGATGTAACTTAGTTTTTTTTTTCTTTTGATTTCAGCTGCTTAAACTGGACTCCGTTCTACTTTGAATTCTTATTTTCAGTGTAGCAGAGAGTTCAGTAACACTTCTGTGCTGATCTTGTGTCAGCAGGAAATCTTTCACCATATCGCATCCTGTTGGTTTGTGAAACCAGCTGAGAGTTACATCCCCTCCTCAGAAATCCCCTCACAGGGTTTTAAATATGGCCTCGGAATGAAAGCGAGGCTGTTACCTTCAAACTACTTCAAAGTTACTGAAGAGGAAATAAACAAAAATCAGATCCAAATCAGTGTTCACATGGTCTTCATCACTGTTACTGTGCGAGTCGATACTAGGCTGCTGCAGTGAGGACGAGTAAAAACCCTGTTTTTCTTAGATTTGTACCATGAGGGCTCAGCTGTTTCCATAAAAAAAAGAGTTGACTGAATGGAGGCATAATTCTGTATAAACAGAAAATCAGCTTCTAAAACAGCTGGTAAGAATGAGTCAAAAATTGGATTTGGATCGTATTTACTTTGTCCTTATGTTTTATTATATCTACAATTGTTTTATATATTGAACTAATCTTGAATCCTTTATTTTTAAATGATGGTTGTTATACTGAGTTTTGTCAGAATGTTAACCCCTCATTGAGGAATAACCCCTGTTCAGTTAAATCAGTGTGAAATCACTGTATGCTTTCTTCCGTTCTTAAACACAAAGTTTCAGTTGAAATCACATTTTCTAGACATCTTATTTTCACATCCTGTAAACATTTGTTTTGGAGTCTTTGGAGGACTTTAGACTTGTTTTTCATGCTGGTGGTCCTGCTGCTGTACTCTTTAAGTTGAATCTGATCAGACTGTCTTCAGTCCTGTTTGCTTTTAAAAGGCTGTTACTGTAATTTCATAAGTGGACTGCTCTGTCATTTAAAGAAACTGTGGGCTCTTCTCTGATGCATGAATATCATCCCACATACTGTAGACATGATTAAGTGTACTGAAGTATGCTTTACTGCTAATAAGGATGTTTGATTTTTCTGCATCTGTGCTACTGCCTGGACTTGAACAGACCTGTAATATAACAGGTTTGCTGTGGAAGTGTCACTTCCTCTCTGATCCATAGAGGGCTCACTGACTGAATCTGTTAATGTGCTGTTTGTAGGTCATAACCTCACAAAAGAGGCTTAGAGATTAAAACAGATGAAGCTGCCTTATCTTCCTTGGACTGCAGAGATGTGTTCGAATCCCCTTGTCATTTGAACGGTTCATTTTTTACCTATAGTCAGTCTTTCTGTCCCCACGCTCAAATGACCATTTGGATATTTGTCACACTGAGTCCTGGAGCAATGCGTGTTACTGAGCTGCTGTTAAAACCCTTCTTACAGAGTGGGCCGTGTTTTTGTGTGGACTGACTCAGATGGGAGAGATGATGTACATTTTTCATACTTTCATATTCAAATCATTTGAGAGAGGTGTTAAGCATGCTGGTTTTAATTAAATTAGATCTGCTAATCAGACAGCTTCAGGAGTCAAATAAATGGTTTCAATTTTTACCTGCAATAGCTTGTGTTGTGAAACCCTAAACAGACATGCATCCCTACATTTTAGCTCTGTATTCCCTTGATAACTCTATTTCAGTTGGTTTCCCTCAATTTAATTTTATCAGTCTTTAACAATTCAAATGTAAAAAAGAGGAAGTGATTTCTTCAGTGCAGGCCATGGCAGCCTTTGTGCACACTGTGGTCAAGACTCAGCACATCCTGATTATTGTTCTTTTTGAAACAAATTATACAGATCTCAAAATTAGCACCATAAATAGACATGTTATCAGGGTGAAGCAGAGTGAATAAATGCATAAATGCAGGTCCACATGGGGTTTCTCTGTCACTGCCTGTGATTCAGTTTCATTCCTTTCACTGTTAAATCTAAATTGTATTATTTAATTTGAAGCTGCTGCTGCAGATATAACGGTTCTTGGTCATGGTTTGTGTTTATAATAAATTTTTTGGTCTGCAGTTGTGTTTTTTTTTTTTTTTTTTCTGCCAAGTTACTCTAAAATTTTAGTATTCTAAAATTTAAACTCATGGAGGAGGTTAACTTGAGTCTCTTCTTTAGCCTGCTCTCAATCAGAAGCATGTGATCGTCCTTCTTGATTTTGAGACGTCAGCCCGTTATGTTTAGAGAGGGCTGTGTTGACCTTACTGTCGCTCACAACACTACACCAATGAAGGGGGAACATACAATACTGTTTAGCCTTTGACACTGCTCTGTAAGCTGTGTGCTGATGTAAAGTAAGGAATGTAATGGTATGGTTTTCATTAAGCTGACAGCAGAGGGAGCTGAAGGGTCAAAAATGGCTTTCAGACATAGAATTGGAAGCCCGGAAAAACATCTACATCATGTAAACCACTGCACTTGTTTATTCTGCACAGTGATGGACTGACACAAAGTTAAGAAAAAAATGTATTCTAGAGATAAAGGAATATAAATTCTCAAAGTAAAAATGAAAAGCATTTAAGGGATGTAATAATGAGAAAATAAAGAGTAAAGGAACTAACTTAAAAGTGTTTGAGAAAACACTTGTTTGCTGCTGTGTTGTTATCAAATGTGAAATTTGACACTTTATTAAAAAACATTTAGGTTTGACCAGTAGTAATTTGCATTTAAGTGAGATGAGAAGATGGAGTTAAATTCTCTGTGCTCTACTGCAACAACTCCTGCACTCACAGAAATCCTCCACTCTGATGCCATCAGCTGTCCCCAGTTTAAGTGGTTTGATATTGATCTCTGAGGTTCTGTGGCTGCTTGCAGGCATTCTGCTGAGTAGCCATATTGAAGGTCAAAGTGTTTTTTTTTTTTGTGTGTGTGTGTGTGTGTGTCCAGTACTGCCTCACACCCTGAGTCAACTCAAACTCAACATCATGGTGTGAAACACGTGCAGCATTAGCTCACAGGACTCGGTGGTGAGGCTTCAGGGACGCCGCCAGGGTCAAACAGCTGTTTGGCCTTCTGGCTGCTGATAGCTTTGTCCCATTTCTCCCCATCACATGTCTGAGCTGCTGATGCAGCCCATGACACTCACAGTCACTAATCCTCACCTCTGTGGAAGAATAGTCAATAAATGCTTTCCACAAATGTGCTTTGACTATGGAGTCTGAGGTACATTTCCATCTGATTGAAATACATTTGAAGGCTTACAAATTATTCAAGGCACATATTTAATATGTTATGTGCAAAAACAATAAATCAAAGGTTGGAAATGAAAATTTGGTCTTAGTTGATACAAGTATCAGGTTTCATAGCAGTTGTAACAGAGACAACAAAACAGTAAAAAAGTTTTATAAAGATAAAACAGCAAATAAAGGGAGATTAGGCGACAAAACTGCTTATCATTTCCAGAGTAATGTTGTAATTGCAATTCAGTGGATTTCACCATCTACAGCTCATAATGGCACTAAAAGAAGCAGAGAATCTGGTGGTCTCTGCACAAAGAGATCCAAAACTGATCTCAGGAGCTCAGTTTTAGATCTCAATCTCGGTTTGGATCTATTCAGGAGTAAATGACTCCACTACAGACACACACTGGAGACTGAAACAGAGAAATCAGCCTTTTAATGCATCAAGTCAGTGGTTGTGTAACTTCACTTGCACAGTACAGTTGAGTGAAATCTTGCCACACTCAAAGCCAACTACATCACATAAGGCAGTTTGACACGTGTTGAAAGGTTTTTACTCTTTGTACTGCCAAGATTCTCTCCATCCTTGAGCCACAAGGATTCTAAATCTCTGCCAGTACTTTCCCAGAATCCATCATCTTTGAACCTTCAAGAGAGTGAAATATCTCCCTGATTCATAGCTATCCTTTGAAAAGACACTGACACTGGGATCTCAGAACACATTTTGAGTGCATGAACTTCCATGAACTTTCAGGACAACTGCATGAACAAATACCAGGACCTGCACCATCAAAGTGCCACATAAAAACACAGAAAAAAAAGTTTTCTTGGATTTCGTGGACTGTAAATTGCTTTACCTTTCACAAAGTAGAGTGTGCTTAACTATTCACACAATGAGGTCCTGTGATGAGCCAACTTAATGCTAACATGTTATTTCAATTGATGGAAGATCAGAACTCAGGTCATTTAAAACCAGCTCATTATTAGCCTTTTACTATCACAGCTTCTCAGAGCATAAAAGTATGACAAAAGCAGATCAATATCAAAACATAAACAATGATGGCCTCCCACTGTTCCAGCCAGTAGTGTGTTATAAAGGATCAATAAGGCAGATTATCCTTAAAGCCTGTGTCCACTGAAAGTCCTGCTGGTAAAGGGCAGACTGTGTAACAACAGGGTAATGTTCACTCCTCTGATGCTCCCTCACTTCAGCAGGTGTCTCAGCTGGTCCTGCAGGTTTTTTGAATGCTCCACACTGCAGAACAGAAACAAGCATTCAGAGGAGGGCCCGGAACACGTCATCACTCTGTGTTATGGCTTTCAGTTCAGACAGTGATGCCAACTGATCTAAAAAGAGAGGCATGTTTAGACTTACTTCTTCTGGATGGCCTCCTGTCTATGTGGGAGACAGACAGACACACAGACAGAGATACTGTTGTAATATACATTTCCAGTTTAAACAAAGGGTCCAAGTATTTGTAGCTAAATGATACTCACTGGTACTGCAAATGTGTAGTGATTATTGACATTTTTCTCAAACTCTGAAAAAAACAAATTATAAGAGATCTGAGTTATATCATTGTTTGAATTGTACAACCAGTAACAGGAATCTTAGGATTTATTTTGTTCAGACTCTCTTGGAAGTGTTTTGTTCATTTATTTATCGCCCTCTTATTTTAAGGCTGTAGCTTGTGGTTTGGTGGTTATAATGTATTCACTGACTGTATACAGGTACTTACATCCTCAGAGTGCAGGATGGCATCTTCCTGAATCACCATATTTCTTGCTGCCTGACCAAGAAGCTGGAGAAGACATAAAAAAAAAACATTATTGCAATTTTTCTAATTCCAACCTCCATTATTTTTCCTAGCTTCATTATTCGGAATACTCACTACTATGTTACTGCTACACCTGTTGAGTTAAATTTTCCATAAGTCAAACAAAGATCATCTCCCTCTATCAGTCTCTCCTCTGTCCATCTCCCTCTTTCTCTATCTCTATCTCCCTCTCTCCCCTCTCTAAACCCAGAGTATGCTCTGGACCAGCTCTTTATGATATCCATGAATGCAGATTACAACTAGATCATGAAAAAAAACACTGAAGTCTTCTCTGGGTCTGAGCCTTTTAAGATGGACTGTGACAAGGCAGAAAACCAGCCACTGGTCTGGCAAATCTGAATTTAAGTGAATCATGGACATTGCATCCTCTACTCTAAAAAGGGGAGGGCCACTCGGCTTATCAGCAAACAGATTTAAAGCAAGCATCTGACGTTATGGAAATAGAAACCCAATAAACTGCAGTGTATTTCTTACTTATTTCAGTAATAATTTTAATTTACTTAACCAGGGAAGCCTCACAGAGATTAAAACTCTTCTGTCCTGCAGACTGTCGACAGGGCACTTCACAGTACCGTTCATTCATACTGTCTATTTGTAATGGGCAGGGTTGATCACTTTACTTAGAAGAAACAGCATAAAGGAGATGGATCACTCTTTTAGATGCACTTTCCTGTGGCCACACTTAAAGACTGAGAGGAGTTTTTAACTGGCTGAGAAACTGACTAAAAACTGACACAGATGTCTTATTAAGTCTTATAAAATCAAAGGAGACATCAGCAACATGTCTGATAATTTCACTGCAGTACTTTTAAAGTCTCAAAAATGTTTTGAAGGAGTAGGAGTCAGACCTGAGATTGACAGCAAGCTAGAAAAAACTATTTTTTCATTCTTTACAGTGAATTATAAACTTCTTTGTTACAAGACTATAGGACATCTGAAACCACTGCTTTTACAATCACAAAACAATGGATGTGCCTTTCCCATTATCAACACAATACAAAAAAAAAAACAAAAAGTGATAATATTTTATTTTAGCTAATCATTATTTTAGGAAGAATCTTATTTTTATTTTGCCTTGAGTTACTTTTAACAATGAGCCAAATGCCTGTGTTTACTCACTGACTTATCGGTACCAACTCTATGTGAAGACTGAAAATCTGAGATCATAAAACTATTATGGGTGCCCAGAGTTTATTACTGTGGTATCTCACCAGGTAATGTATACCTTGTTTATTTTTTTTACTGGTATCATGTTGTATCATAAGAGACAGCACTGTTGTAGTTGCAGGTCCTAAATATTTAACAGCACATCTTGCCCCTGTAAGAACTGGGGCACTCCGGTGGAAACAGTTTGGACGCGCCCCTGCTGGCCTCCATTCGCTTTAAAGGCTGACTTATTATAATAAACACAAACAAAACAAGCAAAAAGCGAAATTCTATCCACACTAACATGTTTGCTGTATATCACTGTATCACTACTGTTGGCTGTTTGTCTCTGTGTTAGCTAGCAGGTACCTTGTCGAGCTGTCTGCGCCAACTTCAATCTGTTTTCACCCTCTCACCTCCTGACTGCGAGATCCCTTCAGTACTTGGCGAGTCAATGCGATAACATCCCCGCTGCAGGAACCCACTTTATCGGATAATAGACCTTTGACGGACTGACCAAACCGCGGCTGGGACTCCGTGGAAGCCATCTTCTGTTTTGGCCGAGTACGGTTCCTGTGCAGGGCCAAAACAGACACCAACGCGTTCTTTCAATCGATGTATCGTTTCCTTTGACGTTGCAATAAATAAATAAATAAACGATTTCAATAAGAAGCGAAACTGAATTGACGCTTAAAGTTTCGTTATCATTTGGTGTATGTAAAGGATAGTTTATTGCCTTTATTTAGTTTGAAAGTTTTGTCTCATTTGGTTAAATATGTTGACTTTTGGGTCACGCATCGTAATGGTTTGAAACTAAGTCTGTAACGTTGACGTCTGCCCTTTTTATGTGAATCTGTTTCAGTCAATCAATTGATCAATTAACCTATATTTATATGTTACCTCATTCGTTATTCCAAGACGCTTGACAAAAGAGACATGCGCGAAAAAACGGATTGTTGTTCAGCACTTATTTTGAAATCATTTCAAACGACTTCGAGAACACTATAGCAAAAACACAGAAAGTGAACAAAGTGTATTCTACAGTGAAATTTGTGGAGAAAATAAAGAATTCATATCCATGGTACACCGTGAGAGAAACTTCAAACACATGTCCCGAATTCAGCATAAAAACTGTGGTATGTGAGAAAATACAAGACATTCATTACATGATCCCTCTTTTGTGATGTTGTGTTATTGCATCTGTTATTTACAACTGCTTGTGTCCATAAAGCTAATTACATGGTTAGTTTATCGAAGGCCTTGAATGCACACAATACATACAATTTGTTTAAGATGTTGCTGGGATTTAGAGCCCTCTAGATTTGCCAAAGAAATATATGTTTAAATGATTTGATGAATCAAGTGTCTTCTTATCTTGTCTGAATTGGCTCAGCCTTATATTTTCAGAGTCAAGGATTTGGCATTGAAGGAGCTGCATAAAAGCATGTCACGGCAGCAATTCAGAGCTCTCCTGCACAGCTTCTTTCTGTGATGCTCCACCTCCTCTGAGCCAGACCCATTTGTCAGGGCCCTCAGCTGCAGATATGACCTGGTTTCTGTGCCTGTGTATCTTTTTGGCTGTGGGTCTGGCTTTTTTAGTTCTACAGCTGAAACTCAGAACATCTTTGCGTGGCCCTCAGGAACCTCCTTGCCTTCCAGCACTACCTTTGATTGGCAGTCTGCTGAGTTTGAAGAGCCCACATCCTCCTCATGTGCTTTTTAAAGAGCTGCAGCAAAAATATGGGCAGACGTACTCTCTGATGATGGGCTCTCACAGTGTCATTATCGTCAACCATCACACGCACGCCAAAGAAGTGCTGATGAAGAAAGGAAAAGTATTTGCAGGAAGACCAAGAACTGTGGGTGAACTTCTTGTACTTCTTCTTCTTCTTCTTCTTCTTCTTCTTCTTCTTCTTCTTCTTCTTCTTCTTCTTCTTCTTCAAGCAGCACTATTGATATTTACTCCTTTCCCACATCTTTTATGAAGGTAACCACAGACATCCTGACCAGAGAGGGGAAGGACATTGCATTTGGAGACTACAGCACTACCTGGAGGTTCCACAGGAAAATCGTGCATGGAGCTCTGTGCATGTTTGGAGAGGGCTCTGCCGCCATTGAAAAGATCAGTGAGTACAGCTCCTACTACACACGTACAAATCCTCTCACATTGCATGATGGTTGTAGACTGTAAATACTTTTTAGTTTGCTCTCTTTACCTTCAAAAACAGATACTCAGGTACTCCTCTTCTCTGCCATCTAAGTGATTTTACTCCATGCAGATAATTCGGGTTTTGTTTGTCCAATTCCTAAGTTCATTAAACAAAAAAGATTGTCTCTCTAAAAACATTTAAGAGTGCATTTGTAACTTTGTACTGTAACTTTTAAAATTGTACATAGACTGTACATAGAGGTTCTTGAAGACATTTCGTCTCTCTTTCTAAGGGCTTCTTCAGTTCTAAAATGATTGGTGCCAAAGTTGGAAATTTGTAGCCTCTGTTGGAGAAAGAGAGTCTGTAACACGGACGCAGGCATTTTAGATGTACAATTTTCATCTTTTCTCTAGGGTTTTGACAACATATATTTACCCTGTGATTTGACTCTTTGCATACATCAAGTATGGACACCAAACTTTCTAACTTTGCAGCTTTTGTTGTCAATGTGGAAAAGTATAACACCACCCCTTTAAACTTATTTACAAATATTGCTTTCTATTTCTATCAAGTCTGTTCGGCTAAATGCAGCTCAATAATCCACGCTCCACCTTTAAGCGTGCCAGGACATTACTTAGCAAGTTTTTGAGGCACAACATTAAAACCTTGTCCCCTGTCCCTTGTGTCTTTTTCAGTCAGTACAGAGGCTAGGTCTTTGTGCTCCATCCTGTCTGAAGCATCAGTAGCCGGACTGGCCCTGGATATGTCTCCTGAACTGACTCGGGCTGTCACCAATGTCATCTGTGCGCTCTGCTTTAACTCCTCCTACCAGCGAGGCGACCCCGAGTTTGAGGCCATGCTGAGCTACAGCCAAGGCATTGTAGATACAGTGGCAAAGGACAGCCTGGTGGACATCTTCCCTTGGCTCCAGGTAGAGGAGATGTGGAGAAATGTTAAAATTACAGAACTGTAGAGTACGAAACAAAGTGTTAGAACAAAGGAAATGAAGAAAATGAACAGGGGGATATCTATAGATGCAACAAATTACATTATTAGACTTATTATCATAGGATTTCAAACGTTAAATATCCATTAATGCTGCTGTACAGCAGCAAAATGTGTCAGCTGTTTCTTTTTTCATCCTTCAAATGTATCCCAAAAAGCCTAGCCTTTCTGTCTTTTCCGTTGTCACAGATTTTCCCCAATGCTGACTTGCATCTCCTCAAGCAGTGTGTTGCAGTCAGAGACCAACTTCTACAGAAGCAGTTTGATAAACACAAGGTAATGCTGGCCTCTGGTGAATGTTATATGCCAACACTGATGGGGTAGAGGGCCTCCATATATGTCCCTAAACTCTTTTTTAACCTAATATAGTGAAAATAGAGACCGTTTCACACTAGCATATCTTGTAAAATTTATGTTTGTAAAACATAAAGTTGAAGGGACCAAGCCAAATAAAAGATTTGTCAGTTTGTTCAGTTGTTAACTTTTTATAACTTCCTATAAGTTTAAAGATCTGCATAACAAAAAGTTGTCACCAGCGTGCAGATTTTATGAAGAGCATTTTAAAAAGTTGGGACTATTTTGCCTCTAGACAGAGGGATAAACCGATGGGTTGTTACTAATCCAGCTCGTGGACCTCCTGTCAGTCCATCTCAGCAGTCAACCACCACTCAAGTCAGTGTCGTGTATTTTCAGCGTTGTGAATGATGTATATGAACACGGTGTCCCCTTCAAGGCAGACTACAGTGACCACGTTCAGAGAGACCTGCTAGACGCTCTGTTGAGAGCCAAACGCAGCGCAGAGAACAACAACACCATAGAGATTAGTGCAGACTCTGTGGGCCTCAGCGACGACCACCTTCTCATGACTGTGGGGGACATCTTTGGGGCCGGAGTGGAAACCACCAGCACTGTGCTCAAATGGGCCATCACTTACCTCATCCACTACCCTCAGGTAAAGCTCCAGGTGGTCTGTCGAGTGTGTAAAGGTTTCTGTCATAGTGCGCGACGAGATATTTTTTTCCCATGATCTTACTTTAGTTGTTACAGTTGTTGTATTTTGGACTGTCTGGTCCAGTTCAGTTTTAGTTTAACTCGGGATGAGAATCTGTTTTTTTTTTTTCAAATTCCATCCATGTAATGACCTAACTTGAAACATTAAGGGACTTATCCATGTAAAAGACATTTGGCTGCAGTTCGTTTTCAGACCGCTAGAGGCTACTGTGCCTCCACTGATATTTGGATACGTCTTTCCATATCCAAGTCATCTGAATTTGTAGATGCCCTATCTTTTGTCGCTGGTTCCTGTAACTTTCACATCTGTTATTTTAAAACCCAGATCACAATGAGTTAAGATGTTTGTTTTTTAATTCAGACATTGAACCTTCCCACTTGTAACTCACTGGTATTGTAGAGTTTACAACCTCGACTCCTCATCAACTGCAGTGAAAAACAAACTGGCAGTGTAGTTTGCTAATACCAGTCCTGGAGCTAACAAACTCCAAACTCATTGAAGTCACACATTCGAAGGAAATTCTCGCTTGAGTGTTTCTGACCTACAAAATAAAGACAGTGCCTCCCAAAAGCTCAGTTGAGTCAGACAGCTCCAGTTTGAATAGTTTGAAATGTTGATTGCAGCAGCAGAATGGTGTTTGTGTTCAGCATCAAGGCTCCAACCTCATCCCTCCTCACAGTTTAAATTTTACCTGTGGAAACCGAGAAGTGGTGAGGCAACATCTTTAGTTCCCTGAGGAAATAGATAGAGGCAGAGGAAATAGATTGCTGAATTTGGAGAATATTAGATTAGATCAGATTAGGTTAGATTAGATTAGATAGACTTTATTGATCCTTTTGGGAAGGTTCCTTTAAAGAAATTTAAATTCTAGCAGCATCAGCATCTGAAAAAAAAAACAGAAGGAGCAAATAAATAAGAAATAAAAATGCTATATATAAAGATTTAATGAAACTTCAGATAATCTAACTTTTTAAATTTTTAAAAAAAGTTAGCTGTAAAGCCATGTGAAATTAACTAGCTCTCAGGCTTCACCTTTGAGAAAGACTTGGTTGTGTTAAAAACAAGTATGTTACAGTATTGTGGTGTTTGTGTTAAGGTGCAGAAACATATCCAAGAGGAGCTGGACAGTATCGTTGGCGTGGACCGGTCACCTCAGCTTAGTGACAAAGGCAGTCTGCCATACCTGGAGGCCACCATCAGGGAAGTGTTAAGGATCCGCCCTGTGGCCCCTCTCTTTATCCCCCATGTGGCCCTCAGTGACAACAGGTATACGACTGATACCCTCATTCTGGCCCGTCCACCTTTGAGCCATCTCCACCCACAGATGCAGTTCATTCCTGACAGATTAGAAAAATGAAAACAGCATTACTGCGTGTTGTTTCCACCAAAGGACTGATGGTTGGGTTTTGTTCATGACTTTTTCCTTTTCTTCTTTGCATTGCCATCTCTTCCATATTCTACAGCATCGGGGATTTCATGGTGAGGAAAGGAACTCGAGTAGTCATCAACCTGTGGTCTCTGCACCACGATGAGAAGGAATGGAAAAACCCTGAACTCTTTGACCCCGGTGAGAGGAAACTCATGCACAATCCACCATCTTTCATCTCTACAAGTGTCATACAACTGTTGTTCGACCTGAACTGTTCCTTAAATTTGTGTAACTATTTTGGCTGAAATAGAAAATGAATGTTTTGATGTAGATTTTTTTTTTTATAAAGTAGAAATCAAAGGTGTCCTAGAAGAATTTAATAGTATACCTCTGGCTAAAAGTCCTAAACATAAAACCCAGCATTTGACCTTCAGGCTGTTCAAGAATTGTCCTGAGTCTCTCCATTCTGGTCTCTGCCCTCTGACTCTTCCTAAATTGTTTTGCTGATAGGTTTTCATTTCATCACCACAGCCGAATTATTTCTATTACACCCATATGTCAGAATTTATTAGCTTGGTTCTGTGGCCAGGGTTTTTGCTAAATAATCCTGGACAATGAGCCTTGTCTGTCTGATACTCTGCACACATCATTGATTTAATTTCTGCTGCTGTGATATTATTCCATTTCAGAATTTAAGGGAGACTGCACCTCTTGTGCAAGAATATCAGCGCTGAATTGATGAAAAAAGAAAGAAAAAAGAAAGAAAAAATAGTGGAAAGCAAAATGGTAGAAAAGGGTGCATGTAATTTTCTTTTTACAATATTAAACATTTCTAAAGTCAAATAAGTAAAGAAGGCACTTCTCCCATAAATACAAGATTTCTCTTAAACTTCAGTCATTTTCATGCATTTGGTAGCTTGGCCAAGTGGTTCAGTCAGCTGTCTCTAGATCAGAGGGTCAGGGGTTTGATCCCAGGTCCTGCTGTCATCATGTCAGAGTGTACTCTGGAGAGACACTTTTCCCTTGAAGTGGCCCCAGTGGCTCCACCCAAAGGTTTGTATGTGAATGGGATTAGTTCGTAGTGGTTGGTGCTTTACATAGCAGCCTCTGCCATCAGTGTATAAATGTGATGTTCATAGAAAAGATAATATATAACTGCTTTAAGTGGTCAGAAGAGAAGTTAAGATAAAGTTATGCTTTCTTCATATGCTGACCTAAAGACGGATAAAGCAGCAGCCTAGTTTGAACCGTGTTGGTACTGTTAGTTGTATCCTTACCATGTGGGCTAGAGTTGGCATGTTTTGGTATAATTGGATGGAGGGTTGAAGTTAGTCTGAGTTTAGGTGTAATTAGTTGAAGGTTTGAATTGCTGTGTGTTTTTGTGTAAATAGTTAGAAAGTTGAAGTAGGTGTGCTTTGGTGTAATTAGTTGAAGGTTTAAATTGGTGTGTGTGTGTTTGTATAAATAGTTAGAAAGTTGAAGTTGGTGTGTTTTGGTGTAATTAGTTGGAGGTTAGGGCGGCGCAGTGGTGTAGTGGTTAGCACTGTCGCCTCACAGCGAGAAGGTCCTGGGTTCGAATCCGGGTCAGGGCATTTCTGTGTGGAGTTTGCATGTTCTCCCTGTGTCTGTGTGGGTTTACTCCGGGTACTCCAGTTTCCTCCCACATCCAAAAACATGCTTAAGTGGGGTTAGGTTAATTGGCCACTTCCAAATTGCCCATAGGTGTGAATGTGAGTGTGAATGGTTGTTTGTCTGTATATGTCAGCCCTGCGATGAACTGGCAACTTGTCCAGGGTGTCCCCAGCCTTTGCCCGAAGATGCTGGGATAGGCTCCAGCCCCCCTGGGAACGGGAACAAGCGGTAGAAAATGGATGGATGGATAGTTGGAGGTTTGCAGTCGGTGTGTTTTAATCCTGGTCTCTGTGTTCCCTGTCTTGCAGGTCGGTTCTTGAACAGTGAAGGCACAGGTCTGATCATCCCCTCTGCCAGTTACCTGCCATTTGGTGCCGGGATCAGGGTGTGTCTTGGTGAGGCTCTGGCCAAGATGGAGCTCTTCCTCTTTTTGTCCTGCATCCTCCAGCGCTTCACCTTTTCTGTCCCAACAGACCACCCCTTGCCTAGCCTGGAGGGCAAGTTCGGTGTGGTCCTCCAGCCTGCCAAGTACAAGGTGTATGCCATGCCCAGACCGGGCTGGGAGATAAACAAAAGCCAGCCATGCTGAGACTGTCCCCAAACAGCAACACATCTCAGCTGTGACCAGAGAGTCTGTGAGGCTTTATTTCAGCCAAACACAACCATGCAGACTTTTAACCCAGCATGGATCACTGGACTGATCATACTGCAAAACTGTACACTGAACTTTTTTCATTGTTTCTTTATCATTTGTCTGTCTCACTCAGATCTCCCTCAAAGATAAAACAGAAAAAGCAGAGAGAAAGGCATTGTTTGAAAATCCCTGTGCCTGTTATCTATGTATTTGAGATAATGTTTCTAATGTCAGAGCTTTTATATTTTTAAACCATCTCGTTTCCCATCATCACGCTTGGAAGACACCAAGCAGTAGGTGTTTTATGGCAACTTTGCATAAACTGTACAGCACAATGAAATGAAGATGGTGCATGATCATCAAAATCCTCTTTTACATGTTTAAGCTCCACACTACAGGTTAATTTGCATGACATATCATGCACAAAATGTACTTCAGAAAAGTAAAACTGCTGTTTTCAAAGAGCATTTTCCTCTGTGATTAAGGAATTATTCTGCATGAAACATATATAGTTCATACTGATGCATCTGTGCCTTGACTGTCTGATGTTTGTTGAGACAGAAATCCTGGTAAGGACAAAACAAGCATTTGGCCACCTAATGTAGACATAACATGGTTGGATAAAAAGAGGGGTGGCTGTTGAACAAAAAAAAAATGTAGTCCAGCTAGAAACTGACTTTGACCCTTACTTTCCTGTGAAATAAGATACTGACCCTCAACTGCTAACAAGTCCTCAACATCTCAAAGTGAATGAGTCCGAAAGGTTCCCTTTTAAAATTATATTTTCAAAGTTTATCCTTACTTGTGTTTTTTTAAGTTGTTTGACAGCAGTTGTGACCCCTAAAATCGCTTTATTCAATACTAAATCATACCGAAGACTTGGCTCTTTACACTCAGAAGTAATGTCTGCTACATGCATATAGACTAGTAGGAGAAGAGAGCAGCTTAGTGTTCAGTTCAGTGTTTTCACAGATTTCAAAAGCAGAGTCCTCACGCTGGTTCACACAGAAACCCGCTCACACTCAGTGTGTGCCTTCACTCCTTTCTCTCTGGCAGTGTTTGGCAGTTTGAAGTGTTCCTGCGCCTCCATTGAACGCCTATCACTATTCATACACCTGTTTTGTTGGGGTATGCTGATTGACACACAGAGCCCGCCCCCTGCACTTGTCCTTTCATTATAATTGGTTCGACTCTGGTATCTATGGAAATTCCCCCTCACGACCCTTGGCTCACACCTGACCGGCACTAGTCAGCGGGAAATTACGCGAGGCCGCAGGCGGACAGACGCCCAGCCGCTCGCCGCTGTGAACCCAGAGTGGTCCCCTAACTCCCGGACAGCTGCTCCCGATAACGGCTGCTGACAGTATTACCCCACACCGAGTCCCGTGAAGAGGCGACAACATGCCGCGGTCATTCCTGGTGAAGAAACATCAGAGCAGTAAGAAAGGAAACTACGGAAAACTCTCGTCAGTGACTGCGGGTAAGACTCTTCATCTCCCGCATGAATGAGGCTGTTTGCTGGAGAAAGAAAGCCTACTGCATGGGGGAGTGGGTGAAAAGGATTCCTGAAGTTTAGAGTTAGTCCTCAAGAACAAACTGGTCAATTTTAGAAGGCTTTCATAGTTACCTTACCTGTTATGAGGCAAACTACTGTATGGTTGATCATACCAGGACACCTGAGCAAATATTAACATTTGTAAATGGCTGATGAACAACTTTTCATCCTTTTAAAAATTATACTTTACAAAAAAGGAGTTTAATATCTATTACAGTAGTAGTTTTTGTCTGTACCTCATGAAAACTGCTCCTATTGGAGTTTGACAAACTTTTAAACTCTTAAATTCATTAAAACGCTTTTTCACAAGGTGCTCTTTGACAAGCTATCTCTGAAAACAACCGTTCATATTGAATGAGATAAAATAATTCTTAAGGTTATTGCCTGTTAATTTCTGACACGAAATTTCAGCTTGATATCAAACTGTGTCAGTGAAGAGTTAAGAGAGGAGTCCTGCTGTGGAGGTGAAATCTTTTTATGAGACAGCACCATGAATAAAATCCTGCTGACCCTTTCCCATAGATGTCAGTTATAGTGAGGTAGTGATGTTGGTGGTATGTTTGTTTTAGTGGGAGTGAGGCTGAGGTCATTGGCAGTTTCTAAAATCCAGTTGAGGGATGTTCCAAGCAGTTCTTTTCTCTCTGAGGATCTATAAACCCTCACAGTCCTTTATGGCTAACTCCTACTACTTATGTGACTTATGGATGCACGCATTTTCAGGAGGACGACAGGTTGATACATCAGGCTTTGACAGCACTGTTATTTTAATTTGATATTTCTTCAAATCAATGTTATGTCTAAGACTGTCTGTGTTATTAAGTTTTTGGCGCCATATAATCCACAAATGCCAAACATATGATGTCACATTGACTCAGTGTCCACGGACACACAGAACTTGATCATGATTGTTTTACATGTCTTTTGTCACTTGTCATGGAAGTTGCTGTTATAAAGTTTAGGTCATGGGCTGATGTGTTATGAAATAGATCCACAGATTAAGAAATTGGGTCTTTTTACATTGAAGTTGTAGTATACCTATTACAACATCGTTTTTACTCTCACAAAGTAGTCTTTTCCTTTGCAGCAGTGATATTCCTGAGTAATTCCTGAGTAGCTCTATCGTTTTTACAACTAAATGTCTAAACTGAAACCACCTCTCGGAGTGATAAGGGTTTTTTTTTTTTATCACTTAATTACTCAAAGAAATAACTACAGAGAGCAAAAAGGAAGTTTAGTCTGACCACAATAAAAAATGTGTTATTGTGTTTAGCAGGTGCCAAATCTGTCCCCAAAGAGTTCTAGCTTTGTCCTAGGGTCCGTGAGAGACCAGAAGGGCCCCATTTAACAGCCTGAAGAGCCCATGCAGCAGCCTCCCAGGCTCCACCTGACAAATCCCTGCTTCAACCTTTGTATTTGTTCCAATACAGCCCTTAAAGCGAGCTTGGGCCTTCGACCCTCCTTGTCCCACTGTATTGATGAACTAACATTAACATCAGAATAGGACCATGAAAAGAGAGATGGTAACTAAGAAGACTGAATTATACCCAAGTTTGAGAGAAATATGTGGTGATGTAAAAACTCTGGACGGTTTCTTTCCTGTTAGGCTCAAAAAGACCAAGATGCACCACAAACATCATATTCTTGTCTGTGTTTACATTTCATACTGTATATAACATTGTCAAACTGCTATTTGCATAAAAGTACTTTGAATTTTGGATCAATTTAGTTCAGATCAGTACTTCTAGAGTATGAAAATATTTAAATCAGATGTTTGTTTTTCTCCTTATTGCGCTGCTTAAAACTGCTGCAAGGAGTTTTTAATATTGATGATGTTAACTGAAATTTAAGTGAATATCTTTTCATAAAGTAAGCAAGACCATCAGTGATGAGATTGACGATTTTTGTTTTGTAGTTTTTAACACCTGACACTGTTACAGGAGGGTAGGTGTCAGCCAAACAAACTCAGACTGAACGTTCCTCACAGGAGCTTTAACATTACCACTCACAAACAGAGCTAGTTTAATTTAGCAGGCTGGTGAAGGTTTCTTAAATCTGTCTAAAAACTGTCTGAAACAGTGAGCAGCAAGGGAATCTCCTGGACTCTGTTTTACTTTGTCCAGAACAGTGTTGAGGAAGGACTCTGAACCATAATAAGTGACTAAAATAAAATACAGTTTGAAGACAAAAGATGCTGCTAATGGAAATCTCTTCTAAGCCACTAAGTAAGTAGATTTACCCGCTTACTTTACCTGGACCCTTTAAATCTTTCACCTATAAAATGTGTTTCTTTGATTACAGAGACTCTCTGCGAGATTCACAAAGAACCTCCTCAGCACAGTCACATCCCCACTCGCCATCATTGTCCAGCCTCGAGTCCCCTCCACCAGCACAGAACCCAGTCACTCTCCTCCTCTCCTCTTCCTCTCGGAGCAGACATACTGCATCCTCCACCCTGGCCAAACAACTCCCCGCACTCACTTTTAGGATACTCCTCTGAGACAAACCGAAGAGACCTCACAGGAACCTACAAACCTGTTGAGTCCTGTCAAAAAGTGGACCTGGAAACCCAGCAGTCTTCTGTAACATGCTGGAGGAGGGAGAACCTGCTCCCTCCATCCCTCCCTCTTCTGGCCCTCTTTCCAGCTATCCCTCCTGGCAGCAGCAGCAGCCAGGGGAACTTTGAGTGTCTGGACTGTCATGAAGAGCATTTGAGCTTCCCTGGCCTGGCCAAACACAAGCAGCTCCCGTGTGGTTGGAACAGTAAGAAGTCCTTCAGCTGTAAGTACTGTGAAAAGGAGTACGTCAGCCTGGGGGCACTCAAAATGCACATCAGGACACACACTCTGCCCTGTGTGTGCAAACTCTGCGGCAAGGCTTTCTCCAGACCCTGGCTGCTCCAAGGACACATACGGACACACACAGGTCAGTGAAACACACTCAGGATTATATTTTTGACCTGTCAATTTTCTATTTTTTCATTTTTGATCCAGTGCCAGTTTCATATCGGTTCAGTGGTCGTAGGAGCCTGAACTGTGTGGTTTAGGATATGATAAACTGCCCTTGAGCCCCTGCAACATCCCCTGAGAAGCCCCCAGGAATCAATTACAAACTGAATGAAAGAAGTGAAAAAATACATTTTGTCCACAGCCCTTCAGGTGGAACAGCTGTGGGCAAATATGGATACCATGGTTCCACCATAGTGACCATATTTAAGAATCAAATTTGATTCCCATCATCATTTTAGTCGTCAGTTAACAGATGACTGTGGTGTCAGCTTTTTAACTACAGGGATACACACTCTTGAACCTCGCTTTCAAAAATAAATGAGTCTTTATCCAAGCAGAAGAAACACTTAGTTGTACTGGCCAACAAATACAGCATAGTATTAAATACAAACATAACATAAAAGAGTGACTATGATAAATCAGAAATATATAAAGTAATAAAGACATAAATGCTGCATCAGAAAAGCCTTGAAAGTAATCACTCAGACAGTAAACTTTATATCAACATGTGCACTGACGTTATAAATCAAGAGAAATGAGGTGGTTACCCAGCCTGAATTTATTCACCCAAGGTTGGAGTCTCAAAAGTACTGAGCATGTGCACCAAAGCTGTGCAAATGGTCCAGAAACACATAGACTAAGCTTAACTGCACCAATGTTTGCATCAGTGGCGGCTGCTGGTCTTTCAAGGAGGGGAAGCTCATTTTTCTGGCCTACATCATAATTGTATTTGTTTATTAGTATGTAACAGAACAGAGTCGCCAAACACAACGACAGTCGTTTTTAACAAAGACAAAAGTCGCTGAGGATCGGTAAAGTCTCCGAAGCAGTTAAGAACAACGGAATGAATAACTTGGAAAATGCTCTGGTAGATGTTTTATTCTTCAAGATCGCTGATTCGCTTGTTTAGCTGTCAATCAAAAAAGGATTTCGCCTCAGACAGCTCATCCAATCATGGATGCAGAAGCTCAGCGTCCACGAGACAGTTGGGACCGCCCTCTCGTCATAGAACTCCAGAGACGCTGAGCGTCCGATGGGCGGGACAAAGCCCAGCATTTATCCAATGAGCGTCTAGTTTCGCTGCTGGAACAACCCACTTTGAGCTTCCACATTGAAGTCAGCAGAAGCCCAGCGTCCGGCTGTTTAAAGCGCTGAGGCGCTGTGAGGATGAATGAGAACGGAGTTGTGCCGGTTACCTGTGATTATCAGCTTCTTATCACAGTGTCTGAACAAAAGATGAAGGCTTTCTAGTGCGTATTTAGTTAATGAAATGTACACACAGCCGTACGTATTTCACCACTTTTTCTTTTTTTTGGGGGGTGACATTTTAAGGGAAGCCGAGCTTCCCTTGCAGTCTTAGAGCAATCGCCACTGGTTTGCATACACTGAAAAAAGTCAGAATATACTCAACCAAGGCTGAATACACCTCTTTAAATACAAACACCAGCACTCAGCTAAAGCTAATGTTTCATCTGCTGGGACTTGGTGGTTATTTTGCTACTTTGTCATATGCTCTCACTTTTCAGTGATCATAACCACAAATCACCTCTAACTGACCTAAAAACAATTAACCTGTACAATAAGTCTGTTAATATAAATGAAACATTACTAGGCTGCTCTTTGTGACTTCACTCACTAAGTTAACTGGATTGAAATGTGTGTCACTTCTGCCATAAATGGACTCCACAATGAACAGGTAGGATCAACTCATCATCTACTGTATATAAGAATAAGAAGAACTTTATTAATCCCCGAAGGGAAATGCAATTGTCTGTTGTCTCACATAATATGTCTCTAAAAGTTATCCACTATTTACTCAATAGTTATGAAGTCTGGTGGCTGTGGGTACAAAAGATCTTCTGAATCTTTCTGTCCTGCAGCAAAGAAAGAGGAGCCGTCCACCACCATTGGCCCTTTGGTCCATCAAGGTGTTGTGAAGTGGGTGATCCATGTTCTTGAGAATAGACTCCACCTTCCTCAGTGTAGATCTCTCCACCACATCCTCCACTGAGTCCAGCTTGAGTCCAGCCACAGAGCCAGCCTTTTCACCAGTTTGTTCAGACGTCTTGCATCTTTGTGTTTGATGCTTCCTTCCCAGTAGACTGCAGCGTAGAACAGAACACTGTAGACACCACACACTGATAAAACATCTGCAGCATCTTACTACAGATGTCTATTGATAGGAGTCTTCTCAGGCAAAAGAGGCTGTTCTGCCCCTTTCTGTAGATGAAGTCTTTATTCTTAGACCAGTCCAACTTATTATCCAGGTGTACACCTAGGTATTTCCCATGATGATTAATGGAAGAAAGGGTTTATATCGCCACCTCCTAGCTCTCAGCTTTGTCTTCAACTTTGCACCAGCACAGCAACCACGATAACACCTCCTGATGCCCTCTAGAATTTAATGTTGTTGTCCAGATTTGCTTTTCCTCAATGAAAGGAGCTCTTCTCTTGAGTAAACTCATCGCCAAGCAGAAGTATCCATCAGCAGCCAACAAAATGACAACAAAAATCTAGTAAAAATTACAAAAATTATAGATAAAACAGAGAGACCAGACTTGCAGCAACCTCTCAGTTCAAGCACATCATTTGAATATGTGTGGACAGTAAGCTGTCATCAGGATGAGAGCACTGGCACAGCTTTACACAGCAAAAGGTGGAGATCTCAACAATCACACACAAAACACAAGCCTGCAACAAAGCTGTGTGGGTGTTTTGAAGCTTGAATATGAGCTAGTTATGCTGTGTTAATTAAACCTTGAGAGGGAATGGATTCCCCTTCAGTTTCTCCCTACTGGCCATTAAAAGGACTGCAAGCTTAAGCTTCTTTTGTGTTGGCTCTTCACATACTCAGTTTACAGGTTTGAAGGTTTATCTTCCTCCAGGTTTCCCTGACAACATTATCAACTCTACCAGTTGTATACATGAATGACAGCATTCGTAGGTTTAACTGAGTCTGGGAAAGGCACTTACAGCTTCCTGACTTTAGATCCAAATGAATCTCTGTGTTTATTCCACAGGTGAGAAACCCTTCACATGCTTCCACTGCAGCCGGGCTTTCGCTGACCGATCTAACCTGCGGGCTCACCTCCAAACCCACTCTGAAGTGAAAAAGTACCAGTGTGCAAGCTGCTTTAAGACCTTCTCTAGGATCTCTCTGTTAGCCAAGCACCAAGAGGCAGGCTGCCCACTGTGCTGACATCCTGTGAACTTCCACCTGCTCCAAAACACTGTCTGTAGAGTGTCTCTGTAGGCTGAACAACATTTTATTTTGACACTAGGATGGCGTATCATCAGCTAGAATAAAGGCCATACTGTTAGCAGAGACACTGTTGCATCTAGCAGGTTCACCCTGCTAGATGCAACAGTTACAGTTTACCAGCACTTACAAGCTGCACCAATGCTGTGTACTGGGAGAACCAAGTGTCCCAAAATGGTGCTGCATTCAGTTCAAAACTGTGTTTGCACTTCTAATGTGCTTGTGCATCACTGCTTTGTTTCATGCTCATATTCTACCTGTTCTTTTGCTTCATGTTTGGTGCTGTTTACCCGTTGGTATTAACCATTTTGAAAGAGCCGAACCAAGAAGAGTGTTAATTTTTCATTTTTTTGTTTTCTTATGTTTTAGGGGAGAGGGTTGTGTGTCTATCTAGAAAATAAGACTGTGTATGCAGGAAATAGGGAAGACAGTGAGGAGGACTTGCAGTGAGAGGGTGGGAGTTGAACTAGAGTTAACCAGAGATCTAAACCAGCACCTCTAGTAGATCAAGAAAAATCAAGATCATTTGAGATGACAAGAGCACATCTCATATCTAGCAAAACTCTGATTCCTCCTCACTCTGACGTTTGTTATTGGCAGTGATAGCACTGAAAAGATTGTCCTGTTGATGGCAGGCATTACAGGATTTTGTGTTTACCATGTTTGCACAACGTGAAAGTGCAACAGCTAAACTGGAGACTCACCGATGTAAATAATGTGTGTTTTTTTTTTCGTTAAAGACTGCAGCATTGAACAGTGGAATGATAGGCAGAGCACCTTGTGGTGGACACATTCAGGTGGACACATTCAGGTTCAGCTGCTAATTTGGTCTGTAGAAAAGCCCTGTCAGATAAATGCAAACCAAAGAGAGATGATGGTTCCCTCACTTGGCAAAGCCTGGCACAGGTCAGGTATGTTGTACTAATTTGTACTAATAATTTCACAAAGCAGTTTTGTTTCTCGTGCATAATGACTTTTAAGTCTGAGTGACTTTATTGGCAAAAATAAAAACTCTGCTGTGAACAAACTTCCTCTAAGATCCTCTTTATTTTCCCTATTTAAATGTCGTTTGACTTGGTGTAAAACTCTGCTCTTCCCATTGTTTTTTTTTTTTATGACAGTGTAATGAAGTGAATGAAAATTTTCAGTTAGTCAAGATTTTTATGCCTAAACTGGATGTGATGGATCCAAACTTTGTTGCACATTAAACAAAAAAGATGTCAACTTTCTCTCTCTCTGTTTGTACTTTTCCCTCACCTGAGGATCACTCAGTGTCAACCCTGATCTTTATCACTGCTGCCTTATATTTAGAAATGTATATATATCTATCTATCTCTCTCTCTCTCTCTCTCTCTCTACATATATATATATATATATATATATATATATATACACTCACCGGCCACTTTATTAGGTACACCTGTCCAACTGCTCGTTAACACTTAATTTCTAATCAGCCAATCACATGGCGGCAACTTAGTGCATTTAGGCATGTAGACATGGTCAAGACAATCTCCTGCAGTTCAAACCGAGCATCAGTATGGGGAAGAAAGGTGATATGAGTGACTTTGAACATGGCATGGTTGTTGGTGCCAGAAGGGCTGGTCTGAGTATTTCAGAAACTGCTGATCTACTGGGGTTTTCACGCACAACCATCTCTAGGGTTTACAGAGAATGGTCCGAAAAAGAAAAAATATCCAGTGAGCGGCAGTTCTGTGGGCGGAAATGCCTTGTTGATGCCAGAGGTCAGAGGAGAATGGCCAGACTGGTTCGAGCTGATAGAAAGGCAACAGTGACTCAAATAACCACCCGTTACAACCAAGGTAGGCAGAAGAGCATCTCTGAACGCACAGTACTTCGAACTTTGAGGCAGATGGGCTACAGCAGCAGAAGACCACGCCGGGTGCCACTCCTTTCAGCTAAGAACAGGAAACTGAGGCTACAATTTGCACAAGCTCATCGAAATTGGACAATAGAAGATTGGAAAAACATTGCCTGGTCTGATGAGTCTCGATTTCTGCTGCGACATTCGGATGGTAGGGTCAGAATTTGGCGTCAACAACATGAAAGCATGGATCCATCCTGCCTTGTATCAACGGTTCAGGCTGGTGGTGGTGGTGTCATGGTGTGGGGAATATTTTCTTGGCACTCTTTGGGCCCCTTGGTACCAATTGAGCATCGTTGCAACGCCACAGCCTACCTGAGTATTGTTGCTGACCATGTCACTTCTGATGGCTACTTTCAGCGGGATAATGCGCCATGTCATAAAGCTGGAATCATCTCAGACTGGTTTCTTGAACATGACAATGAGTTCACTGTACTCAAATGGCCTCCACAGTCACCAGATCTCAATCCAATAGAGCATCTTTGGGATGTGGTGGAACGGGAGATTCGCATCATGGATGTGCAGCCGACAAATCTGCGGCAACTGTGTGATGCCATCATGTCAATATGGACCAAGCTCTCTGAGGAATGCTTCCAGCACCTTGTTGAATCTATGCCACGAAGAATTGAGGCAGTTCTGAAGGCAAAAGGGGGTCCAACCCGTTACTAGCATGGTGTACCTAATAAAGTGGCCGGTGAGTGTATATACACACACACACAGTGGGTACGGAAAGTATTCAGACCCCTTTAAACTTTTCACTCTTTGTTTCATTGCAGCCATTTGCTAAAATCAGAAAAGTTCATTTTATTTCTCATTAATGTACACTCAGCACCCCATCTTGACAGATTCAAACAGAAATGTAGAAATGTTTGCAAATTTATTAAAAAAGAAAAACTGAAATATCACATGGTCAGAAGTATTCAGACCCTTTGCTGTGACACTCATTTTTAACTAACATGCTGTCCATTTCTTCTGATCCTCCTTGAGATGGTTCTACTCCTTGATTGAAGTCCAGCTCTGTTTAATTAAACTGATTGGACTTGACTAGGAAAGGCACACACCTGTCTATATAAGACCTTACAGCTCACAGTGCATGTCAGAGCAAATGAGAATCATGAGGTCGAAGGAACTACCCAAGAAGCTCAGAGACAGAATTGTGGCAAGGCACAGATCTGGCCAAGGTTAGAAAAGAATTTCTGCGGCACTCAAGATTCCTAAGAGCACAGTAGCCTCCATAATCCTTAAATGGAAGAAGTTTGAAACCAACAGAACTCTCCCTCTGAGCTCTAGAGATGCAGTAGAGGGATGGGAGAAAGTATCACAAAGTCAACTATTACTGCAGCCCTCCACCAGTCAGGGCTTTATGGCAGAGTGGCCCAATGAAAGCCTCTCCTCAGTGCAAGACATATAAAAGCCCGCAGAGAGTTTGCCAAAAAACACATGAAGGACTCCCAGACTATGAGAACTAAGATTCTCTGGTCTGAAGAGACCAGATTGAACTTTTTGGCATTAATTCTAAGCAGTATGTGTGGAGAAAACCAGGCACCGCTCATCACCTGCCCAATACAATCCCAACAGTGAAACATGGTGGTGGCAGCATCATGCTATGGGGGTGTTTTTCAGCTGCAGGGACAGGATGCTTGGTTGCAATAAAAGGAAACATGAATGCGGCCAAGTACAGAGACCCTTAGATGGTGGAGTTATACAGAAATCAATACCTGAATCAAATTGTATAATTTGACAATATGAATATTGATCATAAAAGTATAAGTATCTAATGTAAGCTCAATCCTCATGCCTGACAATGCGAAGTTGAATAAAAACAATGATCCCAGATTTTTCCACCAGCAGCTCAGATTCTTGATGTGTTGTCACAGAGCTGCAAACACTTTCCCTACCCTGCACCTGTAGCATTAGTATGAGCACCTGTTGTTTGCCCACCAGAGTGGCTCTGCTGTGATGTCATGGAATGCTATGAATAGTAACTATCTGTGGAACAAGGTCTAAATATTCCCAACCAGTGGGCAAGGTTCATTTTCAGTACACACAGATGCTATTCTGACTCTCTGCAGACCTATTAATACATGGAAAGCTGTTATATTCGGCATGAGGGCTGAACTCCATCTGCCTGTGTGTCAGTAATACAAGACAGGGCTGACCAATTTAGCTGCTGTGAAAACATGAGGCCTATTTTTAGACTACAATATGAGGCCAACAGATACAGTAAAACTTAAGTGTATGTTTATGGGTGTGTTGGTGGTGGTGGTGGTGGTGGGAGGCCAATAGACACAATGGCAATAAGATTGTGCTGGTATTTTCCACAGTGAGTGTGTGTTTCCATAAAATCCGTCCCTGCAGGCCTCTGAGGCCCTGTCAATGACTCTCGATTACACTTGTTACTGAGACATCTGCCCCACTGTGGGGCATAGGATGTGTACTGGTGTTTGTGCACTTGCTGATATGAGCTGAAGGATAAGAGGGGTCAGATGCTGAGGTGATGGAAAGTAGAGGGAACATAAAAGTATTTTTATGGCTTTATGGCTCAAAGAGGCATGGATGACTGATATCTGAACTTTTCACTAGAGTAGAAGAACTACAATTATCTGACTTTTCAGACAGCCACAAACATTGTCTCATAAAGAATAAGGGAAGAAGCTACAGGTGTGATTTTAAAATGCTGAGTCACGTGTTCGTGCTGCCTGCAACATCAGCCAGGGCTTTTTTCATGACCAGGTGCTTTGGGTTGCTTGAATAACCCTTTAAAAAGTTATCAGATATGCTTTGGTTCTCATCCAGATTATAAGAATATACAGTATATGTAAAGATGATCCATGAAATGTGGAAAACTTTAGCCTTTAGAGTAAGCTCAACTCACAAAGTATGTCATGATGTTCATACAATTGCCGTTTATCACAGGATCCTTTCCACACTCATAAAGTTATACTTTGCAGAATAAAATCAGTTTATTCTGAGATTTTTAAATCAAGTGGAGGTTCAGCAGTCATGTAATTGACACCGGAGGTTAAGATGATGTAGGTGAAGAGAGAGTGAGATTAAAAAGTGTTATGGTAGTAGACACATGCAGGAGAGATGCAAATGGATATACTGTATCTGTGCTCTGTGTGGAACAGCAGCTCAGGAAGGTGATAACATTTCCAGCTATGCCAAACAAGCCTTAACATCCCCGCCTCTTTTTCCACCATGACTGGAAGAGCAAGTGTGTGTGTGTGTGTGTGTGTGTGTGTGTGTGTGTGTGTGTGTGTGTGTGTGTGTGTGTGTGTGTGTGTGTGTGTGTGTGTGTGTGTGTGTGTGTGTGTGTGTCACATATATAGTTATGCACCTAGGTGTGTTTCTAGCTGTATTTCAGGCTGTCATTGTCTGATCCCATCTTCCAGTACAGATGTTGATGCCAAGGGTGGACAGGGATGTGGCACATTCAGACTACACAGACAAACCATCAGACACAGTCACACTGTTAGAGCAAACAACCTTACATCAGATCCTGCAGTGAAACACATTTTAGGTGTCCATTTCATATTGCACATCCAAAAACAGATTCAGTGTTTTCATTTTATTTCAGGGGAAACAGAAACAGAAAAAAATGCTACAAAACATCCTTGCAGTGTTTGGATAAAACCCCATCAGTATAACAACTGGAAAAGCCCGACATCATTATCATCATCATCATCATCATCATCATCATCACGATCATCATCATCATCATCCTAAGCAGAAGTGCACTTCTTATTGTTAATACTGTTTAGAGAAGATGCACCTTAGACCAACCTGAAGGCAGATTTGAAATCAACAAGTCCAAAAAACACAAAATTGTCCACAATGTTTCATCTTTTCTTTGTCGCTGAGGCAGGTGAAGTGAAATCAACTTGGTTTTCAATCTAGTCAGATCTAATGTTTCTTAAACAGACAGCTCAAGAACACTTTTTGGCAAATCGCACCTATGAAGAAGTTCACCCTCTGTTTGTGGGAAGCACAGTTTCACTTGCTTTATATCAACCATCCATTACTTCTAATTCTGTTTTTATAGTGTGCTGGTTTTGCTGGTTGTCTAAAATGAATGCCTTTGCTACAAGGATCAACAGTGAAAGTGTGCTTTCATAAGAACTGGGGCACTCATGATCAACAGAAAACAGACCTTTCATGTTTAATCATAATTTCACCTTAATTATGTCCTTGTCCCCTTTGGTTAGGGAAGTCTAAAAAATTTTAATACCTATCTATGACCATTAGATATGACCAGCTTAGCTAGTTCAGGTTGTACAGGAGGTCTTGATACCTTTGGTATAAGTATGCAACAGAAGACCACTGCAGCTCTTGGGATCAGTCTTCTGGGTGTCTTAACATCTAAGAATGAGTTCAGTTCAGTTTGGTCCAAACAGACAGTGACTTCCTGTTGCTTTAACTGGATATAGCTTCCTTCAGTCAAAAATCTGAACTGGTCCTTTAACCCTTTCAAACCAGACACTTTTAATCCACCTCCTTTTGACGATAAATGAAAAAAAAACATTGTTCTTCATGCATAACCCTCACAGTAACCCTCACAGTGTAACACTCACCAATGCTTCATTATCATGTTTTTTATGGGAATCTGCTGCTACTGCTGCTGCTGCCACTTATCTCCTAAAGGCTGCCTTCAAAAATCATCAACAAGGAGCAATAACAGGTATATTAAATGCAACAATACAAAAACAAGGATAAAACATAGAATATTTACATTTCTTGGGGAAATGTGTTTAACTGTGAAGTGAAAAAAACAGGCAAATAAATATGGTGTACACAAACTGTAACATAACAGGAAACTAAGAGTTCTGCTACAGAGGTGAGAAGGTAACAATCAGGTATAAAAGATTACTTCATTTGAATGAAAAACAAAAGTCAACTGAGGAAAGACTTGTGTGAAAAAAGCAGGTTCAAATCCAGTCAAATGCAAAAATAGCTCTCATTTACGTGAAAGGATTCTAGTATTATATTTCAAGCAAGATATGCAATTTACAGAGAAGAAAGTCTGACACAAGAAAATGTTAAAGGTTTAAGAGAAACAAAGAAATTCACCTTTTCAGTTTGCAGTTCATGTTCTGAAAGTATCAGCAAACAGTAACCAATGTCTAAGATTTCAACAGCCAGCAGTCAGACATGTGCCAAAAAAAAAAAAAACAACTTCATGTGTGGCAAAACGTGCCTCACCTCTGCCTCATCTTTGAATTCTGACTTTACTCAAAGGTACCCCTGCAGTCAAATTCATGAATGACCTTCATATTATCATCCAAAGTCCAGTCACTGTGACACCTCTTTCAAAGTTTAAATCAGACTCTTCACTTGAGTGCTGGACAATCATTCAAAGAAGGTACTCTAAACTACATCAAATCTTTATATTTAGCAGCTGTGGGGTCATCCGCTCATCTAAATATTCACCTCCCAACAGTAATCAGATCATTCTGGTGAATAGAGCTTATTCTTCACACTCTAGCTAATTTTCTTCTGATGCATGTTTTCTTCCTGACAGCTCCTCAGCCAAACTTTGACGATCGAAACATCACAGAAGAAAAACAGCTCATATTGCACAAACAATCAGTCTGAAAAGGCTGTATTGATTTACTTGGTCATCATCACTTTTGATTTCATGGTCAAAAATGAAACTGAATTGAACAAACATAATTCTAAGACATTAAAAAAAATTCACAAATAAATTTCAAAATTATACTTAAAGAAGCCGAATGAATTAAAGTGCAACTGTTGTATGATGGATTTTGAGGAAACATTTTCACCCCCCTCTGATTTCTACACAGAGAGCACGACATCTCTGTCTATGTGGTTAAGAGTTAGTGCCAGTCTGCCTCAGAGTGTCTGGACCAGGACTGCCATCTGATGGCTCAAAACCGTCTGCACTGATCCATTTCCATTAGCTGCAGATAGAGATCTGACCAATACCTGATAGTGCTTCAACCGACACATCTGCCCCATAATAGATCTTATTATTTCACTCTGATCTGCAGATAGCTCATAAAAATATTCCTTGTAGCTGCAGCAGAAAAGCAGAGAGCATTAAAACTGGGATTAGAGCTCATTAAACTTTGATCATCACTAATTTATTCAAACCCTTATCTACACATTAATCTGGTAAAAAAAAAAAAAAAATGTTCAGAAGTGCAAATATTCACGTCAATAGAAAAGAGGAACGGTCTGGCTTTGCTTTCTGGAGTGACAGAGACTATGATGATGGTGATGTCTGTTTTGGAGGGTTCACGGTTTTATGATAGGCATTTTCAGCTGCTGTGGACTTGATTGTTGCAGTTTGATGTGTTGGGTCTTCAGATCTCTCCTGTGACGCATTCACTGAAGGTAGGATGGACAGTAATGGATTAGCTGGAGCTGAGCTGCCAGGACTTAAATCAGATTTTGCTCTGTGAAGCCTCTTTTTAATGTTTCCATGTCAGAATTATGAGAGAAATTCATCCCAAACATCTCAAAGAACTTCCAGCAAACAGAACTGGTCCCATCCTCCACTTCACTTGCCAGTCTAGAAATCACAAAGTCTCTCTCTGACATCCCCACTTTGTTTAACATTTGGATATTTGGGATCATCCAGCAGCTTCAGAACATGATCATGGGATTTTACCTGCAGCAGTCCACGACAAAGACAAAAGACCCAAAGAGGGATTACATTTGAAGTCTCTGCTCCTGCAGTGGTCTTGATGATGGAAAATCAATTTGACTGATTAGTTTGGCTCTTACTGTCTGCTTTGACAGTCTGACATCAAGACTGACCTGCAATACTTTCACCGCTGAGCTGAATGGAAACTTCTACCCCAGGTATTACAAGCTGAAGGAACAACCTCCCTGCCAAAACACACATGCTTTAAAAAAATGACACGAAACACTAACTGTTCAACAGCTCTGTATAACTACCACTGGACAAAAATGATCTCTTCTGTTCTTGAATGGCCTGTTTTAATACACTGAAGGATCCAGGCCGGGCTTCTTGAGAAGAACCCAAGCTAACGTCAGAGTTAGAGACTCGTATTTTTCACTTTTTAAATAAATCTGCCCTTTTCATCACCTTGATTTTTAAGTACAAAATAAGCCTTGAAATCTGTGTTAAGTAAGGATTTGTAGATCTTCTGACAGCTCCGTCCAACTCTTGACTTTCTGCTGGAAGCACAATTGAGCTCTTTGCTGCTCTAAAACAAAAGCTGTTATCGGCAGCTGTGAGACTTTTTATTGCTGTTTTGAGGAAAATACACTGGTTCATTTTCTGCCGCATGGACCATTGCATCAATCGGCATAAATCATCAAGCAGGGACATTACATTTTAGGCTTCTGCTTCCAGTTGGGGTTAATTCTGAAACTGGTCTTGGGGCTCTGTTCTGGTCCAATGAGGGTCTGCAAACACAGACATGTATGTTTGTTGGTGCAGACTGTGAAAAATAGACAGGAGATGAACTTTTGTAGAAATCCTGCTGTTTACTCAGTGGAGCAAACAAACATTTGTTATTTTGGACAGAGATGAGGTGAGCAGCTTGTCACAGACAGATAAAGGTGTTCAGTCTCAATGCTGAGCTGCACCAGGATGTGGAAAGTAGGTAATAACATGCGTGAAAAGATGAGTTCACCTTAAAATACTCAGCTGGGTGGGTTCCTTCTGAAGTGATTTATTAAACACATTTCCACTTTGTGTGCACAGAAATGAACCAGTGTCCTAACATCATGTGTTTATTTTTCTATGTCAAATGTGAAAAGTGGAGTTTCAGAAGTTAACAGTGAGCTTTCATCAACATGACTTCTTTGAGCTGCTCATTTGACACCATTTTAAAGTTGTTGTTTTTTTTTTTTTACACTTTTCTGTAACTGACTGTTTGATATTGTTCTACTCGACACTGATAAAATTTTTGCGTCATGTTATATAAAAGCCATCCTCTACTCACATTATCTGCAGGTTCCTGAAATGAGGAAATCTGAAGTTTGGGGTCATCTATGAAGAAATATTTCCTGTTTACATATCGACCTGCAGCTCAGTCAGCAACTATCCTGAAAATGTAGACATTAACCTATGCATACTCTAGGTAAGAGGACAGACTCCTGCTGCTGATTTCTGAATTACACGTCTTTGCTCTTGTGTGGTTATTTTGTCACATAGTGAATGCTAATTTTGAACTCCTGATCCATTGTGTTTTCTACCAGACCTCTTTTTACATCTGTGTAGAAAGCTTCAAATCTGCTCCTGGATTGAGCTGCCATTTCAAACTGGCCCCTTGTAGACCGCTCTAAATGGGAAGACAGAGCCTGTTTCCTCACTATTTCAAGCTTTATATCCGCCTAGTTACTGACAGTGAAAACCAAACGCTAGGACATCATAGCATGTGGCTGGTGGTAAAAGACCTGAACCACTGATAAGGGTTTTAGAGTCAACAGGTTCCAACATTTTGGGGCTCAAAGACGAGACAGTTTCACCATGGAGGTAGCCCTTCATGCTGTGGTGGTCTGGATGGTAGCTGTGAGTGGATGCTTTGTTTTGGGGGTCAGTGAGTGAGTGTTATTATTGGCCCGAGCAACTACCCTTGTTCTGATAAGGTCACTGGATCCCCTCCAAACCATCAGGAAGTTCTCTTTCTTCAAATCCAAAAACGACAGTTGACATTTCTGTAGTGCTTTTGCACTGTAGCACAGAAAACCAGCTGTTCTGCGACAACAGGACATACATCCTTGGCCTAAAATGGAGTGAGGTTGTCACCGCATCTGCAGCTGACTGGAAATGTGATGTGGTTTTCTGTGGAGAGAGTGTGAGCCTGGCTGGATCAGGTGAGTCTGTTGACTGGATGATACGTTCTGAGCCACGGAGGAGCAGAAGCAGTGCAGCAACAGTGGAGTTGGGGTTAACAGTGAGAGGATGGTGATGGTGTGACTGCTGTCAGTTTTCAGCCAGTGATAGTGCCAGAGCTGCCTGCAGTGCTGCCTCTTCATCAATGCTGTAGTCCTGACAAACACAAAAACAACAGCTGACAGCCACTGCAAACCACAGAATGAAGCCCTCCTTTCATAAAAAAGACAAAAGACCATGAGAGAATATTTGATTACAACAAGACAAACTTCAATCAAAGCTAACACTCACATCAACCAAGTTATTCTTATTTCTGTTTTGTTTTGAGACTTTGTTAGGATCAGTACATGCAAATTTTCTCAGAGTGGACCACTTATGGTCTAGAACTCATCTGTTTTAATTGGCAGATATAGAACTAGACCACAAAATGACAAATTTTATCGGTATTGGACTTACAACAAATGTGTCATAGGAGAATTTGTGTCTGTGGAGGAGGTGCTGGAGGAAGTTGGAGCTTTTGTAGCTGGGGTCTCCCCATGGCATAGCTGAACACACTGGACACACCTGAAAGTATTAACACACAGTTTAGTCTAAGAAAGTGCTTCTCAAATTCAGTGCTTCTTTTCTTTCATCATTTTAGTGCTACCTGCTTGATTGCTTTGGCTTGTGAGAGACCTTGCTGCTCAAAATATGTCAACAGGCAGAGTGCTGCAGCTAGACCACGGGGAAGAGGGAGACAGGGAGCAATTTAAAGCTCCTGTGAGGAGTTTTCAAGAGGTTACAGAGTGACGGCCTCCTGCCTCTAGGGCCTGCTAGTGTTTTATGTGTGAACCTTTTACTATTGTCTTTTCTTCCCCTGCAGGTTAGGAGGTGGGGTTTGACACATCTGGGTGGACCTGTTCAGTCCACCAGGTGTACAAGAGCTGGCCATTAGCTTGTTCTCCCACTGCTCTGCTCTACCCTGCACTGTAGGTCCTCGGCGCACTACAGCATGTTTTGGTTTAGTTAAATCCTCTGTTAGTTAAGTTGCCGTTAATTTGAGTTGTTCATCTTCAATTCATCTTTTGTCATAAGATCATTTCATTATTTTAGTCAAAACCAAACATCTCCTTGTATTTTGTCATGGCTCTGAGCTGGGTCATGACAACAAACGGACTGAAATGAATTATACGGCCTCTTTATGGCATATAAACCATACCTGATTAATGGGAAAGTAACTGACAGTTTCTATTTTATACTTTTCACATAAATGCTAAAAGTTGGTAGGTAACAGACAGGGCTCTACCTCCAAGAAATGCCCTTTTTCTTACTTTTTCCACAGCAAATACTCATGATGAGTGAAACATATAATTATTAAAAAAAAGCAGAATGTACATTTGAGTCAAAAAACAGGATTTACCCATAAATGGAACAAGATAAGCCAAGTTATTATTTTGTTCATCAACATCATCACAAACAATAAGTTCCTCACAGAAGCCTTCATAATCCACTCTTACCACTTTATTAGGGTCATTACGGTGGTTTTCCATACAGTGCTTCACCAGTTCCTGCTGGTCCAAGTTTCTGGCCCCACAGAACGGACACACAAATGTTGACCGGTTCGGGATATTGCTACACATGAGAGGACACACATACACAAAGAGTCACACAAAAGCACACAAGAAGTATGAATTACTAAAGATCTGTATCAAGCTTTGAACCTTCTGTTGGATGGTTTCACACCCTACGTGTGCAATTAATCAGATATGTTCAGGTGTTTTATCCATGTAGGCTATTTCGACAAAGAGAGTATTTCCACAAAGTCAGAATACATATACAGCAGGTCATGTCACCAGGAGTGGGAAATCACTGACAACAGTGCAGGTTGGAAACTTGAAGTGTGGACATAGTCAGAGGGTGTGTACCTTGGTATAGGTTGGGAGGTGGGTACAACAGGAACAAACTTGGGACAATTGGCGAGTTGCTCCTGTACTTTAGTGCAGGAAGTAATGTGAGACCTCATCTTTACCAGAGTCACCTGAAAACACACACACAAACACGCACATACAGATAATATGATTATACCATAGTTACACAATAACACACTTTCCAGTATGAAGGTTTGGCTCTCATTTGGTCACAACGACCTAATTAGTAATTATTTCAGCCTTCTTACAGTGATTTAAAGTAAACCTGAATGACTTCTATCTCTGTGCATCCATCAACACCTCAAACATGGTTGACTTTAAAATCATGATTTCAACCGTGAAACACCTGCTTAACCTGCCAGCTGAACAGATAACAATCATGAACTAATAACATAGGCGATTGAATTTCACTAAATCACTAAAAATCACTTAAGTTCTTCTTCTTCATCTACTTTTGAGCATGAGGATAAAAAGGTTTAATATCTACCTTCTTGCTACAACCCCTACAGGGTGCTTTGTAAGAGGCCAGCTGCTTTTCCACACTGGAGGAGCGTTCGACTTTCTTGGGGTCAAAGGGGACACGACAGAGAGGGCAGAGGGGTGAGGTGACTTGAAGACATGGCTGAAGACATTCCCCACAAAACCTAAAGAGACAGCAGAGATACAAATATGTTAAGTCCTAGTTGAATGAAAGTACAGTGATGCTAATGAGCACTCTGCCAGAACACCCCCCCCCCCCCAGCAGTCATTTCTATTTTTGTTGATTGTGTTTATTGAATCAGTAGGAAAATTAAAGACAATTTTTTATCAAGAGGGTCTCAAAAATGTGAAACAAAGAAAGAGGAAAGGCCACTTTTTAGCATGGATTACAGCAAATGATCAAATCTGTCACCGCTTTATTACAGTGGACTTTTAAATAGCATCAATATTTAAACATTAAATATAAATAGAGGGTGACTATAAAGGTATCAACTTTGTTCCTGTCATATCAATTTGCTTTATGATGCCTTATAAATACCACAGCTACCACAGGCCTGAGCAGCAGGTTCACCTCCAGCTGCATTTAAATTACATTTCAAATGTATTCAGGGTTTTGATTGGAGGAGCAAGACAAATCATTTGAATCTATCTCAATCTTCTGATAGTTAGGGAATTGAATGTGTAACACACACTGCACTGTGTCTTTGTAAAGAAAATCTGTGGTTGACACTGAAAGGAAATTAGTGAAAATGACCACATCTGGGTTGTTTCATTAATTTACTGAGTAACTATATATATATATATATATATATATTTGAAACTAAGTAAAGAGGTCACCAGCTGCTTCCCTTTAGAGCTATGTTTGTAGTATGAGCCCGGGAAAAGTAAGGGTTAGTGTTAGTGTTTCCTTAAATCACCATCAGCAGCAGCAGGAGTGTAAAAATAGCTGTATTTCAAACTACAAATAGAACAGAGGGCCAGTCTGCTCTTTGTTGTTCATGTTGTCTTTGGTCTTGTAGCCTGATGCCTTCGACTCTTGTTTGTCTTAGACTACAATCTACCAAACAGCAGCATTTCAACATTAACCCTCTTCTTGTAAAATGACTTTGCAGCTCTTTATATTTGTATTTCTTTAGGCGCATCAGTGCAGAGATGCTTGTATGCGTGGAAAACAGACAGGCCACCTCTCTGATACATAATGTCTCCTATCAGAAAAGAGCTTCTGTATTATCAGGAGACTGAGACTCAGGTGCCATCACTGGACTGGGACAAACCAGTATCTCTGCAGAGGTGGCGAATGTTCTACAGACAGGTAACCCAGATTTATGTTTGTTGGTTTGAACATGAAAGTGTCAAAAAGCCAATGAAAACAAACTCACTTCACCCATTTTAAACATGCTAATGAATTTGAACACTGTTCTGATTTGGAATTAACAACAAGTGACACAATAAACTGCAAAATCATAGCGTAGCTTTCATTTTCTGTTCATCAACTTCACAGCATCTTAATGAATGCCATGTGAGTACATGATATCTCACATACCCTGTCTGCATTGATATGTCAACTCTGTACAGCATCACAGCCTGGCTGCATACATACAGTCTTTTGTTTCAAGGAAGCAGTTCATTTTGATCACACAGGCATAACTTAAGACAATAAGATGATTCGATTTCAAGAGCCAAATCTTTAGTTTACTAAAGTTGAAATACTCTTCTCATTGTAGTGAGAAATAACCATCTAACATCACACTGTCAGTGCACGATTGAATGTAGAGGACAGGGTCAACTTAACACACCCATCTAGGTCTGATACTGGATTTATGAGGTCTGCTGGCTTGATCTTCATTTGATGATAAACCAACTCTGAAAGATTTAAGTTGATCCATGGTGATGGGAATCTAATAAGGGCTCAGTTTGTTACAACAAATGGGCATAATGTTGAAGCTATCTCCTCCTTTCATAGGCATAACCATACTAATACACTGCAATTTAATAGCTGACACATTCGTGTAGTGCACTCTGTTCACTAGTTATTTCTTTGTTGCAGAGACACAAAAACATGGGTGCATACCATTTAAATTTCCAAAACTGTTATCACCCCTGGTATTTGCGATGCCTCAAACCTTTAGTGATGGGCTGGCTATCATTCAAAGGTGTGAGAAAATGTCATTCTCTGGGAGGTATTTCTAAAAAAGATAGTATTAGAACAAATAGTCCCCCTCAGACCAGCCTCTCCAAAAATACTAAACACAACATGTGAGAAAATGACCTGCATGCTTCATCGTAACTTTCTGCATGTCCACACACAATAACACACGTCCGAACAATGAGGAGCTGATTTACGTGTGAGCACAGCTGGCGATGCTGACGGGTTTGTGGTAGACCTCCAGGCAGATGGGACAGGAGAACTGGCTCTCGATGCCTTCAGCCGGGGCAGCCAGCGGACCCGAGCCGCTGCTAGGATGCTGCTGCTGCTGTTGCTGCTGGCGGAGTTGGGTGCTCGCCGAGACAAAGCTCCGAAACATCGCCATCATGGAGCCGAAGATCTGAAATTGTCGACAACAGAACGCTGCCCGAGAGAGGAACCTCCAACTGTTCAGAGTACAGCTGCTTTTATATCATCCGTACAGCAGTTTGAATATATGCCGAGCAAACATGATGCCTCTCTAACATATCTATCATACAATTATCCTCCACACAGCAAAACATGAGTTATTCCTGGCTGAAGAAGACATGCTGGAGAAGTAAACATTGGGAGCAGGGTTCGTTGGTAATTGTCAGTGCGCTGCTCTGAGGATGACCTGAATAAAAAACGCTGATATCTAAACCCACAGAGAGCATGAAGTGCTGCATCCACTCAGCTGTCAGATCAGCGGACTTCAACCACAGCGACGGAACGCTCGCGAAGGACACGAGCGGCTACAACAAAAGCCCTCCGCGCGCTCTGCTTTGTGGAGGATGAAGTCTTTATATTCATTTAAGTTCACTATTCTGCATCCTTATTGAACTACAATCCCAGATACCACATCGGACGTGTACAGGAAGCGGACTTGGTCAAAAGTCCAGAATTAAAGACACAAACCTTGCGTCATTACACTTTATCTATATATTTCTTACTTTTGATGAGAATTCTGGTCTTTTTGAGAATTGTATACAAATATTTTTAATTGTTATGGAAAGGAAATGAAAATAGTCAGCATTTTTTAAAGAAATTTACAGAACACAGAACGTGAAATATGATCTATTTAAAACAAATTAATCATAAATAGATAAAGTTGACCAAGTAGAATAACAGCAACAACAGAAAAAAAGGAAAATAAAATAAAAAAAATCCAGGGTAAAAGCAGATAAAAAATTCTTAGTCGGTGACTAATCTGCACAGAAATTTCACAGGAGGTTGTTTGAATTTTCTAAAGTACATGATAATGTCTCAGAGGAGACTAAACTACATTATCACAGTTTGTTAAGATATTTTGTTGCAAAAGAGACCAGTCATCTCCCCATATCGAGCTGAGAAGTATCATAAACCATTACACATTTGTGTAGTTTTTTTTTGTTAGTCATTAAATGCTGACATCATTTTAAAAATAAAATTTCAAATATCAATCCAGACACAGTCTAGTTTATGAAACACAAATCCCACAGTGTTATTTCCATTTAAAGAAAAAAAAATGTCCAGAACAATGGAAACACTCTGAATTAAATGCCAGATTTTATTGTCAAAAAGTTTTTAATATTCTTCATATATTTTAATATAATAGGTGCATAAAAACATACAAGTCAAGACAGTCAGACACAGTGTAGGATTTGGGGCGGCCAGTTTAATTCAGTGTGACCCTGAGGAGCCACCCATCCTGAGACAATAAGGTACAATACGCAGTAAACTTACTGAATGCTAAAGCAGAAAATTTTATGTTCAATCAAGTAGTGTTTCCGAGGAACATGTTTTACTACAGTGGCAAAAACACACACACAGCTGCTAAACTGATTTCTGAAGGATACATCAAAGTTGTGATATTCGTTTCTCCCTGCACAGATTTCTATGAGATTTTTTTTATTTGCATGATTTAATTCAACTGCAGTGCATTTAGATTTAATACAGTCATGTTTGCTTTTAGCAGGAGTTCTTTTCATTTGCACTGCATTTATGTCGTTGCATTTTTACACTTACATTATTTTTGCACTAGCAGTATGTTTAGGTAGGCTACTACTTTTGTGAGAAAATGATAAATGGCTCAGACTTTTTGTTGTTTTTGTAATTGTATTGATGAGGCCAAGAGGAAAAATCAAAGAATTGCCCAGATTTTTGACGCTGTTAGGAAGTTTCTTGATATGTTGGGAATTACAGGGAAGTGGGCATCAGAACCAGACTAGATCAGTCTCTCCTCTGTCCATCTCTCTCTTTCTCCATCCCCCTCCCTTTCCTCTCTAAACCCAGCTCGGACTATACAACAGGATCCTGGTTCTATGCCAAGAACTCACTCCTGATATTTCCCTTCCTGATCGTAGGATCAAACATTAGTACTGAATAAAAGTAAGAGGAATGAAAAACTTAAGTCCAGATGATTGACACCATAATTGTATTGCAGTTGTAGCCAAAACACCCCTTAATGTAGTTTTGCAAATTATGTAGTGTTCAGAAGACAAGTCTGGTCAATATGAAGCTAATTATGGGTGCAGGTGGTCAAACTGGACATCAAGGATTTTCTGAAGATTATCATAGTATCCTCTTTACAGTGAGTAGGTCTGCCCTGTTTCTGACACATTTCTTCAATACAGACCTCTCACATTCACACACATACACAAATACGCTACCACAAACTACTTTTTGTAACCCTGTTTTTTTCGAGTTAAAAAGTTTACAAAAATAAGGATAATTCAAAATTTTCCTATCACATTCAATCTAGAAATCAACCACAAATTATCCTTTGTTTAATTCAGTCTCCTTTATTTGGAAAAAATGACTGTATGTAGAACTTTTATGTACATCGTAATTTTCGATCTCGGATATCAGTTATTTAAACCAGTCAGCTACCTTCTCTTATAAAAAATAATAATAATACTCCTTGAAGAACAAAAGAAAAGAGTCCATTTGCTTTTAAATGATCAAATTCCTTTTTATAAATCCTTTTTATTAGCCAATGTAACAATATTCTGTGTAAAGCCTTGTAGGAAAAAAAAAATCATTTTAAAAAAAGGATGTGGTCAAACATATTTTGAATAGGCCTACTCTATTATGTGTGTCGCTGGGTCAAGGGCATAGACTGTATATACCACACAGTCTACGGTCAAGGGCCAAAAGATATCTTTTTCAAAAAAGTTCCATTTTGAAGAGCTACAACAAGAAGCAAAAGGTATATATTTATTGGAAAGGCTAATGTGTTTTTCTGTCCGTTCTAAGTTTATCAAATCATTATGAGAAAGAAGTCGTGTTTCTGCCCAGCAGTCGGCGGTAATGAGACACTGGTTACTAACGAAAAAAAGGTGAGACGTCGACGTCATCAAAAAGCGCTTATGTTTGGGAGAAGATTGCAGCAGACAAATGAGACCTCGCTGATTGCTATCAGAGGGAGTGCAGTTTAACACCACAGAGAGACCATCTCTGTTAAACGATATTTCAGAGGTAAGCAAGGCGTATTGTTTAACGTTTTTCTTATCAGTGCTCTGACTGGATTGACTTTATTACTCTGAAAAGTAAAGGTAGAAGTTTTGAATACGAATGACTAGAAAATTAATCCCTAATTTTCAGGATTATTTACAGTCATCTATAATCAGGATTCTGTCCGAAGTCAGTCGGCAGTAGTCTTCGTGAGCCCTCTTCCTGATGTGTCAGGTGGATGAAGTCTACAGTGATCACCTGGAGCGCGCGGCGGTGCCCAGGTGAGTCAGTGACGAGCCTTTGAGCTCCTCAGGTATTACCTAAACGTGAATGTGCTGTCTGTGAAGTCAATATTGTGGTCAGTCCCAGCTGTGGAATCGTGTGTGTGTGTGTGTGTGTGTGTGTGTGTGTGTGTGTGTGTGTGTGTGTGTGGTCTGTCACCTTTGATAGTTTCTGATAATGCATTTTTCTTAAATGAATGACGACAGAAACATAAGTGTAAGATATGAATCCATCCTGGTGATGTTTTTTGTTTCTCATTTGTTAGTGTTTCAAAAAAATGTCTCAAATGCAAAGAGGCGGCAGCAGCCGTGGTCATCAGAGCTGGACATTCATACTGCAGGTGAGGCATGCATGAGTGCTACAGGTGATGGTTAATAGTCTCTGTGTAAGGATTTAAAAGAGTAAAGAGCAGTCTCTTTGTGGTTTTTAATATCCCATTATGTGTCACTTAGACCACACCAGTGCACCATCAAAAAGTGCTTCCTCTCAGAGTGGGCTCCTAAACAGCCAGAAACATGGGTGTTTCCGCTGAAAGTATTTTGTGTGCATACTGTATGTAAAAATATGGAATGATCCAAATAAAGGCTAATGCTTCTCCTGCTGAAACACCTTAAGGCCTGTTTAATCAGTGAGACTGCCATTTATCAATAAAAATAGACTAGACTTTAGACTAAAAATATTCTCATTTAGCTGTGAAGTGCTTTGAAGATTACACTTTGATATTACTCACAGTGATATGACCTATGCGTAGGCGGCATGCTCTCATTCGGTGTTTACAGCACTACCTCTGACTGTTAAGAAAACCACATAGAAGAATTATTTGAGTGTTTTACGGTCCATCCTTCATCTTTACCAGTCTGTGCATTTCACCTGCCACATGACTGTTAAAGGTGTGGGTAGAAAAGATTGAAACATGATGTTTGTTTAAATTTACAAGACTTTACTGTGTTTTTACACATTTGCCAAAATAGTTTTTTCTGTTTCAGGGGATGTTTCAGGGAATACTTCATCCACAAGTTTAGAGCCATGTTAGGCAAAAACAGGATCATTTTCCCTGCAGAGAAGGTAGGCTGTAATAACTTAATTTGTCATGACAGGAAACTGTAGATTAATTGACTGTAGTTTACATTCAGAGTTCAATTATGGCACATAATAATTAACACAGGAAAGGTTCGATAGATTAATATGAGACTGCAGCCTTGTATCTTGTGTACTCTGATTGCAGGTGCTGCTGGCTGTATCTGGAGGTCCTTCTTCCTGCTCGATGCTCAGTCTAGTCCAAGAGGTTTATATGTTTGACTCTCTCTCCCACGTGTTTCCATGTGTTCCCACCACAAAAACATAGAAAACTGTGGTTACAATAATCTATGTGATTAGAGTAGAGTAGAGTGCTATTTTAATTTTAGTCATTATAAATGTGTTTTTGTTTTAGTGAGTAATCAATAATCCTTTTTTTTTCCTCTCAGGGTTTGAGTCAGAGTGCTCACAAGAAGCTGAGATTCTTACCTGGCATTGTCTACATTGATGGTAAATGACATTGCAACAAAACACTATGTTTAATAGTGAAGTGTATGGCTTGGGGGAATTTGATTGGTCTGTAAGGATTCTTTAAAAAGTCAACACTGGTTGTATTCGCGTTTTTCCAGAGGGGGGTGCTATCAGTCAATCAATGGAGGAAAGACAGAGGATTGTGGCTGAGTTGCAGGCTGTATTCAAAGGCACTGGTTTCCCCTTTCACATTGTGCCTCTTGAACAGGTCAGTGTGGAAACGTCAAGATTTGCCTTAAATCAAATACTAATGAAGTTGCATAAACAAATAAATTATTTGTATATAAAGTTATGAATCTGCAACTACAAAACAGTTGAAACTGTAGAAAAATATCAATTTTTAAGGTATTAAAAGCATTCAAACCCAATATTACATTAAAAATAGGGAAACGACAACATACCAAATGATAAAACCGATCAGGCTTATAGTGAAGAATATTCATTCATTTTGATTTTGGTACCAGCTACACCTTGTAACAGGTTAATCCCATGACAGGACTTCAAAAGGGCTCAGGTGACCACACCTCATTCCAGTTCTGCATAGCAGTGACACAAAGTCTGGTGATTGGTTTGACTATGTGATAAAAGGTGGACCATCAGATCCATTTCAAAGCATGCACTTGTTTAGGCCCTGTTCTAAATTCATGCCAGTTACCACAGCTGATCAGATACTGAAATTGTCCACTAACCTTCCACAGGTCCTGGACCTTCCCAGCTCAGTTCTGGTGACAGGCCCACCAACCTCAGATCAACCTGCCAGTGCATACAAAGCAGCTGTAGATCACTTCATTCAGAACAACAGCAGTATCTTTTCAGCACCCCCTGATCAGGAGGAAACATCGCCACCATCTCAGAAGGAAACTTCACTCCCTGACATTCAAGAGTCTCGTGTTCACCTTCTGCAGCAGCTGATTGGCTCTGTCAAGACACTGACAGCTAAAGCAGACCTGCTAAACATTTTGAGGTCAGACTGGGGGGCTGTGTTACTGCGTTACACAGCTGTATGATTGTTTTCAGATTTATGATCTATTAGTTTATTGATTCTTTGATCAAAAATGAAAAATAACTTATTTATATTGTTGTTTTGGCAGCTCTGAAAGTCATTTTTCCCTCTGAAATCAAAGCCAAAGTCTGTCACATCCTTCCTGTGTTTAAAACACTGCGTCATTCTGAGAAAGTCAGGTCATTTGTATCTGTAAATGTCTCATCTTTAAACCTCTGACTGCTCTGTGTGTTCCTTTTACAGGCAGCATCTACTGGTGCACACAGCTCGAGCCGAAGGTTACAGCAAGCTGATGCTGGGAGACAGCTGCACCAGACTGGCTGTTAAACTGCTCACCAGTGTGTCATTGGGCAGAGGAGCACAACTGCCTCAGGATACGGTGTGTGTGTGTGTGTGTGTGTGTGTGTGTGTGTGTGTGTGTGTTTATGTGTGTAAAGGAAACGGTTGTCTTTGTAGCAGATCTGACTCCTGTTTGATCGTGTGTGTGTGTGTGTGTGTGTGTGTGTGTGTGTGTGTGTGTGTGTGTGTGTGTGTGTGTGTGTGTGTGTGTGTTTGTTTTACAGGGTTTTTCAGACCCCAGATATGGTGACATAACATTAATGAGGCCAATGAGGGACTACTCATCAAAAGAGATAGCTTTCTACAACCACATGTTTAAAGTGCCGTCTGTGTTTATACCAAGCTTGGAAACGAAGGTAAGAAGACAGCAATTTAAAAAGTCTTTATTTGTACATAATTTACAGAAAGAGCTGAATGACTGCAAAACATGCAGCGTAACAGATAAGAGACAAGGCAGCAGGTAATAAGATTCAAGTTATTCTCACTAAATGCATCAGAATTGGATTTCACAAATAAACATTACTTTCATTTTTCAATTCACTTTTAGTAGCTGATTGCACAGACAGATTTCTAGTACAAAGCAAGGCAGTGAAAACAACAAGAACAATAGATTGGTTTACTTGAATCCTTCTTTAAAATAAGCTGAGATAGATGTTGTTGTTTACAACTCAGTTAGTGAGTCTCTGTGTGATTGAACACGAGTACATCTCCAGTTTGTCCATCAGTTTGTTTTTGTATCCGTCCAACAGACTACGGACAAAGCCAGTATCCAGCGTCTCACAGAGGGCTTCGTCACCAAACTGCAGGCAGACTTCCCCCACACTGTCAGCGCCATCTACAGGTCAGTAGGCTATATAAGTAATTATGATTAACTACTTATTTTAGTGTTGAATAAAATGTTTTAAGAGGTAAAGTCTAAAAAGCGGGACGGTGCAGCGGTGAGTGGCACACTGATAGTTTTGTTTTGGGATCGTTGCCCCTCAGATGATTATGAGGGCAGTCATGGGGATGTTTCCTTTGCATGTATGCACACTGAGATGCTTTGTACCACCTGCATGTTGGGACAGTTTGTCTCGTCATATTCACTGAATCTGCTGACTTTCTTGATTTAAACACTATTAAACCAGAAAGTTTAATAGTGTTGAAAGGTTACAAGATTTATGCAAAGGCCAATCAGACGTTCAGTCCAGTGCCATCATAACATCAAACTGGGATGTCTGCCTGAACAACCCTAATGACCTGCACAGTGTGGACACACTAATGTCTATTTCATCCTCACTTCTGAGCATCATCAGCTGTTTGTCAAGGGAAAAGAAACAGAGGAACTCTTGTCATGCCATCATTGCTCACTTCTCCATCCCTGACCATGTCACTGAAGAGTGAGAACTAAAAATCTTATCTCGTAGTTACAACTTCCTTTTCTTTCAGACAGGCATACAAAATATTGAAGAATTAAATATTCAAGATTTCAAATTTTTGCTGTCCCTTTTGTTACAAATTTCTGTATGATGTTTGTTCAGTGTATTATTTCTAGATGATTTTTTTTCACTCATTTTATCAGTGTTTTTATAATGATGTCAAAGCCAGTTTTTATTTTAAGGAACTCGATTCACAACAACACTCAAAGAACCAGGTTGGAAACATGAGCCACAACGTCTAATATTCTCATTTAAAGGTTTATTATGTTGTATTTAGTGTCATTTAGCAGAACAGACTTGGTTAAACTGGAATATGATATTTTAAAGTTTGTTTGAAATTGTGTGAAAGCACTTAGATATAAAAAACATTTTGTTTTTATTTACTTAAAATTAGTATTTTATACCTAAAGCAGGTCCTCCTCCACAGGGGCTGCTTTCTTACACCACCACACCTCTACAGGAGGACAGAGTAGATAAACTCAAGTGTTAAGGATAAGCAAGGCAGCGTTTCCAGCCTAAGTCCAACTGTCAGGTATCATAAATATTACTCCTTCTCTCCTTCTCTGCACAGTGAGCCTTTCGGATGAAAAAAATCAAGATGTATTTCGCAGGAAAAAAAATGACAGTGGATCAGAAGTAGGCATCTTTGGAACAAAATATGACCTAATGTATTTATTAAACACATTTTATTGCCCGGTAGATTGACTACCCCCCCCCCCCCCCCCAATAAATTAAGTATCGTGATTCTGAAAATAAAGACCCTTTCGAAGTTAGTATTTAACAGAAACTTGTCACAAACCCTATTTCACAGTCACAATTTTTAAAAGTTACATTTGTTGTCAGAGTTTAATGAAAGTGTTTTGTTTATTTATTTTTAATTTTATTATTTTTTTTTACTGAAAGTTTGAACTGATAAATCAGTAAAATCAATTAGTGTTTCCATTCCAAAAAAGAAAAATTATGTAGAAAACATTAGCTGTGTGGTCTAAATGAGGCTTCAACCTTTTCACATGTATGTCATTAAATATTCAAGGACTTCAGGGAATGATCTCTGCTCTGCTGGACCTGTAGGGCACGTATGCATCATTTGTTATTTTGGGGAGAAAGACTTGCATGAGCTTTGTGAGAAAAAAATCTGAATTAAAACTTTATGAACTGTCTGACTTTTTGACTCTTATTAGTCTGATTAAGAAACCATAGTTAGTGTCTGAAAACCTGTTCTGTGTTCTGTAGGACCAGCGAGAAGCTGCAGACAGCATTTCGGAGCTCCTCCACAGCTGATTCCAGTGGCAGATGTTTGTTCTGCATGTGTATCCTGGATACAGCTGTTGGTGAGTATTGGATAAAAAGAATATTTTTGGCTGTCAATAAAAGACAACTACTGAATAGATAAAGGTTAAAGAATGACGCTAATTAGCAAACAAGTGTGCGGGCTCTATCCTTGTTGTCTTTTGAATAAGGTTTAATATTGGTTTGTAGAATAACAAAGCGGATCTGCAGCCTCTCCTGAACTTCCATGTCTGACTCTTGTCTGAGAGGGGAGGGGGCAGATGCAGAGACAGAAATACACCAAGATAAGCATGGCGAGCACTAGACTACACTGATTGAGAATTTGACCCCAAACAGAGCTGTGGTCACAATAATGTGTGTCCAAGTGGTACATTAAAAATTAAAAGCCATCCCTGTATTCTTGCCCCTTGTGTGTAACTGTATGTGGGCCGTCTGCAGTGCTGAAGCAGACCGAGGTGAACTGTCAACAAGCACATTGACATCTTTGACATCTTGACTCTGCAACACTGAAACAAATTCAATATAGACCAAGAGGACATGGAGTTCCCTAAAGGAGTGGGGATGCATGCAAGCTTAATGTTAGGTCAACACAGGAGCCAGTTCATGCCCCTTAAAGAAGCTGCTGTACGTTTGCAGAGGCTGTTTTTCCTTCACACCCTCAGGACTGCTAGACTGTAGGATGTCTAAAGAACATATTTATAGGCAATTAAAAAGGTGATTTTATCATGGTCTTCTTTATAGGGCTGTTCATTTCTTTCTTTGAAAATCTTCCAATCAAAAACATACTATAGAGGGGCTGTAGTAAATATGCATGAGTCTATAAATGAGTCTTTATCGCACAGGTATTTTTCCTTTTGGGATTTATAATTTGTTTCTTTCCGTTTTTCTTCTGCTCTGCTCCCTTTCCCCCCTTTTTTTTTTTTTTTCAGAGAGTGCTTCAGCCTTCAATATGACACTGATCTCAGAGCAGCTCTCTCAGACCAAAGCTGCCGGAAACACCAAAGCAGAGCTCCAACAACAAAGTCCAGGTAAATGTTCCTCTCAATTAATTAAAGTTCAGTTGTATCTTCTTTACTATACTCTCTGCAGTATAGTCATTTTTACTTTGGTAGTCTGATGAATTCAGAGTCTTTTTTGATAAACGTCTGGATTTCACTTGAACAGTTCACAGATGAACCTGAAATATCAGGATACTTATGGTTGTCGTAGTCCAATATAAATCCATGTTTTGGAGACTGGGTGCTGTCAGGAGAAATTCAACAGTATACATTTGAGTTGAGTCAGTCCTTCAATGTTTGTAAAATCAGTCTCCTGTTATGTCATGAAAGCTGAACCTGAATCAAGCGCTCCTGCTGGACAGTGCTGCTCCTCTGGAGGAGGAGAGGATTGTGGGAGAGCAGCAGGTGGTGGCGGCTGCTGTTCTACAGACAAGTAAGTGTTAAATGATTTATTCACATAATTTCAGCAGCGTGTAAGTTCATGTCCATATCTTACAGGAGTATTTAAACAGCGCTCGACACACACAGGAATGTCCGCAAGTGTGTTTCAGCCTTGAGCCACCTTCAGTATGTGAGTTACTTAGTTCCACTCGTTCTCTATGTTCTGCACTGCTAACCCTGGTGGGTGTCAGAGGACCCTAGAGCCCATTCCAGCAGTCACTGAGTGAAAGGCAGGGTGTGTTCTGGACAGGTCAGTCAAGAGGGTCTTCCTCAGTCCACTAATGTGCCTTTGTGTGTCCCTTACCTCCATCTTAGTGCCTCCTGGAAAGGAACTGAAGAGGAGATGTGTAAATGGAGGAGGCAAATTTTGTTAACTGAGTAATCCTTCATTTTGGGGTCAGACTGAATTGAAGTCTGAAGGCAAGCTGCACTGCTGTCTCACCCGTCAAACCCACAATATGAATGCTGGAAAACATTTGATAGACTTGAGTGTGTCCTGTGTGGAGGAGGTACTGCTGGAAGTGTAACAAAAATGGGCAGATAATTTTTTTTCTGTGATCTTTAGGAGCATCAGCGGGGAACGAAAAATACACTGAAAACAGAAATATAACACAATATTCAGAGAATGCCCACACGCTCCAGATTAATCCATTAAGACCTGAATCCTTCTGAGACACGGCTCTGAAATCCTGAGGGCAATTTTGAGAAGGGCCTCCAGATCCTGAGGTTTTCTTAAGTGTTGAGGTTTACAAAAAAGCTGATATATCAGCCTCTGTAGCAAATAGAAACAACATTTTAAAAGTATTTGAGAGCTTATACATGAAGCTTTCAAGATAACTATCTTTTATTTTTCCGAACCCTCATCACATTTTTGAAAACATTGAACAATCAAACTCAAATGAAATAAAGTGGCTGTATAAATAGAAGTAAAGACTGCACTGGAGAATAACAAACAGTTTGCTTTCTGTAAAACAAGTGGCAGTCATGATAAAGTTTCCATTCAATACAAATATAAAAAATTAAGTGTTGAAAGGGTATGCAGCTGCCCCAGTATAGTGCCAGTACAAAAGCAACACTAAAAACTAAATGAATAAGTGTCTGACAGTGTGTTCATCTCTGTGCTCACTCAAAGTCATGCAACACTCACAGAAATCGCAGATAGTGTGAGCCAAAGCTCTCAATATGAAGAGGTTGTTCACACTGCTGAATGCTTCTTTTCCGAAGCTCAGTCATTGTTTACTTTACTCATGAAACACGTTGCAGGATCTTAGCATGAATCCGATCGCTTTATGAACCTATCAAAGTGGGACGGGTATGATGATTTGATTCTCCACGACTCGAGAAATGATTGAAAAACTACTGAATGTTACAAAAGGACGTATACGCGCTCTCGGCTTGGAAGGCTGAAATGCGTACATGCTGTCCCGGTTTAAATGGGTTAAGGGACATTACACAAGCTCAAATTTGAGGAAACGTAACAGAAAAAAGAAACGGAGCAGGTCTTGAAGTGAAGTGGAATAAATATTTACGTTTCATGTGGGCTGCACGACTCAGTGAAATGTTGTGGCCAAACATGGTTTATTCTAATTGAAGCTCACACTGTGTCAGGCTTCATCCAGCATTGACTTTGAGTCTGCAGCCTCCATCAAAAGAGGCTCTTGCAGAGAAGACCCGCAGCACCTTAAACAGAGGCAGAGGATTACATAACATTTTCTGCATTCAAAGTGTGCCACCTGGAGTGTTAGTTCAAGGCTGTTAAAGACTTGGTGAATGTCCTGTGATGGCAGTTTGACTGTTCTTTCTTGTACTTCAGTTAGAGCACATACAGGTTTGCTGGGAACTTAACAGAAGCATATGTATTGAAAATATCAAGGGACAGTTTTCTCTGCATCTTCAGCCAGACCTGAGGGCACTTTCACAGCTGATTGTCTTGGTTTATCTTTATCATGTTTAGAGGAAGCAGTGGCTGTCAGACCAGCAACATCTCAGTGTCTGATAAAGCATGGTTAATGTACCTGCTGAAGTTATGAAACAAGTCTTACTGAGCTGCAGTTAGACAGTGTCATTATCCTCAGAGAGCCTTTGTGACTGAGTTTTCCGTGTCACACTGTAGGGCAACAGAGACACCTAATCTGAGGAGCCTGCTTTGTTACAGCTGTCAGCTGACCATCAAAGACATGGTGAGTGAGAACCACTGAATGTACTCGCTGAGTGTCATGATCACTGTTACACGCAAACATCCTTTGTGTTTGCCGTCAGCTACTCATCCAGAACCTAAATATGTTCAGACCTTGACTTTAAGGTTGTGTTTTCTCTTCCCCCGTTTTACCTCCAGTCCTCCGTGGATCACCTCCCACTCTACATCCTGTCAGAGGCTCAGCGGAGGCAAAGGAGGTACAGAGAGCATGCTGTTTACTTATCACTCTTCATAGTTGAGTTAAAGAAGGAATACCATATGCAATTCTCTGACCTATGACATGACATGACAACCCTGCATGGATTCCTGTTCAATATCTGTAATGTTTCACTAAAAAGGATCATTTATTTATTTGTTAATTATATGAACTAGCCATAGCTGAAATCCCACAGCCCCAAAACTACTGCAAAGAGAAGCCTCAAACTTATTCATGGAAACTTTGCTTCTTTTGCAAATGGGAGTTTTTTTGGTTTTCTTTTTAAAACTCCAGCTGTTTTGAACCATTTTAATCCATAAATTAGTCATTCATTCAACAGTATAGGTAGCCACACAGCTGCTTATTTAGACAGAAAACATCAACATAAACTAGGGTGACCATATTTTGATGACTGAAAACCAGGACACTCAGCCCAGCAATGAGATACTCAAATGATACTGGAAGTTTACTCAGAGATGTTTTGTAATTTCAATATGCCTCCTCTGTATAGACAGAGAATTGTCATGTTACCGAATACTATCTGGAACCAAAGAGACAAGTTTAGGTAGGCCTCTCAACCTGCTGAATTGTGACAAGTTTTAAAAATAACAAATGAAATAATGATAGAAAAAATGTCTCTTATGGTTTAGAAAAATAACTAAAAAATACCTCTGCTATATTAGCCATCCAACTTCAAACAAAAAAGCTCTCACAAACTTACAAACACGAACAAAAAATATACACTGCCTGGCCAGAAAAAAAAAATTGTCCCCACCAAAAAAAGGTCACACTAATTTTTTGTTGGTCTGCCTTGTTTGGATAAGCTTCTGCAATGTCACAAGATTTATTTCCATTGTGTGTTGCATTAATTTTTCACAAAGATCTTGGACTAGTTATGGGAGAGTATGAACACTGTGCAAAGCCTTCTTCAGCACATCTCAAAGATTCTCAATGGGGTTAAGGTCAGGACTCAGTGGTAGCCAAGCCATATGTGAAAATGACGTCTCATGCTCTCTGAACCACTCTTTTACAATTTGAGGACGGTGAGTGCTGGCATGGTCATCTTGGAATACGCCCGAGTATACTGGATAACCTGGTCATTCAGTCTATTCAGGTAGTCAGCTGACCTCAGTCTTTGGGCTCATAATGTTCCTGAACCTAGAACTGACCAACTGCAGCAACCCCAGATCATAGCACTGCATCCATAGGCTTGTACAGTAGGCACTATAGGCTGTATTGGGACAGAGGAAAAAGTGCCTAGAAAGTGAATCTCGTTCCATAAAATAGCTTTATTAATAGTAAGTACTAAAAAAATATATCTACTCATGCCATCCGGCTGATTTTTAGTAATCAGTGTTTCGGTGTCGGACTATTTCCTTTCTGCAGCATAGTGATACTTGCACACGCGCAATCGAATATGCAGAGGGGTGAAGCGATTTTTGTCACGTGGACCAATAGGAGCCGAGTCTCGTTGCCATAGTATCAGAAATACACAAACATGGCGACGAGCACATCTTGCAGCGAGACAAGCAAAGAGGAAGAAAAGGAAAGGGAAAAAAAAAATGAAAACAACCTTCAAAAGTGCATAAAAAAGGAACGAAACGATTCTATATGCATCTATCATCTGTCCAGAGTGAAGACGTTCTCGACTTTACAATGACACATTGGGAAACTTACAGAACTAGTATTAGAAAGTGGCTTTCTCTACAGGGTGAGACAAAAGACCAGCCAGAAATGTACATATATGTGAGTAACACAAAAAACAACTGTGCTGCTGTTTTAGCTTGTAGAAACTGCTATGTTGATTCTGGCAAGACAAAGTCTTTCTCAAATGTCAGGTATAACATCTGAAACAGTTATTGGTGCCTTAGTATATGCATAAGTGAATTCAGATTATGAAATGTAGCAAATTTCTTGAAGAAAACGTCTCAACTCAAGTGATTTGCACCCAGCACAATGAAATATATACAGTAAATTTAGCTAAAAGCTTATGTTTCATACATAAAAATGACACAACCTACTGTGTAATAAAAGCAATAAAATATAAACAGAACATCATGGCCATAAATGGCTGAAAGTCAATCAAATTGCTACCACGCCCCCCAAAATTGGAATAATGGAAAAAATGTAACAAAACAAAAATAAATGCACAAAAGGTCTGAATTAATTCAAAATATGGTATAAAACATTTATTTAAGTATCACAGTGTCAAAACATCTGATATTTATCAATCCCTCCAGAATATGAAAATAAAGATCAAAACACAAGCGCAGACAAATGTAGAACAAATATAAAAAAATTATAAAAATCTCAAATCTCGGTGTAGCAATCCTTTACACAAAACAAATTGTACATGGTGACATGGTGCATATATTACGCATCACTATCACTTTCATCAGAGTCATCATCCCATACAGCTCTTTCTTCTGTTTCCTTTGAAGCATTCTCACATGCTTGGCACCGACATAAATCTGTACAAGATAGTCTTGCAGACATACAAGAACATCCATACATTCACAGGTTGTGACTCGACCAGTGCCTTTCATGGCAAGGGCAAAAAAAAAAAAATTCTGTTGCTTGTCAGAAAGAAGAATACCTGACTGGGTTTGCAAATCTGGGCAACAGTTTTAACCTTGACCAATCCACCTTTAACACGCTAAGTAGTTATGTGTACCACCTGTATGGCCAGTCATTAGCCAAAAATGTAAATGATGCCAGATACAAATCTTTCTGCATGGCCTCGCCAGCTTTGCCAGAACTGTCCATTCCCTCAACAAGTAACGCCCTGTACCAACACTGCATGAGAGCAAACTACCAAGCAGCAGTGATGAAACATTCTCTGACTGGTAAAATGTGTGCCCCTTCACACTTTCTTCACAAATCCTGCCCCTGATAGTGTTTTGCATATAGTCCACTGTAGTTGCAAGACAACCAAATGTGAGACTAAACGATGTTCTTGTATGTCTGCAAGACTATCTTGTACAGATTTATGTCGGTGCCAAGCATGTGAGAGAGTTGAGACGTTTTCTTCAAGAAATTTGCTACATTTCATAATCTGAATTCACTTTTGCATATACTAAGGCACCAATAACTGTTTCAGATGTTATACCTGACATTTGAGAAAGATTTTGTCTTGCCAGAATCAACATAGCAGTTTCTACAAGCTAAAACAGCAGCACAGTTGTTTTTTGTGTTACTCACATATATGTACATTTCTGGCTGGTCTTTTGTCTCACCCTGTAGAGAAAGCCACTTTCTAATACTAGTTCTGTAAGTTTCCCAATGTGTCCTTGTAAAGTCGAGAACGTCTTCACTCTGGACAGATGATAGATGCATATAGAATCGTTTCGTTCCTTTTTTATGCACTTTTGAAGGTTGTTTTCTTTTTTTTTTTCCTTTTCTTTTCTTCCTCTTCGCTTGTCTCGCTGCAAGATGCGCTCGTCACCGTGTTTGTGTATTTCTGATACAATGGCAACGAGACTCGGCTCCCATTGGTCCACGTGACAAAAATCGCTTCACCCCTCTGCATATTCGATTGCGCGTGTGCAAGTATCACTACGCCGCAGAAAGGAAATAGTCCAACACCAAAACACTGATTACTAAAAATCGACCGGATGGCATGAGTAGATATATTTTTTTAGTACTTACTATCAATAGAGCTATTTTATGAATCACAGTTTATGTTGCCCCACTGAAGTGGAACGAACCAACACGATCTCGCTCAGCCAATACAGCCTACTAGGCCTGATGGGTGCATCACTTCACCTGCCTCTCTTCTTACCCTGATGCGCCTGTCACTCTGGAACATGGCTAATCTGGACTCATCAGACCACATGACCTTTTTCCATTCTTCCAGAGTCCAATCTTGGTGCTCCCCAGCAAACTGAAGCCTTTTTTTCCAGTTAGCCTTACTGAGTAGTGGTTTTCTTAAAGGCTACACAGCCGTTCAGTCCCTTGAGTTCCCTTCGCATTTGTGCGTGTTCTACTGTTGTCTTTCTTCGATTTGATTTGACCAAACATTTAAGTGATTTCTGATTTCTTCACATTTCTTCCTGGAAGACGATGGTTCTCTACTATCCTTCCAGTTTTTAATAATGCGTTGGACGCAATTTTAGAAGTTTCTGCAATCTCCCTAGATGTTTTCTATGCCTGATGCATGCCAATGATTTGACCCTTCTTAAACAGACTAAGCTGTTTTCCACACCCACAGGATATGTCTTTTTCTTTAAACTTCTTTAAAATGCTGTAATTATCCAATAGGAAGCTTGTACCTATTTGATTAGTTCAATCCAGGTGGGGACTTTTATTTTGGCTAGGCAGTGTATATTTACTTGTTTTTTTCTTCATCCTAGTGGCTCAGTTTAGTGGTCCAATGAATACCAGGACATTTTCATCACTTTATAACAATCAGCACAACCAAGACAGGATGTGAAACGGGACATGTCTTGGGAAAGCAGGGCGTTTCGCCACCCTAACATAAACCATAATAGTAGAAACTAAAGTCAAGAAATAACCCAGCACTCTTACTTTCTCTCCTTTTAACCTGTTTTTCAATTTGTGCAGGTCTCAGATGAGAGAGGAGATCAGTGAATTCCTGCTGGATGGTGAAGATGATTAAGAGTTGGACTGAGTGTTGACTTAAAAGCTGAAATCAAATATCACTTTTACCTTTGCACAGTTATTGAATAAAGAGGTTTACCAAACATTTGGTAAACGTGTATTTCTTACAGGATCAGCCATCTGTGATCTAAAGCCCACATTGTGAAGTGTCTACTCAAGTGAGGACATGGTCATCTGTCCCCACACACTTGTGATCGTCTTCAGTACTGATTGGTTAGGAGTTAATTTTGTGATTGCTGAATGTAACTTTTGGAAAAACAGTCACATTCTGTCTTTGCTTCAACTGGAGATACAGACTAAAGGAAAATCACAGATGCACTCAGCAGAAGACTCTTGTCTGTATTAGCAAAGCAATGCACCAAACTTTTCAAACACTGTAGAAAAGTACACACATCAACGGCCGACAGGTTTTTAGAAAAGGTTGTGCAAATGTAAATGACAAAACAAAGAGTCCCAGTTTGAAGATAGAAAGTGCGGCTTTATTGAAAAGACAGAACATTACCAAAGGTTTACAATTTTTTTTACACACATATGCACACACACACACACACACACATATTTACAGAATGGGAATTCACAATGGGTATGAATGTATGAATGAGTTTTTATGGAGAATCTGGATTCTAGATTTTGTTAATACCAGCAGTAGGTAGGGTGGATTTGTCCAAGTCATCAAAATAAGGGTGAGTCATGGCCTGACGAGCAGAGAGCCTCATGGGAGGATTGTAGGTCAGCATTTTCTGCAGTAAAGAAACAAGAAGGAGAAAAATTAGACCATTATAAAAGTTTATAAAAAGGACCCGTGAGCACACTGGTTTTACTGAGTGGAGAACTTGTGATGCTGAGCTACACAGTATATGAAGACACAGAAACTGCTTTAATGACCCCACTCTGCTACCCCAGGTTTAATCTATGGCCTGCAAAATATGGAGGATAAAAATATGAAATATGTCCCTGAACACCAGCTGCTCCTAAACTTTCTCTACAGCGCTCCCTTTGGTAATCTTAACTACTTAAAATCTCCCAGCTCCTTGAAAACTCTAAACATTTACTAAGAAAGCTCCACTGCCACATGTAACCTCTGTTAGTGGAGATGGAGCTAAAGATGAGCTGTGATTTCTTGTATTAGTCAGAGTGTTGCTACAATGGTCTCAGATTCACTGTGACAGTGGGTGGGTAAAACTTTGGTTTTTTTAAGTCTTGCCTTGTCTCTTTAATTCTGAGTAGAATAAAGACATCACTAATTTATGACCAAAGTCACACAAGTATAAAGAAAGAAAGTAATCTCCCAGACGTACAGCCAGTAGATCCAGGCCATTATTGTCCAGGTTTTTCACCGCTGATGACAGGTTACCAGGTTTCCATTTAGGGAAGGTGTTTTTGTAGTCAGGCAGGTTTTCAACATCAGGCCACACTTCATTGTTGGGTGTACCCAGAACCCTGAAAAGAAACAAACATTAAGTAATCCTATCGACCTAATAGAGGAGGGCTTTCTGGTGGCTGATAGTTCAGGATCTTATTCTTTTGGTGAGAGAGCAACGGGGACATTCAAACGGTCTGTTTTGCAATAAGGGCACCAAAGCTTTGTGAGCATCTTCAAACTGTCTTGGCTTTCTCTTTTTTCTATGTTAAGTTTCTACTCAGGGCTTTAAAAACAACCAAATCCATCCTGCCTGAACTCAACATTTACTCCTTTTGTTTGTAGTATTAACAGTTTGTGATGGTATCATGGTTTGAGCTATGGTACACAATTGTGTGGCTTTTTTGTCAGATGAAGTATGAAGTATGTTAAATTTTCTAAACTGCCAAATACAGATTACTTCAGTTTGGTAATTGTAATTAGTCACCATGGGGCCCACCTCTGAGCACTTCTTGAATCCACTGTATTTTCCTTAGCTTATGGTTGTCTTCCATGAAGAACTTTTTACATTAATTTAGATTTACACTCAAAAGTTTTACTTGGACAACAGTGGAGGATTCTACAAATGGGCACATCAGATTGTGCACCGTCTCTACCTGAAGATCCTGAAGAGCTGGTCAATCTCAGAGTCCCCATGGAAAAGAGGCTTCTTGGTGGCCAGTTCAGCAAAAATGGTCCCTGTGCTCCAAACATCAACAGGGGTAGAGTATCTGAAGGAACCAAGGAGGACTTCTGGGGCCCGATACCAAAGAGTCACAACCTAAACACACACACACACACACACACATACACACGGTTTCAATCGGTTCATTGGTCATTCTGAAGGTCTTAAATGCTCTTCATCTGACCTCTGTGTTGGTGTGGTTTTATTTAACAGTTGTTTTAACCCATGTTACTTTATAGTGACTGGTGGTGTGTGTACATAGGCCCTTACCTCATGGGTGTAGACTCTGACAGGCACACCAAAGGCCCGAGCCAGGCCAAAGTCTGCCAGTTTGATAACTCCTTTGTTGTCAATCAGGAGATTCTGAGGTTTCAGGTCCCGGTGGAGGACTCGACGACAGTGACAAAAGTAGATGCCCTCCAGGATCTGGTAAAGGTAGCTCTGAATAGAAAGGTAGGGTAAGAGGAAGAGAATAAATGGAGATGGAAGTGCTTATACCGCCACAATAATCCACAGAAACTTCAATCAGTTGATTTAAGGGGTGTCCCAATACAACTTTTTTTTTTTGTTACCTCCAATACGATACCAATATTATAGCCTTCAGTAATTACCGATACCAATATTGGCACAAACTTGTGCATGACAAGTTTGGCACTCAGCGGCAACTTCTTTTTCGGACTTGAACGAAAAATACTGCCACATGGCCGACATCACTCCTGCTCCTTGCTTTGTTAGTACCTTAGTACACACTGTTGTTGTGATTGCATGGGCCCTGCATGCTGGATCCAGGCACTGCTAGAAAAAGGTGCTGAAGCAGAGTCTGGCATGGACTGCTTGTATCAGAGATTTTAGATGCAGGCAGATATAATCCGATATTAGTTTTTTTTTTTTTGCTGATATCAGACCGATATCAATATCGTATCGGGACACCTCTAATTAGTTTATCATTTTCCCAATGTTTTTTGAAATCTTTTGATATCCCTGTACTTCACAGAAAGCAATAAAGAAGGTTGCTTATCTCCTTGTTATGCAAAATAATGAAATAATGTGCTGAACATGATCAGCTTATGGGCTCAACTCACAAACTAAACAAACCATTTTCTTTAAAAAACAAAAAACTAAACATGGTGTAAAAGTTGTTGCTTTATCAAGAATGGAGTTGTGTTAAAGGCGGCATATATAAACTTAAATGGAGAGGAAAATGTCAACAGACTTTTGCAGGTGGTGTTCTGAACTGATCTGTGTTACATCAGGTTAAAAAGAACAGCTCATCTCCAGTGTTACTTTGAGTCTTCTTCCAGCAAATAAAAATGTTTTGGTAGTCAGCAGGTTTTCTTTAAATTGGTTTGAAATAGACTGATATGACAGCTCTACATTACAGACAGACAAACTCAGACTTAAAACCATCAAGATGAATCAATGAGAGTTCATTTTTCACAGTCATGGTTACCTTCACTAGCATAGGATCCACATACTGGCCAGAGGGGATGGTGTCCAGGTATTTCTTCAGGTCCATGGACAAGAACTCAAAGATGAGGTAGAGACGAGACTCCTGCATCGAGACATCCAGGAGTCTGGTATACACACACAAACACACCTTTGAGCAAGTGCACAGTAAGAAGTATACTGTTGTTTATATTTTATTGCAACCATGACTCTCTAAGGGGGTTGGCTATGTACATGTATGGAATTTTAAGTAGCTGCCACAGTTTAAAACAGTACATATAAACATATCCAAATGCAAAACCTAGTTTAACAGGGTCAGGCACTGAACTTAATACACCATGTGAAACTGTTTCATCTCAGATCTACAACACATTGAATTTGGACTTTTAACAGTTCTGCATCATAGTCAAGTTTGTTAATTCTTCTATTCAAATGACACAAAGGCTGCAGTTATATCCAGCAAAATACTGTGTGTGTATATATATATATATATATATACCAGTCCTTCTAGCTTGGCGGACACAATTCTTTGTTTCAGCAGTTTAATGGGATAATTAAAGAATTAGTTTGTATGACTAGAATGGATGTCTTTCAACATCCTATAAACTTTTGCACTTTAAATGTAACAAAGTTACAAAAAAAAAAAAAGAAGAAGAAAAAGCTTCAGCTGTCTTTTCCTTTACATATAGTGTATTTATAGTGATACTTAGAGAGAATTACACACTTTGGTTTGGTTCAGAACAGTGATTAATGCACATATAACCTCATGACTATTTCTTAAGCTCTCACGACAACATGAGACAGCCCCACATTTCAGACCAACAGAAGCAAAGTTATCTTGAAACCTTAATTCTAAAATTCTTATTTTCTTTAGCAAAACCTGTGATTAGAATGACTTGAAGGTTTTTCTAAATTCCTGTCGTAAATATTAAAAACCACTGCTGTAGACTTTTTAGATCCTTTTTCCCTTCTGGTCATCTGAACACTGAAAAGCCTCAGTTCTCTAAATGGTATGTGTTATTTTAGGGCAAATGCACTCATGTGCTACAAGTGAATCTTCACAAAATTCAAACATACATTATCTCAGAGAAATATTAACATTAAAAAAGTTGTTGGTAGTATTCCAATATTGTTTAGGTGAATGAGGCAAGACTGACCTCAGCTTTACTGCTGTATCTGATTGTAGGACATGAGTGATCAACATTATTTTCCATTAGGGAAGTTAAACCGCAGGATTTTAGTGACAATAAAACTTTGAATCAAAATATGCCTGTTTAGCCTTTTGCAGTCTCTGCACTCCTCAGCCCAACACTGCATCTATTATCAGCAAGCATTCTACTTGAACAAATGTTAATCTAACAGATACTGTTGGTCATGTAACAAACCCTTAATTCTTCACATGTCAAGCGTACCGTACAACGTTGGGATGCTTCAGCTCTTGAAGCAGTGAGATCTCTCTGATAGCAGTGCTAGGAACTCCCTCCTCTTCACTCTCCAAACGGATCTTCTTCATCGCCACAATCTGCCCTGTGGCTTTGTGCCTGCCTTTATACACCACACCATATGTACCTGCAAGAAAAAGTGGACAAGATGACCTTAATAAGAGCAAGCAGGGAAAGAATAACAATAAAGACAACTTTCAGCTTTATAGTGACACATTAAGGATGTTTGAAAATCACCTGACATGTCTCTTTGGTAGAATAACATTTGCAAATTTAAATTCAACTTAAAACAAATAAGACCAACCTTCTCCAATTTTCTCTATTTTCAAATAGTCCTCCATTATAGCCTGAAAGAAAAGAAATAGATTATTTATTAACAGTGCAATTTTAACAACTGGGTCTTCTCGGTAAGCCCAAGAACACTTAATTGTATAAAAAGGAGTGCCTTTAACTGATTTTTAATGCTATAAGACGTGTGGGGCCTAAAACCTCAACCTAACACGACTGAAACAGCTTGAGGTGGTACACAGAAATGTGTCAATCTGAAATATGTACACCATGAGACTAAGTTGTGCCTTCGGTTGCACAAATCTGTTAAAATTTACGATTACTCTCTGATTTTAACTGTTGGTATACAAGACTTTAGCCCCAACACGAATGAAGTATTTACTTCTTACATTGTTCCAGAAAATAAGTAATTTTAGCTAAAATCATTAAGAAGCATAAGTTTAAGACCAGTTGGTAGACTTTTCGTGAAAAAACTGCAGTATGATTATACAGATTGTTAACAATATAAACTCTCCGCTTGTCCGTTAACAGCTCACATTTTTCATGCAACGTCGGTTTGATTAGCTTACTAACTCCCTTCGTCTCCAAAGGCTCCACAATATTTCTCAAATTCGGCTTACTACTCTGTCCAAGTGGCCTATTTTGTACCCTATCTGCAGAAAAATCTAAACCATGACTTCAACACAAGTAAAATATAATACCAGTTACCTGACAGTATCTTGAGTTGTCTGTACTCTTTGCTCACGGACTGCCGCTGGAACGCTCATAAGCTTTTTTAAAATGACCGCAGTACTGCAGCGTTTGAATACCGACCAATGGGTTTAAGTGATGCATTTCAAATTCACCAATAAGAGACCAGGAGGCTGCCGTGTTGGTTGAGCGGGAGTGAACGCGCCGGCGCAGTGATGCATCTAGGCCCAATCCCAATCCGCCCCCTACACAATCCCCCTTCACTACCGAGTGTCACTTATAATTAAATCACACTTACAGCTGTGGAGGGCGCCTCAATTGAAGAGGGAAGGTATAAATAAGACGGGCAGGTATGGGACGCACTCCTCACTCCTACAGATATGAATATCTATAACCATTTGATTGAAAATAAATAAAATGTTTAATAAAATGATCTGTATTAAAAGTACTTGTTTTTTGGGGGGGAGAAAAAAGAAAATCAGTTGAGATACTAGCACGTAATGATTTATTTTCAATGTACATGCATAGCCATAAATAGGTACGATCATAGATATCTATGGTAACGATGCCCCCACCAAGATGGCTGCCACGTAGGAACGTCGCTTAGCGTGCTGCTACTGCGCCACGGCGTATGTAGTCTTCAGTATCTGAGGCAGCAACGTTCGAGATTTTCTTCATTTGGCCATAATGAAAACAATCAAATGATATTCATGACAGTATTGCAGTTCCTGTATGATACTGAAGTGTGTCAGAAGAGCTTGTGAAGCTAGAGACCAGTGGAGGGCAGTAATACGCCTTGTGGCTTCTACACACTGCCGGGAAGGATGGTAGGGGAAGGTCCCGCCCTCATTCGCCTCTGATTGGCTAGAAGTGCTGGGCTCCGATTGGTTATTCCCATAGACTGTATATAAAATGGACAGAGTCTTCCTCCTCGCTGGGTGAAGCCACTCCGAGAACAGCACCCTCTGATGGTGGGCTGCAGTACAGGTCATTGATCCCGCCTCCGCCAGCAAAGCTTATGGGACTGTGGACAAACTTTAGAAATTTATTACACAGAACATACATTTTTCTCCCCCCTGTTTGTGCTCAGGTCCTTTTTTTCTGTACAGCTCCGTTTTTAAAAGTTATTAGGGGGTTCATGTTTTCTATGATTGACACCTGGTACAGCCTATGGGCGTTCAGGGATTGCGTAGCTCACCCGGGGGGATACTCTGTTTGAGCGGAGCGTCATCACAGGGACTCTCGGCGACTGCGCGGACGAATGCGTGCATCGCTACTGCGCAGCTCTGGTTTCAAGGAAGTGGAGAAAAACCCGGAATTACCGAGAGCTTTTTGGCTTCGAATCCGTATACAGGCGGAAGGCGGAACCAGGTTGTCCATCTTATATACAGTCTATGGTTATTCCCTATGGCTTTGAAATGTCAGCGTCTGTTGGTTTAGGGTTAGGCAGAGCAGTGGATTAAACATGTTTAATGTTTAAACATGTCTAAACATGTTTAATCCACTGCTCTGGGGTTAGGGTTAGGAGATTTGTTGGCTCTGTCCGAAATGGCATACTGCTCAAACTACTCATACTAATCCTGCCCCCGAATTGAGTGGGCAGTGCTTTCACACTGTACAGTATGCAAATTTTGTGTAAGCGAGAAATGCCGGGATGTATACTCAATCGGCTTCGATTTCTGAGTATGGAGCGGAGCTTGCTTCACGTACTGTTTCTGCCCCACAATGCACTGCACACTTCAGCTGGCAATATGGCCCTCTTTCCCGAGGCTGAAAAGAAATAGATGGCATGGGATTGCAATAATAATGACAAATATATATAAATAGATAAACAATATTTCGTCAGTATACATTACACACTTTTTTAAATCATATTTTTATCTTTTTTACCAGATTCATTTGTATTTTAAATTAGGATTGTAGGTAATGTTTTTAACTATTCGTATGAATTGACCTTATTTATTTAAGTGTTTATTAAAGATGTATTTATTACAACAAGTTTGAGAATCTTCTCATCTCTGAATGCATCATCAAAGTGGTCACTCATATTAAGCACAGACCTCTGATTAATAAAAATTATTATTGGTAGAGAGCACATGGTTCAGAATATACAAATGGGGGAGTTTCCAGTTGACAGTGTATATGTGAGCTTTACTGATTCTTACTTGTGGTTGAAAATCCATTAGGAAGTACATAGATGCCCTGAAGAAAAGACGCCTTTGACTTCTTGCATGGCGGCGCTCTATGGTTTTCAGCCTACACCAGGCAGAACTACCTGATGGTTTCTGAAATTATTATTGTACATGAAAAGAATGTAGTCAGGAAATGATGTATTTGCCAAGGAATAACCGAACAAGGTCATAATAATTGTGTTGTGTGTTGGTCATTTTGCAGCCCTATGCTGCTCATCACACGCCCAGCAGGTGGTGTATAGCATTATCACCATGGATATACAGGTGTTTGTGCTATTTTTTTCATCCACTGCCGCTCGGTTTGTGTCGCATAGTTGTTGATTATGAAAACACCGCAATAATTTGAAAACTTGAAGGGGGAGCTGCTGCTACTGGGTGTTTATGCAAACACCCACCAAGCTGACACTTCAGTCTCAGAAAACGCCGAGACAAATTTACAAACAGCCACTATTTCAAACAACTGGGCTCATAATCGTGATGTAAACTCTTACTTTCTCGCTAGAAAAAATACTATTTCTGAATGAATTTATATAATTTGTCCAGAATGCAGTCATTTGTGTAGCTTGTGGTAGGTCTATTTAAATTTTCCCGGCGCTGCGTCCGGCTGGCACGAAATGCATTCTGGGGTATTTAGTATGCATCTGTATGTAAACGCTCGGGCAGCTGCGGCATACTCAAATAATCTTTGAGTATTCAGTATGCAGTATGTACTGATTGAGTAGGTAAGTAGACAGTAGGCAGTAACCCCTATATAGGTGACTACATGGAGGTTAGCGCCATTTTGACGGGTGTCGAAATCTCAGGCTGTGTCTCATTTCAGAGACCGCATCAGGCTGAGCGCGCTCAAGCACTGCCATTATGTGGACTGGAGTACCCCAAGTGAGATGGTCCGTTTTTTGTGAAATGGGACAGACTACCCTTCGGAGGACTTCCTGGTTGAGTCGCCAAATGTCCCCGCCCTCAGGCTCGCGCCATGACTGACTTGAAGAAAAGCTGCGGAGCACAGCATTTATTTTTTAATTGTGCGACCCTACACAGACACAGAACAATAGATAAAATCAAGCAAAGAGTATTCCCACAAAATTCATCCAATGATTGCATGTTTTGTATGAAGCTGTAAGAGGGCCATATTGAGAATTTCTTTAAAGACTTTGAGATTCAAGTCGTGAATTTAAAAGTTCATTAATTTATTAGAATAAAGTCGTAATGTTACCTGTTATTTCAAAGGAGAGTTGTTAAAATTAGGACCATTAAGCATTTGAAGGAACTGTGCTTCAGTATAGGTTTCACAAACAAGGAGATACTTCATCCTTTGGCACATCAGCATCACAATGTCACAAGTATATAGACTTAAAAAAGGATATATGAGAAATGCGTCTTTTTCACGGAAAAAACGGTGGACAGATATGGATATGCTGAGGATAAATCTGTCAATGCAGCCGTAAATAGCCATGAATGGCATTGAGCTTTAGTTTATGATATGAATCCATATGCCATAATAAGGCGTTGGTGTCACTGCGTAGGTTAGGTTACCGCCGGTGTCAGAGATGTGGTGCTCGTCTGAGCTCGACTCCCTCTGGATCACAAATGTTGATCATCATCAGTTTGATTGTTTCTTCAGAAACCACAAAAACTCTCTGAATGACCCGCTGATACATCCACCGATAACCCTGCAGATGACCAGCTTCAGTTATTTTCCCCTCCACAATAGCAGCTTTATGACTTTATTTACTTCATAACTTTATTCTCCTAAATTTACAACTTTAATCTCAAAAGAAAAATAAAACTCAATGTTGTCCTGATCCTCTGCTGTAGTTTTGTCAGCTTTCTTATTTCTAATGTTTTTGATAGTTGAAGCAGAGCGGATCAGTTCGTCTCTAAATCTATAATGTTTGGTTTGCAGATTTTAGTGAGTTCAGAGATTGTGCGCTCATACAGCCTGAGCTGACTGTCTGCTGTTTTTGGATTTCTTATATTTTCTTTAAAGACGCGCTCTGTCTCCAAGCAAGTTCAGCCTCTCACCCGAAATGCGCAGCGGCACGCAAAGAATTCTTGGATACCAACAGCACGAAATTGATGTGCCAAATGAGACACCTTGAAGACTTAAAACAGGCAACTGGACTGTGTAGAGTTGAGAAGACGTTTCGCCTCTTATCCAAGAAGCTTCTTCAGTTCTAAAAGTGCTAGTGTCAGGAGCAGATATTTATCTTACTGGAGAAGGGGGACAGTTAACGACTGGGTGGAGTTGAAAAGAATGGGTCGTAGAAACCCATCTCTGGGTGTGTGTCCCCCCAATTCGTTAACCTGAAAGGGTCGTTAGCCACTCCTGTCATGTGACCACATGACTCATGCCACCTCGGTCATGTGGTTCCAGGTGTGAATGTTTGTGGAGCTTCCTGGGGAGAGAGCTGAGAACTGCATTGTAAGTGCCAGAGAGATTGTGCCTGAGTCCACCCCCTCTGTTCGGAGAAGGTTTCTCCAGCCTGGTAAAGATGGCTTCTTTAACTCCTCTTTCAAACCATCTGTCTTCTCGAGCCAACACCTGTACATTGCTGTCCTCAAAAGAGTGACCCGTATCCTTCAAGTGCAGGTGGACAGCTGAGTCCTGACCTGAGGAAGTGGCTCTCCTGTGTTGAGCCATGCGCTTGTGAAGCGGTTGTTTAGTTTCCCCAATGTACAGGTCCGAGCATTCCTCGCTGCACTGGACAGCATATACCACGTTACTCTGTTTATGTCTCGGTGTTTTGTCCTTGGGATGGACTAGCTTCTGCCTTAGTGTGTTACCAGGCTTGAAATGAACAGGAATGTGGTGTTTGCCAAAGATCCTCTTGAGTTTTTCCGACAGGCCTGCAACGTAAGGGATTACAGTGCTCTTGCGTCTCTCCTCCCTTTCCTGTTCAGTGTTATTTCTCTTTCTGTTCTTCACAAAGGCCCACTTGGGGTATCCACAGGTTGTCAGGGCATTTTTGATGTGCTTCTGTTCCTTTTCCTTACCTTCTTTCTTCGTGGGAATATTCTCAGCCCGGTGGTTGAGTGTTCTGATGACACCCAGTTTGTGCTGCAGAGGATGGTGGGAATCAAAAAGTAGATATTGATCCGTGTGTGTTGGTTTCCTGTACACTTCAACGTTGAGACACCCATCTGCCTCCAAGTGTACAGCACAGTCCAAAAAGGCCAACACATTGTCCTTGACATCTTCACGGGTGAACTTGATGTTGCTGTCCACTGTGTTGATATGGTCGGTTAAGGCCTCTACTTCATGTGTTTTGATCTTAACCCAGGTGTCATCCACATATCTGAACCAGTGGCTAGGAGTGGCTCCCTTGAAGGAGGTTAGGGCCTTCCTCTCTACCTCTTCCATGTACAGGTTAGCCACTATTGGAGAAACCGGGGAGCCCATCGCGCATCCGTGTTTCTGTCTGTAATGGCGCTCTCTGAACTGGAAATAGGTGGGGCTGAGGCAGATGTCCAATAAGGAGCAGATGTGGTCAGGGGTTAAGTTGGTTCTGACTTCCAGTGTGCTGTCCTGTAAGAGGCGTTGTCTTACTGCTTGGACTGCCTCTGTTGTTGGAATACTTGTGAAAAGTGATGTGACATCATAGGAAACCATGGTTTCATCTGGGTCCAACCTGATGTCCTTGATTTTCTCGGCAAAGTCCTGTGAGTTTCTGATGTGGTGAGTGGTGTGGCCGACAAGAGGAGCTAGGATGGTGACCAAATGTTTTGCCACTTTGTATGTGACTGAGTTAATGGTGCTGATAATGGGTCTAAGGGGCGCCCCTTCCTTGTGTATTTTTGGTAATCCATAAATGCACGGGACAGCTTCCCCTGGGTACAGCCGGTAATAGAGTGGGCGGTCGATAACTCCATCCTTTTCGAGCTGTTGAAGTGCACTGATAACTTTCTTTTTGTAGCTGTTGGTGGGATCCCGTTTTAGAGTTTCATAGGTGGCAGTGTCACTGAGAAGACTTGTTACCTTGTCGTGGTAATCCCTGGTGTTGAGTACCACAGTGCATCTCCCCTTATCTGCAGGCAGGATGGTGATGTTTTCATCTTTTTGCAGTGATGCCAAGGCTCTTCTTTCCTGCATGGTCAGGTTGGAAGGAGGTGTTTTGGCATTCGAGAGAGCAGCTGTTACCTTCAATCTAAGTTGCTCTGCCTCCGTGACCGCCAGATTGTTGTTGCGGATTGCTGACTCTGTGGCTGTGATAAGGTCTACCACCGGGATCTGTTCTGGGGTAACTGCAAAATTTAGTCCTTGTTCCCAAAAGCCTACGCTTGTTTTCCACCGTTAAAGGGCACAGAGTAATGTGGTATATGCTGTCCAGTGCAGCGAGGAATGCTCGGACCTGTACATTGGGGAAACTAAACAACCGCTTCACAAGCGCATGGCTCAACACAGGAGAGCCACTTCCTCAGGTCAGGACTCAGCTGTCCACCTGCACTTGAAGGATACGGGTCACTCTTTTGAGGACAGCAATGTACAGGTGTTGGCTCGAGAAGACAGATGGTTTGAAAGAGGAGTTAAAGAAGCCATCTTTACCAGGCTGGAGAAACCTTCTCCGAACAGAGGGGGTGGACTCAGGCACAATCTCTCTGGCACTTACAATGCAGTTCTCAGCTCTCTCCCCAGGAAGCTCCACAAACATTCACACCTGGAACCACATGACCGAGGTGGCATGAGTCATGTGGTCACATGACAGGAGTGGCTAACGACCCTTTCAGGTTAACGACTTGGGGGGACACACACCCAGAGATGGGTTTCTACGACCCATTCTTTTCAACTCCACCCAGTCGTTAACTGTCCCCTTTCTCCAGTAAGATAAATATCTGCTGCTGACACTAGCACTTTTAGAACTGAAGAAGCTTCTTGGATAAGAGGCGAAACGTCTTCTCAACTCTACACAGTCCAGTTGCCTGTTTTAAGTCTTCAAGATAACCATGACCTGGATGAATGAGAATCTACATGGACAAATGAGAAACCGTTCGCTCCGCGTGATGACATCATGCACGCTTCAAATGCGCCGTTCGGCACTGTTCGACGCTGCGGTCTCTGAAATGGGACACAGCCTGAATTTGAAGCGCGCTCAGGATTTCGAGCCAAATGGGACACCATTCGCGCCGCATGATGACATCACACACACTTCGAATGCGCCGTTCGACGGTGCGGTCTCTGAAATGAGACACATGTGCTACGTCCGAATTGCCAAGTAGTAGTCGAAGTAGTAGTCAAAGTAGTATGTAGCATGTCCGAATTGGCCACCGGAGCGAGTAGCATGCTACTTCAGATACTACTTCAGATACTAGACACGCTCACATTGTAGTATGGTCGCGGTGCATCCTACGGGCATGCTACTGACCCAAAATGCACCGCGGGCTTCTTCGTCCTATTAAAAGTTGTAGAAGCGCATGTGATGCTAGCGCCACCAGCTGCTGCCTATTTAGATGCGTCGCGAACGCCGGCTGGCCATAGCAGCGCGCACCATGGCGGAGCAGCAGCAGCAGCAGGCAGGACCGCAGCAGTACAGATGTAAGTTTCATGTAACTTCACACACTGTCCTAAAAAAATATGTGGTTGTATCTCTTTGTCATGTCATGGTGTCATATTTGCCCAAGTAATCATTTTATGAGCAAATATGTAGCAACATCATGGAGGTAAAGCTCACTTATTCCATCATTAAACTGCACAGCTGCAGTAATCAGGCAGATCTCATTGAACAAACGATCACCACGTGAGTGAATGAAGGCTAAAAGTAATGCGAAAATTCAGAGAGGTCAGACTCTGCAGCTTCCTCTTGGTTTGAGCACAGGTTCTATAATTTGACAAAGATATAGACATGCCCTTCATTGTTTCACCCCCAAAATGACATGCCCTTCATTGTTTCACCCCCAAAATACTGTTAGGTGCAACATGTTATCGATTTTTATCAAGTGGGACCTCATTCCACAGACCATTGCTCTGCTGATTGTTTTGTGCACCTGTAGGCCTATGTAATGAATGTAATTGCTAAAAACTACTACTGTTTGAATACTTCAACAAAATTACTGTGGATCTACCATGAAAGGTTTGTCTCCTACCTCACAGACAGGACATTTATGGTAAGTGTGGAGACATGCTCACTTATGAAAAAATCACATGTGGTGTACCCCAGGGCTCAATTTTAGGCCCTGTGCCTTTTAACCTGTACATGCCCCCTCTTGGCTGTGTTACCAGGAGACGTGGAATTAACTCAGTTATGTGGATGGTGCGCAACTCTAGATCTCTGTGTCTCCTAGTTATGTGGATGGTGCGCAACTCTAGATCTCTGTGTCTCCTGATGACACCAGGATAATGGATGCTCTTTTTAACTACATTTTAGATATTAAATCCTGGGTGGCCTAAAACTGTCTCCAGCTTAACCAGGACAAAACTGAGGTTTTAGTCATCGGTCCGGAGGCCCAGAGAGAGAGAGAGAGACCTCCACCCACGCTACAAGCATTGTCTTGTAATTCATCACCACAAGTGAAAAACCTTGGTGTCATTTGTGACTCTGAGCTGACTTTTATTCCACACAATAGTAGGTTTTTATCACCTAAAGAACATCACCAGAGTCCGTCCCTTTCTTTCTCGGACCAACACAGAGACGCTAATACATGCTTTTATCACCAGCTGTATGTAACTACTGTAATAACCTGCTTTCTGGTCTTCCTGAAAAGAATATCTCAGGTTTGCAATTATTACAAAACTCAGCAGCACGTGTCCTGACTAAGACCAGGAGGCGGGCCAACATAACAAGGTTCTTTTGTTTTTAAAAGTCTTAATGATCTTGGGCCTTTTTATCTTTCAGAACTACTGTTACCTTATGAACCTAGATAAAGCCTGCGCTTCCCTGGCAGCAGGCTCAGAAAGTCAGGACACACACTTATGGCGAGGCGTCTTTCCACCATTACGACCCTCGTCTATGGGACAGCCTGCCAGAGGACCTCAGGGCCACAGAGAATGTGAATGTTTTTAAGAGCAGGCTCAAACCCAGCTCTATTATTTTATCTCTATTTATTCTAGTCAGCTTAGGTTTCTTATTTCCTATTTATTTGTATGTAATGTCACTGAGATGGTCTGTGTTTTATTCTTTTTTTAGTTATTAATTGTTTTTATCCTTTTTTCATTTGTAGGATTCTCATTGTTTTCTCTGAGGGAGCTGGAAGCAGTGGTCTGCTGTGGTTGCAGGGGCCTGTCATTAAAATGCTAGTTTTGCAAATAAAAACATGATATTTAAGCCTGATGTAGACCATAAACTACATAGATATGACAAACTCATATGCTAATAACAAAAAAGAAGGTAACAGTGATGATATGTTAAGTAGCTGATTTAAAATCCCAATTTCATAAGAACTGGCATTAAGCATGGTGTAGATTAAATTTAATTTGATGGTTTGCAAATAATTTAGTTTTGCTTCAATTCAAAATAATGCAAAGTCAATGTAACAATGCTGAAAGTAAAAACTATATTTGTTAATTTTCCCTCTTTTGTATTGTTTGTGTGTTTTTGTGCATTTAAATGAGCTGGGACAGGAATATGTTTACCATTGTACTGGATAACCCTTACCTGATGAAATTCACTAATTCTTTGCATTTTTAAGATCATGAACATTCTTATTGGATAGCTGGACTATAAGCTCATGCAGTCTCTCACAGAGTCTAACCTCTCATAAGCTTTCTTGAATCCCTTATCACAACAATAATACTGTTCTTCTTCACTTATAACAGAATATAGATATATATTTTAATGACACAAATATTAAATAACAGCCAACAGCCTTGACATGGTGTTAATTTTCAGTCCAAAGAGGTAAAATAATCAAGGAGATTTTTATTGAGTTGTGTGGCTGATTTTACAGCCGCAAACCTGAATTTATTAAGATTGAACATACATACAAGTCACAACCACAGAATCTTAAGAAATGAACAATAAACCTCTGTATAAGTTTCTCAATGATTACTGACAACTACAACCTTAAATCCTAACAATCTCAAAACTACAGGATGTTGTTTAATCTGCCTCATTCAGTCATCAGTCCAAAAACATGTCAGCTTTAGAATTCCAGCAGACCCCATTTATCTACCTCAGTGTCAACCTAAATAAAACTTTTAAAAAACAATAAATAAAACTCAAACTTCCTTAGAAATACGATTCCAGTGATGTAAAAGATATACAAAACAACGTCTAGATAAGCAATAAGTCGACTGCACTAAGTGAGATTCATCTGTCCAAACATTTCACAACCTATATATACATATTATGTACAGAAGGCATGCCTTAATTCACAAGTGTGATGAATCCAGGAATAATGATAAAAAGGCTTGAAGACAAAAACTATACACGGTCTATCAGAAATGCAGGCTCAAATAGAGAAAATATGTTTGTCACTACGTCTGTCAAAGCAATGAGCATCAGGACAACCCATCATTCACCCTGGGCCTCCAAACCAAGCAGCTTCAAAATGTTCATCCATCTATTCACATTACTATAAATGCAGATTTACAGATAATCTTGTCGGAGCATTACACTGTAAAAATCATATACTGCAAGAAAAACATGGATCTGCTGTTAAACACAGCAAAACAACACTTCATTAGTATGATGAAATTGCAGTGGTTTTTCACATTTTGTCACTCTACAACCACAAACTTAAAAGTATTTTATTGAGATTTTTTGTCATAGACCAACACAAAGTAGCACATAATTGTAAAGTGGAACGAAAATGATACATGGTTTTCAATAATTTAAACAAATAAAAATCTGAAAAGTGTGGTGTGCATTTGTATTCAGCCCCCCTGTACTCTGATACCCCTAAATAAAAGGCAGTGCAATCAATTGCCTTCAGAAGTCACCTAATTAGTTAATAGAGTCCACCTGTGTGTAATTTAGTATCAGCATAAGTACAACTATTCTGTGACGGCCTAAGTGCTTTGTTAGAGAACACTAGTGAACAACGAACATCATGAAGATCAAGGAACTCACCGGACAGGTCAGGGAAAGAGTTGCGGAGAAGTTTAAAGCAGGGTTAGGTTATAAAAAATATCCAAAGCTTTGAACATCTCAAGGAGCACTGTTCAATCCATCATCCAAAAATGGAAGAAGTATGCCACAACTGCTAACTACCAAGACATGGCCGTCCACCTAAACTGACAGACCGAGCAAGGAGAGCACTGGTGAGAGAAGCAGCCAAGAGGCCCATGGTCACTCTGGAGGAGCTGCAGAAATCCACTGCTCAGGTGGAAGAATCTGTCCACAGTCGTGTACTCCACAAATCTGGCCTTTACGGAAGAGTGTCAAGAAGAAAGCTATTGTTAAGTTACTTGTTAAGACAGTAAGACATAAAAAGTCCTGTTTGCAGTTTGCCACAGTTAGCCATGTAGGGGACACAGCAAACATGTGGAAGAAAGTGCTCAGGTCAGATAAGACCAAAGTTGAACTTTTTGGCCTGAATGCAAAGCGCAATGTGTGGCGGAAAAGTAACACTGCTCATCACCCTGAACACACCATCACCACTGTGAAACATGTTAGTGGCAGCCTCATGCTGTGGGAATGCTTTTCTTCAGCAGGGACAGGGAAGCTGGTCAGAGTTGATGGGAGGATGGATGGAGCTAAATACAGGGCAATCCTGGAAGAAAACCTGTTGGAGGCTGCAAAAGACTTGAGACTGGGAAAAAGATTCACCTTCCAGCAATGACCCTAACATACAGCCAGAGCTACAACTGAATGGTTTAGATCAAAAAAATTTTCATGTGTTAGAACGGCCAAGTCAAAGTCCAGACCTAAATCCCATTGAGCATCTGTTGCAAGACTTGAAAATTGCTGTTCACAGACGCTCTCCATCCAATCTGGCTGGTCTTGAGCTATTTTGCAAAGAATGGGCAAAAATTTTAGTCTCCAGATGTGCAAAGCTTGTAGAAACCTACCCCAAAAGACTTGCAGCTGTAATTGCAGCGAAAGGTGGCTCTACAAAGTATTGACACAGCGGGGGGCTGAATACAAATGCACACCACACTTTTCAGATTTTTATTTGTTTAAATTTTTGAAAACCATGTATCATTTTCGTTTCACTTCACAATTATGTGCTACTTTGTGTTGGTCCATGACAAAAAATCTCAATAAAATATTTTTAAGTTTGTGGTTATAGAGTGACAAAATGTGTTAAAATTCTCTTAGACAGCTACTGCTTCCTTGTTCTGTTTTGACGTACTGGTTTCACACAAGTGGTGGACACTATTAAAAAGTGCATACTTCTATACGTGTAAATATATCTTCAGATAAAACGAACATTATTTAAAACCATTTAAATGGTCTTAGTTTTAATTTGTCTTGCAAAAGGTTGCAGCATTGACTAGACCCAGCAAGTGAGCCAATGGGCAAACAATCTAAATATTTCTTAAAATGAAAATAATGAAAAATGGAATGGAACTTGGTCTTTGAGTTTCCTGAATATATTGATTCAGTTTAAACTGGTCTCAGGTGGTGCCCTCATGCTGCAATAGGAGGTGTTTCAGGTTTACTAAGTAAGGTCATTATGATTCCCCTGTCTCACCATTTGATCCAATAGAACAAAGTTTATGGTATTGCACTATTTGACTGATCTGTCACAACGTCCTGTCTTAAGAGAAAATACTAGACATGAAAGAACAGACAACAGAAATAAGTGCCATCAAGATCCAACAAAGCCAGATCAGTGCATTATATTTACACCTCTGTAATCCTGGCTGCATCACTAAAACATGCTGAACTCAAGCTTAGATTCAGACATGGTGCTATGGTTACACCTTCAGCTTAGGCTTATAATCAATCACACATCAACTAGCAGTATCCAAACAGTACCAGCTGTGTGTGAGCAGAGTCAGTAAACAATAAACATTCATTCAAAATAAAACAAATAAAAATAAAGACCGCAGCTGACTGAGGTCCTGTGAACTAGTGAAGACTTAAAACCGCCAGACATTTTAAACTTTGTCTTATCTATAGACACAACGAACAGACCCATAAGAAGGAAGACTTCAGAAAGTCCCTGTATTACTTTGCTGATGCAGTGAAAGAAAAATATCCTGCAAGACCAATGAGGAAAAGATCACACCTGTAAATACACAATACTGAGAGCCTGTTATGAGTCTTCAGACAGAAAACAACAGAAATTTAGTACTTTGAGAACTGAAAAGGACTACCCAGTAAATCAGTTTTACAGAGGAGTCAGGAAACCTAAAAAAGCAAAATTATCTTATACAACAGATATGGTGTGGTGCAGTGTGTCATTATTAGACAACATTAGAAGTTGTAATAGTGAAATTATTACGTTAGTTTAAGTTTGGCTGACATAACTTTTTTCTTGATTCAAACAGCTTTAACATAAAAACCTGGTGAGCAGCCCTTTAGTTTTACGAACACAAATATGAACAGAAGGACAAACAAAACAAAGTCTTACTCTTTGCCCTGCTAAAAACATCACTCTTGTTCCACTGTCACTGAAGAGGTCACAGAAGTGTACCGATGAACCAAATTCATGTCTGACTTTGTACATGAATGAATGGGGCAGCTGTCAAAGACTTTGATCTGACGCCTCATCACATATAGTGAGATTTTGGCCTGATGTGGAAACTTGGCACTTCAAATGGTGACACAAAGAGAGGTCATCCTCTGAGAACAATAACTGTGCTTATTTAATGTCATGTTGATCCGCTCATCAAAGTTTCATTGCTCATGTGTCAGGGTTTGGACTGTTGGGAGCCAGTAAAAACTTATAGCCTAAAAAAAAGATAAAGGAACTAATTTAAGTGGACAGAGTAATATGTCATAGACAAATATGTTGGTGAGAGATGATCACCCTGCGCTGGAAATAGAGGAAAATGTGTAGGAGGGTTGCCAATAAGTTTAGATTCTCCTGCTGAGGGACATTAACATCCAGAGCAAAGTAAATAGCTGTCAGCAATCAAGACTTGTCAGACGAAGGACCTGATGAGAGAGAAAGAAGTCATACCTTTTTTCATATCCTGGCTGCTTCCAGACTGTAAACTTCACACACCACTGCTAAGGCCCATTCAAGGACTGCCAACCTGTCTGCATGGACTGTATATGTTCAATTACAATTCAAAACAACACACTGTTTTTATCTTTTAAACACTTAAGTATTTTACAGTTGCTATGTGCCATGCACAGAGATGATGGTTTGATATCTGGGGGAAAGAGTGAGGTGAGTTCTTCCAGGTGCCTCCCTGTCTTCCAGTCAAAGTTTCCAAACCAAGACATATTTATAAGACAGCAGACACTGGACATGAGTAGTGGCCTCCCACAACACACTGTAAAGATGTTATCAGAGAACTTCAGTGATTCAGTTTTTAGTCTGTCAGCTTGAGTTGTAATTGGAAGGTGGGGTGAGAGTGTGTGTATGATGTTCACTCTGATGTACACTCTCTTCTTTTTCTCCTTTAAAGTAAAGCTTTCTATTTTGATTCTCTAATCCATTCATACTTGTTTCTGTACATCTCTACTTCACTTGTCCTTGTGTCTATCACTCCAAGGTGGTCCCCAGTGACCCCCTCTAGGGTCAGAGGTCAGCTGTCATCAGCCCCAGTAGGTTCTTCCAGTCTTTCATAGATGAGATGAGGTGGAGAAACACAGTTTCAGGGTGTATGGGTTGGACCCATCTGGAATCACACACACAAACACATACTTAGAAATTTGGGGGGGGGGGGGGGTGTCATACAAGTAGTATAAATCCTCTGATGACATCTCATTTGTCAAAAACATGGGTCTTCAATGAAAACTGCTCAACAGGACTATAACAAATTGTCTTTGCTCTATTTTCTCCCATAAAAATTGTACAAGGACAACAACGTTAACACCTTGAAGCACGAAAATTCGCAGGTAGTTTTAAACTTTATTCTGGAAACAGATAATCAAACCCACTGATCTTTGGATGACACTGTCGTTGGATTTGCAGTTATCTCAAAAAACAGTCAAATGTTTGACCCTTCAGAGACACAGTTCAACTTGACATGTGTCTTTCAGTGATCAGAACAAAAGCCTTACTGAACTGGTTTCACAGATTCCTCTCTCAGGTGTATAAAAACTAGATGTGTCTGACTGAGTAGAGGAATACTTTTAATACAGACAGTTTTTCACAGAAAGACTTACTAGGTATCCTGATCTGGTAGTGATTAAGAACAGTAAGAACCTCGACAGCCTCTGTCTTACTGTTGAACTCCAACAAACCAGAGATGGTCTTGGAGGAGGCTGCAAGAGAGAGAGAGAGAGAGAGAGAGAGAGAACATGAACACATCAAAGGACAGAGGAGGGAAGCAGAAGGAGGGAGACATGTTTCATTAACATGAGACAGCGCTGAACAATCATTTTACACAGAGAAGTCAATAACTAACAAAATTAAAAATGAAACATGGACTCTGTAAACTACAACAAGAACCTAACAAAGAAGACATCAACTGAAGCGATACTTACGTTTGGCATCAAACATCTTGAATTTAACAAAGCCAGGCACATCATACTCTGAACACAGCTGAAAAACAAACAAACAAACAAACAGTAGCAGCTAATGTATGAGATTCACTGCAATACAAGGGCCTCAATATAAACCTTCCACCTGGCCCACTCTGTATATGACAGCAGTGAACTTGACTGTTAGGACATCGTCTCTGGAGTGCAACTCTGGTCCCCTTTCTTCAGTTTGTAGTTTGTAGACAGGCAACAATGAACGGGCTAAGCACAAAAGAACCTCTGGATATACCAGAAACCTTCAACTGCTCATTGCTCACAAAAGACTTGTTCTTATAATGTCTACAAGTGAATGCTGATGGGTTTGGTGAAGCAAGGCAAAAGTTCAAAAGTAGAACTTACAGTCCGCTTTGAATAAGTCTACATGATCTGACTATTAACATCAACCTTTTTCTGAATTTGTCTAGTAAATTGAACTTCAAATTTTATCCAAACATATCTGCCTGTAAGTCATATGTTTGGGTTCTGGCTTGTTGAGTCATCGCAAAGTCCAAAAATTAATGAAGAAATGAAGTGTTCAAACATTCCAGTCGATCTAAACATTTAGAGTAAAATATTACATATATACTGTGTAAATGTAATATTTATCAAAGTATGCATACAATTTAAACACTTTCAAATACTTTCTGTGACTGGACAACATCACCTCCTAAATAAGAAAGCTAACATGTTTCTGAGGGACTAGAGTCTCAGTGGTTTGCTCTGTTCACTTCAGACGACATGGTCCTGAGACTGACTCTGCAAGTCAGCTGGACCAAAAGCAGAGGTACCGTACCCGCAGTAAATGATCCTGTGAGATGCATGGTGGAACGTTGTAGTAGTGCAACACAGCAGATGGAGGCTGGATGATGTTTTTGGAGGCCTGCCCAGCACTGCTAAAGCGGTTGTTCCTGGTCATGGCAAAGTCCTTGTAGCTGCTGCTGCCGTCCTCTAACTCAAACACCTGACTGGGGATTACTGCGTGCTGCTTCGACACACTGAACACACAGCAGTAGATACTTCGAATTCATGTTTAGACATGATCAGACAAATTCATGTTCAAAACATTTTAAGCCAAGGTATTCCAAAACACATCCAGGACAGGTTTGACAGAAATTATCAGAAATTCAAACAGAGAAACTGTGAACCAATGTAAGAGCTTGCAGAGTGTGTTGCTCACCAAACATTGAGTCGCTTGCCGAACACCTTGATGCTATTGAGGTGTGTGATGGCTCTGTCTACAGCATACTCGTCTCCCATTTCAACCAAGGCAGTGCCAGGAACACTCTTCATAAATTTTACCTGCAAACACACATACAATCACTTTTGACAGATGTCCAATGAAAGCAGCGTTTACTTTAACTGAGCTGGACTTCAAGCTTTGATCACACACCTGTCACCACACTGGTTAAGGTTGGTTATGCTGTAAAAGGTTTAGTTTGCTGGGGTGCACATGGAGCACCTTTTTCTCCTCTATCCACTACCTGTGTCATGAACGCTGAATCATCATGTCCCATTAGAGTCACTGATACACAGTCTTTTCTGGGAGGTGTCGCTCTCTCTGAATCAAGCTTGCTGCTGAGGACTGTCTGCGCTCCAGCTGCTTCAACTACAAACATCAGCCTTTTTAATTTTATCCCTGTTACAAACATATTAGCATCAGTCTCTCCATTTCTATCACTGTTATATACCCAATTTTTAGTTTTTTTTTTAAATTGTTTTTTGCTTCAATTGTTCTAATTCCACCACCCCCTTAATTTACCTCAACTTCATTAATACCAATGCTATCATTGCTATGCTATTGCCATATCCCTGCAGGCTTTAATTTGTCTTATATCAAACTATGATCAGTCAATTTTTTTTCCGACTGTCCTTACTGAATTTTGGTGCCACCATTATCCAAGCAGGATGAGGTTTGATGAGAAAACCATACTCTAGGCTGCAGCTCGGTGTTTCAAAACACATCAGACTGATGAAGCCTTTTAAAGTTACACTCATTCTGAATGTAAATTTGACGATTCAGAGTTCTTCATTCAGTGGAACAGGAGCATGTTTTATTTCAAGGTCTTGATTGTGAAATTTATGATCAGATGAATGAATGGATGAATGATATCAGTCATCATCTACCTTCTCAATGTTGCCGTACAGACAGAAGAGGTTGAAGATTCGGGTGCAGTTCATCTTGGATGGATGCAGGCCGCTCACCATGGCAACAGAACTAGGTGCATGACCAGAGTAGGAGGATGACGACTGGGGCAGAGGATAGGACACCATGTCTGGGACGTCCACTGAGGTGAGCTTGTACCTGCCAGGCAGAGGCAGCAGTGGGCAGGGTGGACCTGTGGAGGCAGAGACAAAAGAAGCCAAAGGTGTCTTCATTCACTTGAGTTCATAAAGTTTCATTTGAAGTTCAAATCATCCAGTTTTTTCTCAGATGGAGGGTTGAAAAGCCTTGGTCATGCAGGTGGTAAAGTTTACAGAGTTTCAAAAGAGCAAACTTATTGTTATTATACTGGTAAGTATCCAACCACATGTGGACTGCCACACTCTCTCCCTATGTCACTGAGTCACATGCTGCCAGTGACCCTTTGGATGGAAAACATCCGCTGTGTGTGAATTTAGCAAGTTACAGCAGAGAGTCTGTTTCAGGATGTGATGGTGTCCTTGACTGCCTATGTGTCCGATTCCTGACAGCTGTGGGACACAGAGTTCACAGGAAAAGGATGAACCGGAGGTCACTGGGACCATAGGCTGTGATTAACCAAATCTGATTAGCTCGTTCAGAGATGAAGTGGATGTTTGTGCTAAATTTGAGGAAATACCCAAAGAGACAAGAATAAAACTGACAAACAGAAAAAAATCTGTTGTTTTGTGTAAAAAAAATTTCAAAGAAGCATGTGAATTATTATTGTGTTGTGTGGTGTGTACAGTCGTGTGTGTGTGTGCGTGTGTGTGTGTGTGTCTGCAGAGAGTCAAGTTTCACTTTGAGGAGGTGAACGAGCACTGTAGATGAAGTGGAATCCTTGGCAAAAGATTTAGTTACCACTGTTTTTCCTGTTTATGTGTGTTTGTGTGCATGTTCATGTGTGTGCGTGTTTGTGTGTGTTGTACCATAGCCATTATCACTGTAGGACGACGGGTGCTCTCCTAAAATGGCTTGCCTCTGCCTGCCCTTTCCACGATCTGGAAAACATACAAAAACACAGACATACGCACACACACAGACACACAGACACACACACACACATACACACACACACACACTTTATTAGATTATGTGCAGGATCCAAATTAACTTACTCAGTAACAAAAAGCTTCTTTCACAAACACAGACTTAGCATCTGCTATTTCTGGACTCTCCACAGGATTGTTGTAAGATGTGTAAGTTTGGAGACCACATTAGTGTCTTATATGTGAAACTGTCCCAGCTGGTTCCAGGCAGAACTGAAACAAGTCTTTACTCTCTGAATAGGATTTCCTTTCCTCTATATTTCCTCCTCAGTATAAATAAGAACAGCCTTTGGTTGATCATTCAAACTATCCCTTACCAAAAAGAAGTATGTTGCCGTGTATTTCAGGTATATTGTTTTCAAATTTAATATGCTTTCAGTTTACTTTTCAGAGAAATACTTAAAGTTAATGTTAAGTATACTTCGCTTGTACTAAGAATTTTACTAAAATTCTAAATATATTTAATCTATACTCATACATAAACTTGTAATCAAGATATACTTAAGTATGTATTTTTGCCTTAGGTCCAAGTATACTTGGTCAGTGAATACTTCCATATTTTTTTTAAGAGTATACTCTTAAAAAGATACGCAGTACAAACCAAGTAAGCAAAAATGTACTTCTATTGAAATAATAGCATACCAAAAGGTAATTTTAATTTCACTCCAGAGTCAGCATGCAGATAGCCAAGTGGTTCCCTGCTGTGGTCACAAGTTCGATTCCTGTCCTGACCATGTGCTGCATGTGTCTTCAACCCCCATCTCCCACATTGCCACTCTGTCCTACCCATTGAAGGCAAAGTATACTAAAATGAACTTCAGTATACTTCATCAAATGTACTTGAGGTATATGTTTGTTTGGTAAGGGATCTTTAGTAATGTCGATGTTTTTTTTTCCAGATCTCTGCTTTAAACTCCATAAAGTTATCATATTTTATAAACCCTCTTAACAAAGTTAGGATGCTGTTTAAAACGTCAACAAGAACAGATTTATATGGCATGCAAATCATTAAAACTCCACATCGCCAAGACCACAAATATCGTCAAAGATTGCCAAACCCATTTTCAAGCTTTTGGACAAACCTCTTCAATAATGCATTGATTATTTATCTCCCTAAAGCAGCCTGTGCTCTCTGTGGTGTAACACTGAAGTCAGTGACATTTCAGCAAATATTCAAATGAAAAGATAGTTCTGATAGTTCAGGTAGTTCTGTATCTAACAGCATACATGTACTCACACACACACACACACACACACACACACACACACACACACACACACACACACACACACACACACACACACACACACACACACACACACACACACACACACACACACCAATAAATAAACACTTTTGAACTTTGAAATACAGATCAGCCTGATTCTTAGTAACTCATATAGTAAAAGTGTGCGGTTGTATTTTATTCAGATATCAGAACTTCAAAAACACTTTAAACAGTCCTGTGGAGTTTGGCAGTAAATAAAAAGATTGCTTCTTCCTTCACAACCACTCTTTACTCTCTTCATAAACCACATATTTGTACATATTTAATCATTTTTCTGTGTGCTGTAAAAACAAGTCACTTTTATTGACAATCAAGAGTTATGGTCACATCCTAAGAAACAACATCAGTACACTTAGAGATAAACAGATCTAGACAGCAGAAACTTTTCAGATCTAATGATACAGAGGGGGTCATATGACCAGAGATATGAAAGAAACAGTACCTGTGAGGCATCAAGCTTTCTCTTTTTTCTCCCTCAGCACGAACAAGAACATCAACCTGCATTACATTATCATCATAATAATAAAAACATTACCATCATCACTGGGACACATTTCATCACTGTCTAGTCTACAACACAGAAGCATTTCAGACTGCACTACACCACTAACAATCTTTTTATTGCACTGGAGGCACTTTGAAATGACACAAACACTTTTTTATAGTCCAAGTAAGCTGATTGGACAAAAGACTACCCCCCCCCCCATACAAGCCTATTAACATGTCAGCACTTGCACTGCAGATTGCCAATGCACTGCAGTCTTGTCACATGAACACAGGTGCATGCGCGCGCACACGCACACACACGCACGCACGCACACACACACACTAAGTCAGAGAAGAGATGCTTCAGCTGTGAAAAGTGAGAAGGCCTGAGGATAATCCAGAGAGCCAGATATTCACAATGACCTTCACACCACAGCCTGACAGTATGTGGATGCACCATAAACACACACGCACTTACACACACAGTGCATGCTCACATGAGCAACTGAGCAGAAGTGAGTTTGTGAGACAGACTTTGAGACTTGAAAAAGATTTGAAATTAATTTATGTAAGTCAAACTTTTATACAAAGATACAGAAGGTTGATATGAGTGGTTAAAAATAGACGTAATCAAATAAATGACGCATGGGCAAAGTGAAGTGAGAATTTTCCAGATAATTACACATGTACATTTCTGAGTGTTGAATTAATACTACAAGAGGGAATAGATTAGTGGACAAAGTTGTAACATTTTGATACTGTTGTTGCAGTATACAAATGAGTCAGTCAGACATATACCAGCTTACATTTTAACCAACTTCCCTTGCCTCTGAGAGATAACTAGACCCTAACTATTCAAGGTGATAGAAAAATATCTTCTGTTGAAAATCAGGTCCCTGAGACTTGACTCCTTCCTGAATATCAGACTTCCTGAGTGTTTGAGGTGTTAAATCTTCACATGCAAAATTTAAAAAAATGATTTAGTTTTTTTTCCATATCATGTAAAACTAGCATATCTATAACCCAGATTCTGCAGAAGGTACATGCTACTGTGAACCACAAATTAGCTATGTGCCATCTGAAACATTTTGTTGTCTAAAATCCTAATCTAAAGCGTTATTGTAGTTTATTTCGCTGTCCCAGAAAGACAATCACAGATTTCAGTTTTCAGACCTGTCCCAGTAAACTTCTTACAAACAGTCAACATGTACCTTAAGCACAGAGGCTGCAGGCCTTGGTGCACTGTTGAGGTTTAAAGCCCTACCTCTCCCTTAAACTGTCCCATCAAATACAGGAAATAAAGGCACCCTCCCAACCCCACCCCCTTAAAATCAGAAATCTACAGCAACTTACTGTCCCTTAGTGGCCGCTGCAGAACCAGAGAGACCTACTAAACTACTTTTACATCCCTGCCAAACTAACATCTGGCAGTGAGTTTTTAAATAACTGTGTCTGTGTCTGGAAGTGAAAGGTTGACCTCTTTGTAACTTATGCAAGTTGATCATGAGAGCTGATATGGAGCAAAAAGAGCCATACAATAACACACGCGCACGCACACACGTACACGTACACACACGTACACACACACACACACACACACACACAAAACCCCAATATACGCTGTAGTTAATGCAGGCTTAATGTCAGGGACTCGTTCCTTAAATACTGAAGCCAAACAAGGAGGTAACAAAAGAATCCAGGTCATTTCTTTGGCATCTTAGTCCACAAAGGGTTGAGGTTGTCCTTGATGCTAGACACCCTTAAAACATATTGGCCCTCATTTATCAAGCTTGCGTACGGCAGAAAACTTGCGTACACCTTGCGTAAGAAAATATTGACATGAAGATCGGCATTTAGCAATCTACACGTGAGCGTACGCCATGACCAAATCTCAAGACAGGTCTGACATCGTGTACGCAAGTTTGAGTCAGTGTAGATCTGCGGTGCAGCAAATATCTCTCAAATAATTGATAAACAAACCTCAAACCTGTCATGAAGCACAATCAGCCAGATTTAATTTAAGATTAAGACGTAAATGAAATAAAATAAAGTTGTTATGTCCTTAGTGAATAGGCCTATTTGATAACTCTGCCCAGAAACACTACCACAGAGCAGGAGCGCCGTTTTAACATTGCGCACACGCGCCACTATGGAGCGCTGCGTTTGACCCCTAAAAGGCAGGTGTCTCTGTCTTGGCCCAGCAGCGGGGACGTTGTTGTACACTCCTGAAAGGGTGTGGGACATCATTTGGGCCAGTATAGTTTTGCACAATGTTACACTGGTGAATGGAGTGCCGTTGGCTGTGCCGGTGCAACGTGAGGACCCGATGCCCGGAGAACAATAACGAGGAGGGACTCCTCAAAGGTGCTGTGCAGAGGAGACGGGACCTTATCCATGGATTCTGATGTAAAATATAAGTTTAGAAAGTGCTCTTGCTATTTAATCAGTGATAAGAATCCAATAGAAATCCATAAAAATGTGCCTCAGGGGCAGCAACACACCGTTTGGTGAGGTTAATAATTATTTTTGTTCAGCCTCTGTCAGGCTCTCCAGTCTGCTCTACATTACAAAGACACAACAAATTTCTACAACTAAATACTTTCAATAATAGGAGCAACATACCCCATGTCATGGAAATTTTAAAAAAAGAGGCATGTATGAGATATTAATTTTAATCATGAGCAACTTATTGACTAATGATTTATTTAAACTTCAGCCACTATTCCACAGTAGCGCTGTTTACCGCCATCATAATCCTGCTCCAGACAGGAGTTTTCTGGACTGCTTTTAGACCAGTTTTGTTGCTTCCAAAGAGAGAATCTGTGTTAGTTTCCACCACAAATGTGAGGATATCCACTTTCAGCTGTGAAAAGTTTAGAATCTTTGTAATATTTCTTCTCTTTCATGTTTGACCTCAGTGGGCGAGGCTTCTGAACCACGAATATTTAAGGACGTAAACATGTTAATGACGATCGATCTCAGCCGCTGCATTTATCAAGACCTGATCATACGTAGGCTGGGATTAGTCAGATACGAACCCTTTCATAAATCTCACGTGTGTCCTATCGTACGATGAATCCTGCGCTCAGATCTGCGCAAGCTTGAAAAATGAGGGCCACTGTGTTCTCAAAGATACATGAGACTAAACTGATAGAGGACATTTTGAATGCATGCATTTTAGCAAATTATGTCTGTCTTACATTACTTGAATTTGCATGTCTCTGTCTCATCACAGTTTCTGGGTGCATGTAAATAAAAACAGCACCCAGAAACTGTGATGAAGGAGGATGAGAAAGACAGGGAGACAACTTGGCTTGAGAAAAGGGCAAAGGCTGTTATACTATAACTCAACCCCACACTTAGCATGTTTTTTTTTTTCACTTTTATAATGCAGCTCACAATGGTTTAAATATGCCTTTCCCTAACCACTCTGCCTCTTTGGGCTCTATTTTTGTGCCTCACCAGAGACGTGGCACACGCGCGGCGTAAGTCAGGTCCGCCGCGCCGACAAGGCGTTCCCAAGCACAATTTGGTATTTTGGTGAGCGGCGCAGCACGGCGTAAGTATCCCCCCTCCCTAACTCAGCTCCTCCTAGCGGCGTACATCGTAGTGAGGGAGGAGAGAGGGCGTGGAGTGGATTAAACACAGCCGAGACCTGTTTTAACCAATCACATCAGCTCCTCTCCTCACCTTTAAATCTGCCACCAGCGAGGCGTAATACAATGAGCTCTATTTTCGTGCCTCGCCGGAGACGTGCAGCAGGCGCAGCGTAAGTCAGGTCCGCCGCGCCGACAAGGCATTCCCAAGCACAATTTGGTATTTTGGTGAGCGGCGCAGCCCGGCGTAAGTATCCCCCCTCCCTAACTCAGCTCCTCCCAGCGGCGTAAGTCGTAGCGAGGGAGGAGAGAGGGCGTGGTGGGTTTAACACAGCCGAGACCTGTTTTCACCAATCACATAAACTCCTCTCCTTGCCTTTAAATCCGCCACCGGCGAGGCGTATTACTATTTTTGTGAAGTAGTCAAAGTGATCAAGAGATGTCTGAAGACAGTAATGCCACAAGATGGCGACAGAAGGCAGCCCCTCAACAAGTGTCACTGTAAGCGCTGCATTGGGCGTCCTCCACACTCTCTCATATGAGCACAGATGGATTTGGTGTGTGTAATGTTGGACCCACTGGTAAAGACAAACACCCTTTCCACAAATAAAGACACTCACATAAAGTTGCATATATTCAAACCTCACGTGACAAAGGTGGGTTGTGCGCACAGATCACAACATAAACTCAAAAAATGGCATTAAAATCTGAACCATCTGTGCGTAAATGACGCATCGCGCTCTGTGGCCTGGCTCTTTCTTTCATAGATGTTGGCACATAAAATTTGGCTCTCAAAACTGAATATTATAATATTCGTATGTAGGCTTAAAGTAAATAACTCATCTGATCACTGAAACAAATCATCTGTTCAGCCGCAGCAGCTGCAGCAGGACGGGGAGAGGACATGGAGACATGTCCAGGTCGAGCTGCGCGAGAAATAAGAGGAAGAGGAAGAAAGAAAAGGAGGGAGACGAATTAAATAGCTTGTTAACTTCATCATGTGTGTCTATTTACTAGATATTTAATTTAATTTAATGCGGTTTCAGCTGTGTTGATTCGGTCAGGTTGTGTGTCCCAACGCGTGCCAAACGCGCTCATCAGATCAGATATAGATCAGAATATATCGATATAGATCTAAATGTATGTGCTGACTCAGAATATTAGTTGTTGATGATTATTTATTGCACTAAAATGTGCCTGACACTGTGGAAACCTGCCAGTGAGGCATCGGTGACGTATGCCAGTACGCCGCCGGTCTACCAAAATACCACTAGGCCAGCTGCGCTCAGCCTGCGCTGAAAGCTGACCAGGTTTGAATCGGCGAGCTTTCAGCACACTTTACACGCCACTGGCGAGCACAAAAATACCGCCAGACGAAAATACAACTGAGCGGGGTCCGCCACCCTCCGCCGCGTCCCCGGCGTTTATATTGAAGTCTTGTACTGAACAAACTGTAGCTATTATAGCTAGAGCTATTAAAAGAAAGGAAAGAAAGGAGAAGAGACAGGAAGAGGAGAAGAAAACTGTGGAAGCCTAGAAACAAATATATATATATAAAAAAAAAAGTTGTGAGACAGGAGGGACAAAAAAATCTAGAAATTTAAAGAGGAGAGAAGATGTTGATGTAGGAAAGAGGATAAATATAGCTGAGGAACATGAGGTGTAAAGGAGAAAAGACAAGTACCAACTGACAGGGAGAAGGAAGTTAGAGGATTAGTGGAAGTAAGATGAAAGTGCAAAAAAATATAGAGAGTTAAAGTAGAGTGGTGAGCGTAAGAGAGTGTAAAGGGGGGGGGGGGGTGCAAAGGGAAATGAGGACAAAATGGAAAAGAGTCCTTTGTTGAAAGAAGACTGTGACAAAACAAATTCTTTTAACTTTAACAAAAACATCCAGACTGGGAACATTACAAACTGGCCGAATATATGTACATATGAACAGACTGGCTGTGTATCAGGAGATAAATCACACACTCAAAAAAAATCACAGCACATCAGTGAAACCCGGGGAATATCAAACTCCACTAATAAAAAATTATCCAAATCATCTGTTCATCCTGCTGTTTTCTTTTTTTTAGCTGACACTCCAAATATTCATCCTGCAGACTTCACATCAGACACTGTATTTCTTCTTATGTGTGGAGCATCATTTACTGTGTGGAGAGTAAATGATTCCTGACATTAAGAAAATTGCCTCAGCCTGTGAGAGCTAACAGTCATTACTGATCTATGTCTGTGCCTTTTCAATGTGCCTCCTTTCAAACAACTGAAAAAATATACAAGAATTCATCAGATATATCTACTAATAACAGTGTTGGGATCAGTTCACAGTCGAAGTCATCTAAAGCACTCATTTGAAAAAGGAAAATAGTGGGTTTATTAGTGTCCCCTTCAGGTATCAGTGTACACCATGCACCCCATAATAGCCCAGACTTCAATGTTCAAGGACATCAGACCTCTTATGGAGCTGTTTGTTAGAAGGAAGCATGACCTGATCCCAACATGAATCTCATTCTACAGTTATGAACCATTCGCAAAAACCTCATCTACACTCTACATACATGGCAAAGAGTGGAGCACGTTTAAGTAGCTGTCTGTACACACCAGGCCTGTGCATGGACCACTTATATTAGATCACTCTTTGTAATATTGCAGCAGAAATGATTCCAGACTTTGTCTAAAATAAAGCAAAGATACACTCTAATAGTCAAGGAATGAAGCTTTTTATTCATAAGAGCTCTAGAGTGTGGAGGCACATCCATGCACAGGTCTGAATGTACTGAGGGGGATCTGAGGGGACTTGGATTAGGGCTGTCACAATGCATGCGGTACTCTTACCAGCACAACACTGATAAAAGTATAAGGAATGATGTGGGACGGAGTCATGCAGAAAGTTTGGTTGATTTTCTTGATTTTCTCGAATATAGATTTTAAGAAGAAAATAGCACTCTTGCCCACATGCACAGAGGCCCTGAGCAGGAGCATGGTAGAGTTCTCTCTGCTGCCAAAAATATGTTCCTCTGTTAAATAACATCCAGTACACTCAGTGTGAGGGCAGTACATCTGATTCTGAAAGGGATACATTGTGCTTGTATAATTTGGTGCATGGTATACAACCGGGAGAGAGCTTTTGATCCAGTTTGTGTTTCATGGGTGTAAAACACCAGTCCTTCAGTAAATACCAAAGCCATGAAATTTGGGGGAAATTTGTGCATCATATCAAAACCTACAAACAGGAAGTCTATACCAAAGAAGACGTCGTATTGTGACAGCCCCGACTCACACAGTAACAGAGACTAGAGATTAGGCATGACTAAGATATCAAAGACTAGCATAACCAAATTTTGACAATCAAAACCATGTGTCTGGTCCACAATGTTATGGTTCTTCAAAGCAGAAAGATCCTACAACAAATTATGCAGTCTGAATAAATTATAGCAGCTTAGAGCACAGCTCATTTGTTAGTTAGAAAATGTGCATGAGCTACATTATCACTGCGTCAAATCCAGGGCCCCTGAGATATATACAGTACCATGTGGACCAGACACCAGGCCATGCAAGACTTCTTCTCCAGACAGAAAAGGAGACTGAAATCACAGAATGGAGCAGCTAGTTAGAGCTATTGGAGTCCTGCAGACAGTGGTGGGGCTGAGGTCTCCTGGGCATGTTGAAGCAGCAGCTGCATGGTGGTCAGCAGGATTGAGATCCATCTCTGTTTCTCCCTCTCTTTTTGCTGGGTTGCAGGAGGTGAAGATGGAAGAAAGCTGCTGTGCATGGTCAGCCTGACGTCCATCACTCTTTCTGTCCCTCAACGTTTCTCTCACTCTCTCTCTCTCTCTCTCTCTCTCTCTCTCAGTCTTCATGGTATGTGCAGGTTTGTGAGAGACCGGTGATTGGCTGCTATGAGAGTGTTTGGATTGGAGATGAAGAGACGGGAGGTAGAGGAGCCTTGGTGTGATGGAGGTCTACAGTCCAAATTGTTTATGACTACACTCTTAATCCGTAGTCTCAGACTAGTTTAAACGACTGTACAAACTTTGAAAAAGTAAAAAAAAAAGGGGAGACAAAAAAAAAGACCTACTGACGCAAAGATAAATCAAGGAAACCTGCTGTGGACAGAAATGTGTCACTACAGAGTCCTGTCCAATAACAGAGATCTACTTGCCTCATCAAAGGACCTCTGAGTTGACACTTTTAGGTGTATGAGATGACGGTACTGTAAAGATATCACGGACAAAAAAAAAGTTTGTCTTACCTCGTCTGACCAGGTATGGTTTAGTGTAGTCCCAGCTTTCGTTGTCATTCTTAATCACATTCAGTCGTGTTGGCTGTTGATGCAGAGATCGAGAATAAGTCAGGATCTGGTTCAAAGCCTGATTGGTACAAAGGATCTGAATTTTTGGACCTAAAAACTTTGATTTTCATAACTGCCATTTCCACCCAGCGTTTATAATGAGTGTTTTATTGTAACAGGCTGGATGAAGGTGTAACTGTGGCAACATCTTGGATAGCATGTAGTGATTTGTAAATACAACTGAAAATGTCAAAATAGAGGGGAGTTTGACTGTAGCTGCCACTGTTTAACAGTTATTTTTATAATGAATCAAATAATCTTAACGTCATTGTGTCCTAGTTTTAAAGATTTAAGGATGCAGAGAAGGAAAAGCTGCTTATACACTTGGAACGGTCCCCCCAACCAAGAATATCAGTGAGAATGTAAGCTGTGAGATTTGTCAGCCACTATCACAGACAGAGGTTGTTCTCTCGCCACCAGGTGTAGAATGTAAAGAAAGGATCGAGAATGAGCCATGCTGCTGAGAGACGGTAGGAGAGAGCTTAAGAAAGCCAAGATTAAGACGACAACAGACATCACACACTTGGGGAAGATAAATGTACATTCAGACTGTGCCTGAAGCTAAACTAAAGGTTCACTGTTTTCAAGCAAATGACAAGGGAGGCTGTGGGCTTACTGCCACTGAGAATTACAACATCCATCTCTGAGGATGAAAGGTTCACCTAGGCTTGCAGATATTCTCTATGGGCATCACACAGAGACGGCCTGATGACTTAGACACTCATCTAAAATGTGTCGACTTGACAGAAGAGTACAGACTATCAGTTTAAGGGAAGAGAGTGTAAGTGAGCTGTTGCGCACCTTTATCCTCTGTCTCGGCTCTGCTGGATCACTAACTGCTGACATGTATTTGGTTCTGCATTGAAAACAGCATGATCAGGCTGGGTTGCTGTTGTGCTTGTGTAATAGCTGAACCACAACAACACTCGGGTTCTTTTTTTATCTCCTGCCGCACAGTTTTCGCCTTGCTCAGCGGTCCAGGTGTTACAGCAGGGCAGCAACAGAGCTGTGTTTCTGTGGGTGGGCGTAGGTAAAAGGTTGTTGCTGTGCAGTGCTCTTTGTGAGGAAGCACTGAGCTTACAGTGGAAACCATTGGTGATGTACACCTGCTCCTGGGCGAGGTGAGGCAATTATAACTTCATGAACTAAAGGAAGAAGAAACTTGGGGAAGTTTCAATGGACAGCTTGGGTATGAAGCGTCTGGATTGGGAGAGTCGGGGCAGAACAGTCAGTAGGTTGAGTTGATGCCCTGCTACCTCTGTCGAAACAGACTTTCTCTCTTTTACCCATAAACACTTTGTCTTTCTCCTCTTGGCTCACTCTTGTTTCCACCACAGACGCGAGGATATCCACTTTCAGCTCGGAAAAGTTTCGAATCTTTGTAATATTTCTTCTCTTTCATGTTTGACCTCAGTGGGCGAGCCTTTGAACCATGAATATTTAAGGGCGTAAACATGTTAATGACGATCGATTTCAGCCGCCGCATTTATCAAGACCCGATCATACGTACGCTGGGATTGGTCAGATACGAACCCTTTCATAAATCTCACGTGTGTCCTATCGTACGATGAATCCTGCGCTCAGATCTGTGCAAGATTGATAAATGAGGGCCAATATCCACAACTCTATTTTCTGTTGCCATGCAGCCACTTAATTGAGAAGCAACAGACGCTGAGGGAAAGAGCAAAGTATAATTGACATCTCCACTGATAATAATGATCACCTGTCTGTCACTCGGGCCTGCCTCTGATATAGATAGATGGTATAGATGGTAAACAATCACAACACTCCAGAGCTCCAGCACAAACTTACTTCCACGTCAGGAGTGTAACTTGATTTTTTCTTAACAGAGGAGCCTCACTGAGATTCAATGAAGACAGCAAACCAAAACTTCTCCTCTCAACATTTTGTCGCCTTTCCAACTGTAGTAGAATAACGCCGATATTTACACATCCTCACAGAGGAAAATACACTCCCTGGAGGCATTCTGGCCGTTTATCAAGGCACTTAGTTAATTCACTTTATTGGCGAGTGTTCTCACAATCATATAAGGATTGTTGGAAGGAAAACAGACATTATCATTTCCCATTTCTCTCCAACCTGTCTCTGATGCACATCAGCTATTCTTGCATAGTGAGTTAAAGTCATCTGATCCATGTTACAAAATGTTCTCAAAATCACTGGTAAAGCAGCTCTTTGCTAGAGGAACTGACCACAACAACTCAGTAAGTTGTGCAAAAGAATATCTGCAGACACTATGCTGTTCACTTATTACAAGTTCTCTGTTGTAGTGGAGAAACAAGCTGATGGGCTGCCTGACGCTCAGCTCAAGTACATGGGTACCAAAACCTGACCAACATCTTTTGAGGTTTTACTAAACTACCAAAAGAAACATATTCGTTATAATGTGCATGATAGTGCACTCCCTTTAAGCAGCCACAGTGAGGGTCACTGTATTTAATTTTGAGGCCTTGGGTCCAGGATGAAAAACAGTGAACTCTCCTGGTGGGAAGGGGTCCACTGCATCAAGAAAAGGTTCACGTATCTTTTGGTCACATTATAATGCTCTTACAGAGGACTGTGAGATCAACAAAAAGTTTCACCTACAGTCCTCAGCTTTGGCAAGTAAGAGAAAGACATGGTGTAACATGGAAATATGGACAAATATGCCTTGGTGGGATGGCTGAGCTCAGCCTAGAAGAATGGCAGATCTTGGATGTCTGCTTTTTTGCCACCAAAAACAGAAGCCAGCTGAGTTGGTCTGGGCTCCTGATTAGGAAGCCTTCAAGGTAACAGACCTCACTCCTATCTCATCTGGAATGGGAACGAGTCCCAAACCTCCAAAAGGAGGTTTGCAAATCGGTGACTGGATGAAATGATGAATGGATGACTCCAGCTCTGAAAACTTAATTTTATGCCTTAACCTCTGACTCACCATTTCCTTTTTGAGACAACAGAAAAATGTTTCATTCTGCTTCATACTTGTCTCTATATCTACAACGTATCCAAACAAAGTGTTCTTTAGAGGCCAAAACTGAACTCATTTCGGTAATTTACAGAAGGAAAATCCATTTTTGACATTACATAAGTCAGTGATACAGTATGATTCAGGCCTGGGAGTGCTGAGGTGGTTTGTGTCACTTACCCTTGCATATTCAATCTTGAGTGTACAGCAACCAGCATAGATGTCAGCTCCGTTCAGAGCAGCTTTGGCCTTCTGAGCACACTGAATGGACTCAAATCTGAGGAAGCAGGGTCAAGGAAAGGACACTGCACTTTGACAACAACACACTCAAGGACTGGTGGCTACACACACTGCAAGGATACTCCACCATGGCTTGGATCCCATTTCGTTTAAAGATGACAATCCTCAGCACACTTCCAATGGGGTTACACACCGTGTACAGAACATCCTGATCCAGAGAGGAAAAGCAGACAGACACACGACAGTGAATTTCATGTTCAAGTTTCTTGAGTTTAAGTGTAACTTGCATGAAGCTTCAGCCTCAGACCATTGTAAGTATTTCAGTTTACAACAGAGAAATACAACCTCCTAATGACACACGTGCGGCCTCAGTTCTTTTCCATGACAAAAAAAATTAGAAAGCTTTTACTTTTATAAATCATCCGTATCATTCATCAGTATAGGAAAGCCCAACTTCAGAGAAGATCCAGCACATAAAACTTTTTGTGTCCTACTGTTTAAAAAATCAGCAAAGAAAGTCTGTCACCTTAAAAAAAAAGGTTCACATATTCAATCAATACTTAACCACCAAGATATCATCACCAGTACAGGAACGACATCTCTTACTAGACTGCCAAAATGATTGTTTCAAGAAATGTGTTATTGTCCATTTATCATTTTTTTAATTCTCTGGGCACTCATGCATTCTCAAACATGGGATAAGTTCCTGATTCCCGAAAATCCATCAAACACAAAGTCAAATTAAAGCTACGAACAGTATTTGTGTCTGAGATAAAACAAACAAAACTACATAAATGTGTGCTGAAGGAATATTAAACTTATATCCATATGGACAGGTTAGTCCATGTTGAACACGGATAGTTATATTGATTCAGTACAGGTGAGAACTATCCATTCCATGTGTATTCATTCTCCTCCAAAACCATTGTGGTTTGACTTTCGTGGTGCAGAGCCAGGGCAGTTAGAGTCAGACACACCGATTTCTCTGTTGCTGGTTGCAAAAACTAATACAAGAATTAAACCATACACACACTACTGTCATTCTCCTGTAACAAACCTTTGGTCTGTCTATTTGAACCAACCAAGGTGTGCTTGTGTGTCTGCGTGTGTGTTTACCGTGGTTATGGGGTAGAGAGGATTCTGTATGGACAACAGGAGGACTTTGTTGCCACTGTTGGGGTTATCAGCATTGGTTGGTCTTGTGATTCTTTTGGATGTGGAGTAGTTGAAGTATGCCTGCTGGCCTGATGGACAAAAATTAATCCACAGAAGATGTTTAACTGTATATAAGCACTGGAGATATTTTTTAAAAACCTCATCAGTGAGTCTATAGGGAAAGAAAGTGTATATATCCAACCTGCAATATAGACAGGCTCCTTGGCTCCACAGGACACACAGCGGTCAGCACTTTCCACCGCAGAGAACTCCACCAGAGCCTGACGCTTGAACGGCATCATCATCACATAACTAAAAACAAACACATAAGACAAGCTGTAACTCCACGCAGATGAACCCCTCTGCCAGCCACACAACACTTAAAAAAGATACTGTGCTGAAATGTCTTTAATTCAATTGTCAAGAGATCCAATTCGTCCTCTAAGGCTGTTGAAGTAGCCCTTTTTGTCATTTCAGAACAGCAGAGCAGCATTAAGGTACTTTAATGTACATGTTTTTCTAGTCCATAAAGATAAAACTGTGTTCTTATGATTTATTTGTATGTTTGTGTGTGCATGTCTCCCCCAACATGTTTCGTCCTCCAGCTTGGTTGGGGTAAATGAGAGGTTAACGATCAGTGGAACCTGCATGAGGTGTACAGGAGTGGCTGAGTCAAAATCCCACTGCCACAGTGTGTTGGCTCTGAATTATTAAGGATCTGTAACCATCTTTACAAAAAAAAGCTCACGCTGATTATCAATGCTGTCTCACATGATAAATCCAATAAAAGCTTATTGAATGTGACCTGATGTGGGGTCATACTCATAGCTTTGAATATCTTTTCTGCTTCAGAAATCTATGCTGTTAAAGATGGAGGTTTCTGTTCTCAACCAGGTAAAAAAACAGCCTATAAAACTTGAAGTGATATAATATGATTGTATTCTAGAAGCAGGGTTACTGCCTATTCCTCCTCCTTCTTCATCTTCTTTTTCTTCTTCTTCTTCTCCTTCTTCTTCCTTTTCTTCTTCTTCTTCTTCTTCTTGTCTTGGATAGCATTAGTACACCCTGTCATACTCCACAGAGTCCTTTAGAAGAGGCTGATTCAGTTCACTTTCAGATATTCTGGATCTCTGCAAAGATGTATAAGCCCTAATTGACTGATTTTAGGATGAAAGCAGAAGAACAGCTTCCTGATTTCAGACAGCACAACTGGAGACCTCTTATGACACACACACACACACACACACACACACACACACACACACTGTAGTGTTTTGTGGTATGTGGTCTGAACAATTTCTTGTTAGCATTACAACAGTAGTCACATCTAACTCCACATGAGAGATCGGTCATGTGACCTGAAGCCCGTCATGCCGTGTCACTTCCTTGTAATCCTCTTTAGTCTGATATGATAAACATTGTTACAGCCTTAACAAAATCAATCTGAAATCACTCTGATGTAGTGCCTCACCTGACCACACATTGAACTGACCACTGTGCAGCATGCAGCTGTGCAAAATTTAAACATGTACTGCAGTCTTACCATATGGGTCCAAACTTCTCCAGAGCATCTATTAGATCAGCCTCCACCACGGCCTCACACAGACCCCTGACATGGACCACAGGGCTTGGAGAGATGCGATGGGAGTCCTCACCATTATCCTGCAACAAACACAGTCAGTGACAGTTGCTCACTGGGAGTTCAAGGTGGTCTGATTCAGGTGTCCTAAAGATAAGACTGGCATGAACGAGTTTTGCGTGGAAGATTTTTCTCAAAACCCTGCAGACAGATGAGAGAGAAGAGTTTCAAAGTCATAAACTAAAGCAAAGTGTTTGCTGAGCAGCATTCACACAGGTATCTTGATTTAATTCTTAGAGTCATGTTTCCAACAGTATTAACTCTGTTGATATTCCTTCTACTGTACATGACTATTTCAGGGGTTAATCATCAGTTTGGGGCCGTCTGGGAATGTAATATTTTTGTTTTTTCCTACTTAGACCAACCGCTTGTAGCTAGCCTTCTTTAAGAAGTAAACAAAGTTATGTCAACTCCCCAACTAGAAAAGCACTCAGAGAGTGCAGACCTCCGCCAAGCAGCTCATGTCCCCGCTTATATTGAGATTCACACCAAAACTTTTAGGGCTCTATTTTCGTGCGCACCGGTGAGGCGACGGAGGGTGGCGGACCCTGCGCAGTTGTATTTTCGTCTGGCGGAGCCTGGCGTAAAGCCAGTTTTGTATTTTCGTGGACTGAGGCGCACGGAGGCGAACCGAGATCCGCCAAGCTGGGCGTGGTGGCATGGCAGGGGGAGGTGTCGACAGAATCAGCGGGCGCAGTGACATTTTCGTGCTCGCCACCGGCGTGTAAAGTGCGCTGAAAGCTCGCCGATTTAAACCTGGTCAGCTTTCAGCGCAGGCGGAGCGCAGCTGGTCTAGTGGTATTTTGGTAGACCAGCGGCGTATCGGCATATGTCACCGTATCCTCACAGGCAGGTTTCCACAGTGTCAGGCACATTTTAGTGCAATAAATAATCATCAACAACTAATAATCTGAGTCAGCACATACATTTAGATCTATATCGATATATTCTGATCTATATCTGATCTGATGAGCGCGTTTGGCACGCGTTTGGACACACAACCTGACCGGATCAACACAGCTGAAACCACATTAAATTAAGTTAAATATCTAGTAAATAGACACACATGATGAAGTTAACAAGATATGTAATTCGTCTCCCTCCTTTTCTTTCTTCCTCTTCCTCTTATTTCTCACACAGCTCGACCTGGACATGTCTCCGTGTCCTCTCTCTGTCCTGTTGCAGTGGCTGAACAGATGATTTGTTTCAGTGATCAGATGAGTTATTTACTTTAAGCCTACACACGAATATTATAATATTCAGTTTTGTGAGCCAAATTTATTTTATATGCCAACATCTATGAAAGAAAGAGCCAGGCCACGGAGCGCGATGCGTCATTTACACACAGACGGTGCGTAAATGCCATTTTTGGAGTTTATGTTGGGATCTCTGCGCTCAACCCACCTTTGTCACGTGAGGTTTTGAATATGAGCAACTTTATGTGAGTGTCTTTATTTGTGGAAAAGGGTGTTTGTCTTACCAGTGGGTCCAACATTACACACACCAAATCCATCTGTGCTTATATGAGAGAGTGTGGAGGACGCCCTCTGCAGCGCTTACAGTGACACTTGTTGAGGAGCTGCCCTTTGTCGCCATCGTGTGGCATAACTGTCTTCAGACATCTCTTGATCTCCTTGACTACTTCATGAAAATAGTAATATGCCTCGCCGGTGGCAGATTTAAAGGCAAGGAGAGGAGCTTATGTGATTGGCTGTGTTAAACCCACTCTCCGCCCTCTCTCCTCCCTCGCTACGACTTACGCCGCTGGGAGGAGCTGAGTTAGGGAGGGGGGATACTTACGCCGGGCTGCACCGCTCACCAAAATACCAAATTGTGCTTGGGAACACCTTGTCGGCGCGGCGGACCTCACTTACGCCGCACATGCGCCGTGTCGCCGGCGAGGCACGAAAATAGAGCCCTTAGTGTTACGTGTCTTTTATTAACTTTTATTTGTGTTTAAACTGGTATGTTAACTGTTCATAGTGTTCCTAAAACAATAAATGCCCTGACCCGGATTCAAACCCAGGACCTTCTTGCTGTGAGGCGACAGTGCTAACCACGACACCACTGTGCCGCCCATTGGTTATCTTTCAGCATTGAAAATTCCAACGACACTCCTATTTTTGTGTGTTCTGGATCACCGTATCCAGAATTTTTTCTGGATCAGGATCGACCTTTGACACCTCATAAAACTCATTGAGATCCTTTTGTGTAAATTTTTACTAAAGACTCTCGCCATTTTTATAGAGTTAAATGCAAAAATTCCAAAATTTGCCCTATCTCGCAATGATAAAGAATCCTTCAAAAAATTCCTGGGTCCAGAAGGCAATCCGGATCACCACCAAAATGTAATGGGATCATCCTGGGGCTAAGACGCACCTCTGGTGAAAATTTCAGGTCAATCCGTCTGTAACTTTCTCCGTAAATTCGCTAACAGACAAACAAACAAACAAACAAACAAACCAACAAACCAACGCTACCGAAAACATAACTTCCTTGGCGGGGGTAATAAGCATATAAGGACTTTCCTTCTCCACTGGGCATATCATATGTATGTGGTTATAATTTAAGGCTGACAGGATGAGGGCACAGTGCACATGGCTCTGTGAAGACAATAAACAACAATCAAACACAAACTGGAGCTAACTGCACAGAACTTTAAAACCTGAAGTATTTGGTTTGTGAATTAGACTTTGAGATGAATCAGACAACGAAGGTGAAGTGATGAGCAATGTTTGATGCTTTCAGCTGCCACATCATTCTTGGTCTATTGCTCTCACAGTGTGCAGACACGGGTAAGAAGCTCAGATATTGTGCAAAGTCCATAGAAAAGTGAGCAAGGGACCAGCATTGAGTGATAGTTGGATCTTTGAGTATTCAGCAAACTGCTGGTCTTTTCATGCACAGTAGACTCCAGAGTTTAGAAAGCAAAGTAACAAGACTGGTTCAAGATGACAGGACAGAAACTGAAATAACTGCATCTTCATACACTGCTCCACAGAAATCATCAGGACAGACAACATGATGTGGAGGTTGGGCTTGAGCTGTAGCAGATCACAGAGGGTTGTCAGCTCAGAACAGTCAGCCGAGGCTAAAACAGGATCAGAGTATCTTCAGGTCTGAAACATGCTCTCTAGTTCTCAGAAGTCTGAGCATTTAGCTGCCACATGCATTTTGTGGAGTCAGAATTTGGATTGAACATCCTTGAGACGTGCATTCACCCTTTGGCGAGTCGATGTTCGAACTGTTTCTGGTAGTGTAACAGTGGGCTGATCATTTTTGGCTCACATTAGCACCTCTATTAACAGCAGAGGATGGTTAGATTACATGCTGCAAGCTATCTGAGTTTAGTTGCCTACATCTCTTTACAGCCCACAGTCCACCCACATCCTGTGAGCTGCTTTGATTCCTGCAAAGGTGAAATAAGGCACAACACTGAGTGTATTTATAAGTGTCACTTCAAGACTGAAAGCCTTTTTGTAGTCTGAATTCGTTTTTGCATAGACACAGTGTAGACACAGTTTGAAAAAGAAAAGCTGTCAAACCACAGGAGTCTGAAGTCTTATTCAACCAGTAAGCTGACAGTTCAGGACCACTCAATGAATCTGTGGAAACTTGGTTTAACTTTAAAATCATCAGGATGTCGATGACAAGTAGGAAGTCAGTGGTCACTAAAGAGCTACACTGCTGTTAAAGACCAAGGTGCAACACAATAGGCTCTATTTTCGTGCCTCACTGGAGACGTGCTGCAGGCGCGGCATAAGTCAGGTCTGCCGCGCTGATAAGGCGTTCCCAAGCACAATTTGGCATTTTGGTGAGCGGCACAGCCCAGCGTAAGTATCCCCCCTCCCTAACTCAGCTCCTCTTAGCGGCGTAAGTCATAGAGAGGGAGGAGAGAGGGTGTGGAGTGGGTTTAACACAGCCGAGACCTGTATTGACCAATAACATCAGCTCCTCCTAGTAATACACCTCACCTTTAAATCCGCCACCGGCGAGGCGTATTACTATTTTTGTGAAGTAGTCAAAGAGATCAAGAGATGTCTGAAGACAGCAATGCCACACGATGGTGACAGAAGACAGCCCCTCAACAAGTGTCACTGTGAGTGCTGCAGAGGGCGTCCTTCACACTGTCTCATATGAGCACAGATGGATTTGGTGTGTGTAATGTTGGACCCACTAGTAATACAAACACCCTTTCCACAAATAAAGACACTCACATAAAGTTGCACATATTCAAACCTCACGTGACAAAGGTGGGTTGTGCGCAGAGATCACATCATAAATTCCAAAAGTGGCATTAAAATCGGAACCATCTGTGCGTAAATGATGCATCGCGCTCCGTGGCCTGGCTCTTTCTTTCATAGATGTTGGCATATGAAATAAATTTGGCTCACAAAACTGAATATTATAATATTCATATGTAGGCTTAAAGTAAATAACTCATCTGATCACTGAAACAAATCATCTGTTCAGCCGCCGCAGCAGCAGCTGCAGCAGGACAGGGAGAGGACACGGAGACATGTCCAGGTCGAGCTGTGTGAGAAATAAGAGGAAGAGGAAGAAAGAAAAGGAGGGAGAGGAATTACATATCTTGTTCACTTCATTATATATGTGTATTTACTAGATATTTAATTTAATTTAATGCAGTTTCAGCTGTGTTGATCCGGTCAGGTTGTGTGTCCAAACACATCCATAACGCGCTCATCAGATCAGATATAGATCAGAATATATCTATATAGATCTAAATGTATGTGCTGACTCAGATTATTAGTTGTTGTTGATTATTTATTGCACTGAAATGTGCCTGACACTGTGGAAACCTGCCGGTGAGGCATCGGTGACGTATGCCGATACGCCGCCGGTCTACCAAAATACCACTAGACCAGTTTCGCTCCGCCCGCGCTGAAAGCTGACCAGGTTTGAATCAGCGAGCTCTCAGCTCCGGCGAGCACGAAAATGTCACTGCGGCAGCTGATTCTGTCGACACCTCCCTCTGCCACGCCACCACGCCCAGCTTGGCAGACCTCGGTGCCCCTCAGTTCATTAAAATACCAAACTGGCTGTACGCCGGGCTCCGCCAGACGAAAATACCACTGTGCGGGGTCCGCCACCCTCCGCCGCCTTACCGGCGGACACGAAAATAGAGCCCAATATGTTGTTTTAGCTCAGAATCAGGACATGAGCTGAATAAAGAGGAGGGAAAAGAGAGAGAGCAAGCATGGGAAAGGGACTTCTCCTCAACTCCAAGCAATTGTCTCTAATTTCTCCACTTCTTGTTTACCCTACTGGGTCCCTTTAAACCGGGTCCCTTCAAAACTCCAGTCCTTTCTCGTTCTCTGACTATCATCTCTTCCCCCTCTTCCCTTTTTGTTCTCTTCTTTCATTGACATTCCTTTGAGTCTATTTATAGAGACACATGGCTCATCTTTAGACAAATGTTGGGAGAGGGAAAAAAAAAACTAATCCAGACTAACTTTTCTCTCTGCACATGAGGCTGCTGGCTTCTGTTTCATATGAACAAGCTGTTCTGTTTGTGTGTGCAGGTTTCAAGAAACAATGTCCAATATAGAAGCTGCTTCTGTCCATCCTGACTTCTCACATGATGCAAACTTAAGATATATATTCAATAACCAGTAACCTGGAGGAAGTGTCCTGGTCCATGGGCCTGAATCAACCAGGTGGCCTTGTTTGAAAACATTTTTACCTATTCTTTACACTGACTTGAACCACTTCATCTTCAAAACAAACATTTTAATCTTGGAATTCCATTTTGCAACTGGAATGAAGTCTAGATGTGGTTAAATGTCAATCCTGCCCAGAGTCAAAAGGTTATTGCTCAGACTTGCAAACTCACATACTGTATTCCATGTATCTAGGATGGCCAAAGGACCAGCAATCTGTGTTTTTTCCCCTAAAAAAAATCAGCAAAATACATCCTGACAGTCTGTGTAAACACCCCTGCTTTCATGTCAGTGTGTGTTATGACAGAAGACACAAGAGGGAAGTGAACATTCTGCGAGAAAACTGTGGTTTTGCCCAACAGCAACTATAGATGTTGAAAATCGAAGCAAGTGCAAAGGGTCAAAAAGCAGAAGTTTCTTGAGTGTCTGCTTGAGGCTGGCTGCAAAAGCTGAGGGATCCCCATCAGGGCCCAATGAAATATTTCTTTACTCAGCAAGATTACGCTTGTTCAGTCTGGTTCAGGATATTTATTTGGGTTATGAAGCATATTCAAAAATTTACTTAAATACTGCAAAACATCTATTACGAAAACATAAAGGTTAAGATGGCAACAGAGCGACAATCAGACACATCCTATCTCAGAACGACACAGAAAAACTCCTCCATGCATTTGTCACCTCTAGGTTGGATTACTGTAGTTCCCTTTTATCAGTCTGCCCTAACAAGTCTTGAAAGACTCTTCAGCTGGTCCAAAATGCTGCAGCCCGGGTCCTGTCCAGAACCAGAAGAAGAGAGCACATCTCCTCTGCATTAGCTCCTGGCTCCCCATTAAAGTGAAGGTAGAATTTAAAATCCTTCTGACCTACAAAGCTCCTCATGGTCAGACAGGCACCATCATATCTTATCTGTCCATCTCTCTCTTCATCTCAATCACACATAACTACATGTTAAACTCTTGTTTCTCATGAATAAACCAGTGGTTTATTAGTCATGATACATGTAAAGCACTTTGTGCTACATTTCTTTTTGTATGAAAAGTGCTATATAAATAAAGTTTGAGTTGATGATACAGTTTATGTTATTATTCACTTTCTCTGTCCAGAAAGTAGAAAACAAACATTTTCTGAGCATGTCAATGACAGGAGAGGGGCGCTAGCTTTAAAGTTTGATTAGCAAAACACATAAAAACAATGAATAATGGGGCACTGTCTGGTCTAGTGGTCCAGTACAAGCCTGCAACCCCTTTTCCCCAGGTCATTCCCCACTCTTTCTCCATGTCTCCTGCTCTATCCACTATCCTGACCTCTCTGAATAACGGCATTGATTGATTGCATTGACAGCAGAACGAAAGTTATGTCATAAAAGTCCCAAAACGTGAACAGAGCTGGAATAGGAGGACACTGAAATCACTAAGACTCAGAGATCAGAGACAAGAGTACAAGGACAAGTAACAGGACCCTCAGTGCACACAGCTGGATCACTGACACAAGCCAGACCAGCACACAAAAGAGATGACAAGAAGTCAGGTTGATCCTTGGTTCAAGTCGGCTAATCCACATCTTTTCTTAAGGGTATGTTTCTGAATAATAAAATAGAAAAGAAAGAATAAGAATAAGAGAAATAAGAACTTTATTGATCCCCGAAGGGCAATTTAATTGTCTGTTGTCTCACGTAATATGTTGATAAAAGTTATCTACGATTTACATAAGAGTTATAAAGCCTGATGGCTGTTGGTACAAAAGATCTAAATCTTTCTGTCCTGCAGCAAAGAGAGAGGAGCTGTCCACCACCATTGGCCCTTTGGTCCATCAAGGTGTTGTGAAGTGGGTGATCCATGTTCTTTAGAATAGTCTCCACCTTCCTCAGTGTAGATCTCTCCACCACATCCTCCACTGAGTCCAGCTTGAGTCCTACCACAGAGCCAGCCTTTTTCACCACTTTGTTAAAACGTCTTGCATCTTTGTGTTTGACGCTTCCTCCCCAGCAGACTGCAGCGTAGAACAGAACACTTGCCAACACAGACTGATAAAACATCTGCAGCGTCTTACTACTGATGTCTATTGATCAGAGTCTTCTCAGGCAAAAGAGGCGGCTCTGCCCCTTTCTGTAGATGTAGTCTATATTCTTAGACCAATCCAACTTATTATCCAGATGTACACCTAGGTATTTATATGATGTCACCACTTCGATGTCCACTCCACAGGTGTTCATTGGCTGAAGAGGGGGTTTGGATCTACGAAGTCTATGACCATCTCCTTTGTATTTGAGGTGTTGAGGAGGAGGCAGTTTTTGTGATTCCAGTCACTGAAGACTCTTATCAGATCTCTGTATTCAGCTTCTTGTCCATTTCTGATACATGCCACGATAGCGGTGACGTCTGAGTATTTCTGGATGTGGCAGGACTCAGTGTTGTATTTGAAGTCTGACGTGTACAGTGTGAACAGGAATGGCGCCAGTACTGTCTCTTGTGGAGCCCCTGTACTGCTCATTAATGTCCCAGAAACACAGTTCCCCAGCCTGACAAACTGTGGCCTTCCTGTCAGGTAATCTGTGATCCAGCAAACACAGGCAGGATCCACTCCCATCTCCGTGAGCTTGTCTTTGAGTATGGTGGGTTGGATGGTGTTGAATGCACTTGAAAAGTCGAAGAACATGATCCTCACATAAACCCCAGGTTCCTCCAGATGAGACAGGGCACGGTCAAGCATGTAGAGGACAGCATCATCCATTCCAATGTGTTCTTTGTATGCAAACTGCAGGGAGTCCAGTTTGTCTTTGACCTCAGACCTCAGAAGGTGTAGAATCAGCCACTCCAGGGTTTTCATGATGTGTGAAGTGAGGGCCACTGGTCTGTAGTCATTGAGTTCAGCAGGACATTTTGTTTTTGGTACTGGCACAATGCAGGATGTTTTCCACAGAGCAGGTACCCGCCCCAGCTGTAGACTCAGGTTGAAGATCCTGTGGAGAGGCTGACAAAGCTCTTCAGCACAGTCTCTAAGCAGCCTTGGACACACACCAACTGGACCAGCTGCCTTCCCAGGACAAAGTCTTCCAAGCTCCATCCTCACCCCTTTTTGGGTGACAGACAAGGACTGGTGTTCTAGGAGGGAGGCAGTTGAAGTGGTTGAGACATTTGAACAAGATGGAGGAGGAACGGGAGAAATTGTAGTGAAGATCTGTTGCAGAGAGGAAGGTGGAGTAGCAGTGGAAGTGGGAGTGACAGCAGTGTCAAATCTGTTGAAGAACAGGTTGAGTTCATCAGCTCTTTTCACATCACCCACCACTGGCTGTCTTTTCTTTTCATTGCTGTGTCCAGAGATGACACTGATTCCTCTCCACACTTCACGGATGTTGCTGTGTTGTAGATTATTCTTTTTGTACTTCAGCTTTGCCATCTTCAGTCTCCTCTTCAATTCTTGTTGCACTTGTTTGAGTTGTTATTTGTCACCATCTTTCAAAGCTTTCTTTTTCTGGTAAAGGATTGCTTTTATGTCTCTTGTGATCCAGGGTTTGTTGTTGGGGAAACAGCCGACAGTTTTTGTGGGTATAACTGTGTCTCTACAGAAGTTGACATAATCAGTAAAGCAGTCAACCTGTTTGTCAATGTTCATACTGTCCACATCTGTTTCCAGCAGCACATTCCAGTCTGTTGATTTAAAACAGTCCCTTAGAGCTTCACTGGCTTGAGGTGTTTATCTTCTTATTTTGACTTTGGTCACAGGCTGCCTCAGCACACAAGGTCTGTAATAGGTTTGCAGATAGACCAAGTTATGATCTGACTTGCCCAGTGGTGGTAAGGCAGTGACTCTGTAGGCTTCTTTGACGTTGGCATACAGCAGATCCAGGCTTTTGTTTTCTCTGGGAGGACAGTTCACAAACTGTGTGAATCCAGTCAGGTGAGAGGAGAGGGTGACATGGTTGAAGTCTCCCGATATTATTATTAGTGCCTCAGGGTGTTGAGTCTGTAGCCTGGCAACACTATTTTGCAAAACATTGCAACATTCTTCAGTTGATTTGGGTGGAATGTAAACAACTACTGTTATGATATCACTAAATTCTCTTGGAACATAATATGGCAGAAGAGCAACTGCCAACAGTTCAATATCTGGACGACACAACATCTCCTTGACAGTTATGTGTGAAGGGTTACACCATCTCTGGTTGACAAATAAAGCCAGACCTCCTCCTTTCTTCTAGCCACTAGCTTGAGCATCTCTGTCTGACCTTATGAGAGTGAAGCCAGGTAGACCCACACTGGAGTCCGAGTTGTTTTGATTCAACCAGGTTTCAGTAAAACACAGGAAACCGCTTTCATGGTATGCTTTCTCAGGCCCGAACTACACGTATATGGATATTTATTTATCAGGATATTTTTGTACTCCCGTCTAAATAAATGTATCTGTCCACACGTGTTAGTTCTCAAAAATATCTGCGTCCACACGTAGCCTTCAAACTCAATCCTATCTGGCGCCGCTTAAAAAAAATTCAGGAACAAAGCTAACTGATTGGCCGATGAATCGTAACAGCGTGATGTGTCATGCATTGTTTGCGGAAGCTACGCTAGTTCGTCGGGTCCATGTGACGGACCATGTGACCAATAAAAGTATTGGCCGCAGCAGACGCGTCTGTGAGCTGGCTGACTGGTGGATGTAATTGTATAAAACAAGGCTCACTTGCAAGGCTGAAATTAGCCCCAAAAGGGCAAAACAAACGTAAAGAATACCCTGTCTGTCCGCCATCGTTGCTGTTGTTGTTTTTCTTTTTAATTCGCATGCGCGAGCTGCGGTTTGACGTCATCGATCCGTAAAAGTCCAACCACACGAATCCACTGCGGATACGAGATACGGATATTTTTTTATTTCTCCACTTGTTTTTCCGGATTCAGATTTATCCGGTTTGAGTGCTCCAAACTCCCGTTTTGGTGTGGTAGGGAGGCCTAATCGGACATAAATATGTGCGGTTTGAAATATATCCGCATTCGTGTAGTTCGGGCCTCAGTCTTCACCAAGATCTCCAGCTCATCGCTTTTGTTGGGCAGAGAGTTGACGTTTCCCATGATGATTGATGGAAGAAAGGGTTTATATCGCCACCTCCTGGCATTCAGCTTTGCCTTCACCTTTGCACCAGCACGGCAACCCCGATAACACCTCCTGATGTCCTCTGGAATTGTATGTTGTTGTCCAGATTCAATGTGGTTTTGAATCTAGACAGATCCTCAATGAAAAGAGCTCTTCTCTTGAGTAAACTCTTTGCCAACAGAAGTATCCATCAGCAGCCAACAAAAATACAACAAAAATATGAAAGAAATCTAGCAAAAATTACAAAAATTACAGATAATACAGAGAGACCAGACTTGCAGCAACCTCTTGGTTCAAGCGCATCATTTTGAAATCACTGATTACTTTTTCCACAACATGGTGAGAGATAGACTCTCACAGCTACAGACAGTGGGTTCTAACAGCTAATTCAGACTGTAGACCGAAGAAACAGTCCAGAGAAACACAGACAACTAACAAACAAGAGCCACACCCTTGACAGCACACTATCCATAATTACCTGATCACATAAACCATGAGACTCAATAGTGATATAGATAACATTATTTATTCTCTGTTGATACAAAAATGATGCCACAGGTCCCAGATACAATCAAGTTTAAATATCCATCCAGTGTTATCGCATTTGTCGGACTTCCTTTTCTGACTTGCTCGACATCCAAGAAACAAGAAGGCTAACGATAAGCAGACTTCTGAGGTGAATGGAAACAAACTAAACGTGACTGTCCCAGTAAACACCATCTTTAGTGGTTATCTTAACAAAACCTTCGATCCACTCTTCCAGATACAGCTTTACACAGATCTGCATCTGACTCAAATTACTGCTGACGCAACCAAACACAACTGTACAAAGGTCATCTCTGTAGCAGGCCCCAGCCCAGAGGAGTTCTCTGATCAATCTGTGAGGAGACCATAACCACCAGGGAAGTTAAAGGATGTTTAGTAGACTTGTTTTTCAATGACCTGTTTGTGAACGGCATTTTTAGATGACTAGTATTTCCTCTTCTCCATCTTGTGGTTTTGTGTTCAACAGATACACACTCATGATGCAAAGCTGCCTGACACTCTAATATCCCTCTCTTTACATCACGCTGAAAGAATTAACAATCCTAATCAGCCCATCCATCTTCTTAATCACTCTCTAATGACACTATGTCGTGTGGGTGGTGTGTAACTGTGTCCTTGCATGCATACCTGAGTGTTAGTGGAAACTGGACTACATGCATGCAATGCTGGTCACACAGCAAGGTGATACCACCTTCACTCAGAGCTACAGCTAAATGAGTGGAGGGATTGTTTTTCCTCTCTTTACTTTGTGGCTCCTCTTGGCAGGGACAAGTGGACAGATGTAAAGAAAGCAGGTAAAGAGGGAGAAGAAGAAGTCAGACATGTCGAGGCAACGATTCCTCTGAAAAACAGCCACTAATAATGATTATTGGGGCTGTACAATACACAATGATACAATATGTATTATAATACACAGGACACAAAATGATACATGTTTGAAACTTAGCACTCTGGTTACTAAAAATGCAAAAGTGAAGTTAAGCAATCAGATCCATGTGTCACTGAGTCAAAACTTCGTATTTCCACTCCAACTGGAAGGTTGTAAGAACATGATTGTTAGCAGCTTTTGAGGGAAATGAAGGGTTGGGACCAGACACATGGGGCTCTATTTTTGTGTACGCCGGGGACGCGGTGGAGGGTGGCGGACCCAGCGCAGTTGTATTTTCGTCTGGTGGAGCCCGGTGTACAGCCAGTTTGGTATTTTCGTGGACTGAGGCGCAGAACAGATGATTTTTTTCAGTGATCAGATGAGTTATACTTTAAGCCTACATATGAATATTATAATATTCAGTTTTGTGAGCCAAATTTATTTTATATGCCAACATCTATGAAAGAAAGAGCTAGGCCACGGAGCGCGATGAGTCATTTACGCACAGATGGTTCCGATTTTAATGCCACTTTTGGAATTTATGATGTGATCTCAGCGCACAACCAACCTTTGTCATGTGAGGTTTGAATACGTGCAACTTTATGTGAGTGTCTTTATTTGTGGAAAGGATGTTTGTCTTACCAGTGGGTCCAACATTACACACACCAAATCCATCTGTGCTCATATGAGACAGTGTGAAGGACGCCTTCTGCAGCGCTTACAGTGACACTTGTTGAGGGGCTGCCTTCTGTCGCCATTGTGTGGCATTGCTGTCTTCAGACATCTCTTGATCTCTTTGACTACTGCGGCGGACCTGACTTATGCCACGCATGCGGGGAGTGGTTTGCTCTTCATTTGAAACTGTGAAGCTGTACCAATTCTACATGACTGACTTGCCCTTGCCCGATTCGGCCACAAAATTATCGCCTTCTTTTGCAAACGCCATTTTTGTTTGCACTGGTGTGTGTAGGAACTGGGGAGTGCTCCCACAAGAAGTGGGAACCTATGGTGGCCTGGAGGGGCAAGACATGACAGATAGGAAAATCGAATCAAATTTTTTTAACATCATCATAATCAAATAATCTGATTACAATTTAAAATCAATTAATTGTGCAGCCCTCCCTAGTATGATTAGCCTTTAACAACAGAGAGAGTGTTAACAATGGCAGCTTAAATATCAAGAACATCTACTTAATGCAGAAAATACAATTATTTTAATGGAGGCAACCTAATACAGCTGTGGTTTTATTTTACAAACCAAAAGACACTTCCACCATGAATGATGGCATAACAAATAATATCCTGGAACACTGTGTTTTTCCTGTGATATATAACAATGGACAAAGACAAGTGGCTGAGACAAAGACAGTTTGAAAATACTATTCAGCAGCAGTAGGGTCCTCACTTGAAACATGCCCAACTTCTTCACACATTTATAGCAGTACCACATGGACCTAAACATTAAAAAAAAGACACTGTTGTCCAAAGTCAGCTGTCTCTGACATTAAAAGACACTTTACCTAGTAATTCAGAGTAAGCCAGAGAGGTAACAAACACTACTGGTGGTGATATAAAACTCCCTTTCTGTCTCCATGTCAGCAGTAAAGCCACACCTTCATGAACAAGCAAAAGCTGCTGTTGTGCAGAAACCCGTCCGAGGCATCTACTGTAGCTGTGACCACGGACAGATGGACATCTAGAGTTATTCAGAGTTACTTAACAGTGAGCGCTCATCACATAATCCTTGAGTGGAACATGGTGAGCCCTGTTCTTCAAACTCATCCCTTTGAGATTCTTTGTGTTACGTATTTTTCCCTCACTGTGCTGTTACTTCAAAACTGAGGTAGGAACACAACCGTGATTATTGTAAACTGCCACACCTCTACTCAGTGAAAATGTCATGGCTGAGCTGAGTGTGCACCCTGAGTAGCAAAATAATAACTGCATGTACATGAGGCTGATACAGTGAGTGTACTGGTGTGATCAATAACTTTAACTTTATAAAATGTTGATATTGTGCTGAAAATGGGCATATAGTATAACTGTGTCACTAACTGGTTGATAATGGTAGTTCTTCTTTATTATACTGTAAAACAGAGACAAAAAGGATGCAGCAGCAGAGGAAGACAACACAGTAACCAGATAGCTATCCTTCACTGCAGAGTTTAGCTATTACTGCAGCGCAAATCATGTGGGGGGTGCAAGGTAGTCTCCCTGTCCCTGACAAAGTTTCCTCGACAGTTTGAGGTTTTGGATTTCATAAAAGACAGAGGGCCTGATCTAAGATCCCAAATGATGAGCGCTAAATTCTGTGTGCAGATTTAAAAAATGCACATACTATTAGTAGGCATGTTGCAGGTGATCCATTATGATTTAAAAAAAAAATCAAGTTTGAAGCCGTGGAGTTGCACCTATTGTTTTGGAGAAGCCAGCAACTGCATAGAAGCTGTGTTTTTGTGTCATTTACAGTGTCCTGAGTGCATGAGAACAGGATATAATTGCCCATTCTTTCTGACACAGAAATCAACACTTGGGACAACAAAGAGAAAAACTACTCTGGGAGACGCACCAACTGTGATGGTGCGCTGGAATGATCCAGACACGAGAAAATTCAACGTTGCAAAGAGTTTTTCCAAAGACGATGTGGTATGGATCTTTTTTGTGACTGGCCCCAAATCAGCTCTTAGTCATCCAGCAGCTCAAAAATTGCATTACTGTCACGATTACTGTACTATTTTTATTTCTGACAGTCCAAATATGTTGACACATGCGGGAGATTCTCTCTGTCCGTTGTCTACCAATGCACCTCCTCCTTCACCCTACAATGACCACAGCCATTTGTGCGTAACGTTATAGACACAGAAACACAGATCACAACCAGATTCTGGGTTTGATGAATCACATTGCAGGTGTGAAATAATTCCATTTGCATCTCCTCCTCTCAGTATTTTGTGAGTTCTGATAATCTGCATACATTCTGCATATTCATGAAGACGAACGTACTAAATCGATTGTGCGTGGTACTTTGCTCTTTTGACAGCAGCAATCCTTAGTGCACCCAGTTAGTACATAAGCTTTGTGCACTATCAAGTTTGCACGTGTTTTTATACATGCAAACCTTTAGTAGATCAGGCCCAGGGTGTTTGTGGACAGAGGAAATGCTGAACAAAAGTAGTGATCTGAGCTTTCTATAAATATTTTAAAAAATTACAAAAAAAAAAAAGGACAGTGAATCCTTCTGACCACACAAATCATGAAGTGAAATTCTGATACCATGACAGCCCTATCTACACAGTGTGTGTGTGTGTGTGTGTGTGTGTGTGTGTGTGTGTGTGTGTGTGTGTGTGTGTGTGTGTGTGTGTGTGTGTGTGTGTGTGTGTGTGTGTTGCAATCCGGTACATCCTGTAGTGGGTGAACAGTGAGAAAAGGATGCACATTGTTCTCAATGAGAGCCATGTGTATATTATCCTTCCACTAAAACTTGAAAAGGCTTCAGTTTTCTGTTTGTTCGGTCAGTTGAAGAAACTCTCTTAATCAGTTTATAAAAGTCTCACCTTAAGGTGGAGAATATTTGAGATTCCTGTTACAGGGCCAATAAAGATGTTGTTCTTAAACAACTTCAAACAAACTCACTTGTATGTACAAAACCCAATTCCAATGAAGTTGGGAAATTGTGATAAACGGAATACAATGATTTACAAACCTATATTCAATTGAATACACTACAAAGACAAGATATTTAATGTTCAAACTCATAAACTTTTTTTTTTTTTTTTGCAAATAATAATTAACTCAGAATTTCATGGCTGCAATATATGCCAAAGTAGTTGGGACATGTTTACCACTGTGTTACATCACCTTTCCTTTTAACAACACTGTTAACAAACCTTTGTGAACTGAGGAGACTAATTGTTGAAGCTTTGAAGGTGGAATTCTTTCCCATTCTTGCTTGATGTACAGCTTCAGTTGTTCAACAGCCCAGGGTCTCCGTTGTCATATTTTACGCATCATAATGCGCCACACATTTTCAATGGGAGACAGGTCTGGACAGCAGGCAGGCCAGTCGAGTACATGCACTCTTTTATTACGAAGCCACGCTGTTGTAACACGTGCAGAATGTGGCTTGGCATTGTCTTGCTGAAATAAGCAGGGGCGTCCATGAAAAAGACGTTGCTTGGATGGCAGCATATGTTGCTCCAAAACCTGTATGTACCTTTCAGCATTAATGTTGCCTTCACAGATGTGTAAGTTACCCATGCCTTGGGCACTAATGTACCCCCATACCATCACAGATGCTGGCTTTTGAACTTTGCGTGGATAACAGTGCGGATGGTTCTTTTCCTCTTTGGCCCGGAGGACACGACGTCCACTATTTTCAAAAACAATTTGAAATGTGGACTCGTTAGACCACAGAACACTTTTCCACTTTGCATCAGTCCATCTTAGATGAGCCCGGGCCCAAAGAAGCCGGTGGCGTTTCTGGATGTTGCTGACAAATGGCTTTTGCTTTGCATAGTAGAGTTTTAACTTGCACTTACAGATGTAGCGATGAACTGTATTTACTGACAGTGGTTTTCTGAAGTGTTCCTGAGCCCATGTGGTGATATCCTTTACACATTGATGTCTATTTTTGATACAGCGCCGCCTCAGGGATCACAGGTCACAGGCATTCAATGTTGGTTTCCGGCCATGCCACTTATGTGCAGTGATTTCTCCAGAGTCTCTGAAACTTTTGATGATATTATGGACCGTAGATGTTGAAATCCCGAAATTCTTTGCAACTGTACGTTGACAAACATTGTTCTGAAACTGTTCGACTATTTGCTCAAGCAGTTGTTCACAAAATGGTGAACCTCGCCCCATCGTTGCTTGTGAATGACTGAGAATTTTGGGGGAAGCTGCTTTTATACCCAATCATGGCACCCACCTGTTCTTAATTAGCCTGCTCCCCTGTGGGATGTTCCAAATAGGTGTTTGATGAGCATTACTCATATTTCTCAGTATATTTTTCCACTTTTCCCAACTTCTTTGTCACGTGTTGCTGCCATCAAATTCTAAAGTTAATGATTATTTGCAAAAAAACAATAAAGTTTATCAGTTTAAACATATATGTTGTCTTTGTAGTATATTCAATTGAATATGGGTTGAAAAAGATTTGCAAATCATTGTATTCCGTTTTTTATTTACGATTTACTCATCTCCCCAACTTCTTTGGAAATAGGTTTTGTATTCCCCAGCAGGGTCTTGTCTAAATGCTATTTAGCACTTGAGCAATTAGGTTTTCTTCTTCATCACTCTTTAAAAGCTTATATCAGCTGAGCTGAGCTTGTATGATTCAAACATCACCAACTATTATTTCCTCATTTCGACTGCACAGCTAAAACATCTGAAACAGTTAAATAGTGTTTATGTCTCAAGAAGGTACCTGTGGTATGAAGAGGCAGATAATGTTGGACTGAATTTCAGTCGGTAGGATTTATGTTAAAGAAAATATTTAAGATACATTGTTTAAATGTTGAAAAATTCGACATATACCACAAAGACCATACTTGTGATGCATTAAAAAATATCTCTTAGCTGGCACTTTAGGCAAATTGGGTGCAAGCTTTGCTTAAAATGTACTTGTAAATCTGCCTGAAAAGATACTGCAAACACTGTTCAGTCTATGTCAGTCAGTCTGAACTTAAAACACCCACTAGTTTTGCAGCTCTATCGAAACTGCATCAAGTTAAAGCAAGGGTTGTCAGTTTCAGTAAATAAGAGAAAGTTGGCAGAATTTTGAAGTATTCAAGCAGCTTTACTAATCACAAGAACACAGACCTACTAAAATCCCAGTGATCCATGAGAAAAGTACAGAAAAGGAGTGCAGCCAACAAAGTCAGAACTGAGTGTACTGGACAACTTTTTTTAGACGTTTTTATGCAGTCTTCTCGCTATTCTTAGCACGTGGAAGACTCTGCTCATTTTCAATTGTGCAGCAGAACACGCTTCCAAATAGCTTGTCACATACAGTGTGCAGACAAGCTGCTGAGCTGTTTAATTTTGTCAATTTCCCCAAAGTGAGTAATACAGCCAGTAATCGTTTTTACGTTTTCAGATTTACTGATTTCTGTTATATTTATTCAGTTTGATATTTAGGGAAAATTCAGACAAATATATTTTTAGACTTCAGCCTTCACTTTTAGGGAGGGTAGCTTAATGAAAAATGAATGGATCAAATCTTGTTAGAAAGCAGTATATCACTGCAATATTGTAGTACTTTCATTTAAAGATTACCAAAAACACAGTCCATAGTACACAGTAATTCTACAACAATCGCTTTCAGGCCAGCTCAGCATCTCTCAGCATCTCTGCAGAGCTGTGCGGCTGTAAATGTGCAAAATACAGTCTGATGTCTCCTTTCTGTTTCTTCCCTATAAAAAAAAAATATTCTCTGGATGACAACATATGGTATGGCATCCCCATAGTATCATGGGTGCTGGCTTTAGACCTGTGTGCCAATAACAAGCTGGGTGGTTCCCCTCCTCTTTATAGAGGAGGATGTGTTGATGTTTTCCATTTTCCTCTGTCTGTCTTATGTGGGTTCGGGAACAGTTGAGTTGCTAACATTTCTGGAACAGGTTTATCGGCGGTTCCCTTTTTTGCTTGTGCAACTTTAACCTGCATTAGTGAAGGAGACACACTGTGTTCAAAGACAGTGTTATCTGGATGTGATTTTGAGCCCATGTAGAGACTTCCACTGCAGAGTCTGTTTTGTATTCAGCATTGGCTGAGGGTCCGAAGATCACAGCTTTTCAGTATCAGTGATCAGCCTTATCCCTTCAGTACCAAGATTTCTTCAGATACTCTGAATCTTTTCCTAATATGTGTTGTAGATGATAGAGTTTTAAAGACATCAAAATCTCATTATACAATATCATCTAAAATCTGATTATTATTGCCGTATTTTTAAGAACAGAGAAATTAGGACTTTGAAAACAATGACCTTTATAGGGGCCCTGAGCCCTGGGTATGGAGGCTATAATCCTCATTTCAGTGGTTTGACTTCCGGCCTTGATCCTTTACTGCTTGTCTTTAACAGTCTCTGCTCCCCACATTTCCTGCCTCTTATCAGCTGTCCTATCCATTAAAGGCAAAAATAAATATGCATTTAGAAACATAAACAAACTTTAGCATAAATTCAACTATATGCCACCTTGTTTAGCTAGCTTTTTGCTGTTATTTTAACAGGAATGTCAGCACTGGGTAATTACATCAATTTTTTGAGACCAGCTGAAAATTTTGGATGTGGTTACCGAACAGAAGGAGCAGCAAAAAAGGAGCAGCAGCAGCATCTGCAACCCAAAGTTGACCCAGTTTTTCTACCCAAAGACAGACAAAAGTATCTAGTCAAACTTAGGACCCCAACATACTTTGAACTATTCTCACATACAACTAACAACCAACGTTTTAATGTGGTTTAATATGCTGACTTGAAATTATGTATCTTTAAAACAGCATGAGATCACAATAAATTCATTGGACTCAAAAAACAAACATCCTTACAATCTGTAGTGGCTGCACCACCACTCTCAAAATGGAGAACAGTTGACTGTTATTGATTTTTTTTCTTTTTAAATAAGTCTAATTTAGGTTTAGGTTTAAAAAATGTAGCAAATATTTTTACCAACTGAATAAAGTGAATAAGTTGCAGTTAAAATGCAGATCAGGAGTTTTTTCCCATGTCTAAATTTACTGATCGTTAAAATGTTTACAGACTTAAATGGACCCCCTGTGAACACTTTTGAACCAGCAGCCAGTTAACCATTTTGATAACAAAGAGAAGCTGAGTCCACAAAGGTCAGAAAGAAAAGTCCTGACTTCAATTCCAGTCCATGATTTCTCTAACTAAACTTTGATACACTGGCTGTGTTTGGGGGGAACACACAAAGACTAACTAGTGTGTGCATTTTGGGTTCCTGTGTGTGCATAGCGTATGCAAAGCTTGAGTGTGCATCAGTGTCAATATCAGCCTTGGTATGTGCTTGTACGGGCATGCCTGTGCAAAGCATATGTGTATGTAAAGTGTGTAGGGGAGCCTGGGGCTTGTTGTCACATGGGTAAGTTGTCACATTGCAATTATCTATGCCAGTGGTTCTCAAGTCCAGTCCTTGAGGCCCACTGTCCTGCATATTTTGGATGTTTCCCTGCTCCAACACACCTGATTCAAATGATTACCTCCTTATTAAGCCACTACAGAGCCTGATAACAAGCTGATCATTTGAATCAGGTGTGTTGGGGCAGGGAAACATCCAAAACATGCAGGACAGTGGGCCTCGAGGACTGGACTTGAGAACCACTGATCTATGCCACCAGAGGGCACAACTAAAAAGTGTAACACTAGTTTTTATCCTTTACATGGTCAGGGGTCGTGTCCTGTCCGAGAAGAGAAGAGAAGAGCACATTGTGAGCTGAGATAAACGCCAGCTGACCATTTTGCACAACTAACTTTAAGCTAGAGCTAGAATTAGCAAACATGGTAGTTTGGGGCAACATGTCTCAGTCATTTTGGGGTTAGTTGTCACATGTTTGAAATGTATAAAAGATTAACATAGAGAGTCAGCAGTTGTCATATTGAAATTTTGACTTTATTTTTACTGAGAAAACGGTGGTTTAAAGGAGGGGAAAAAGCAAGAAGACATGGTCAGGAATTACAAAAGAAAAACAGAACATGGAAGTGCAGTACCTGACATGATGCTGAGGGCAGTCAGGCAGGTGACCCTAGCTAAAAAATAAATCTGGAGTAATGTAAAAAATGAGAACAACAATAATTTTGTCATTGTTTTATTAGCTGGAAAATCCACTGTGACATCTTACCTAATGTAGTGAGACAACTTACACGATGTTGGGGCATATGAAAATGACATGAATACGAAATATATACCTGAGACTTTGGTCTTTCATCTAGTACACATTTTGTATGATGTATTGATTCCAAGAAATATATAAGAGTGTAATAAGTGTGACAACAAGCCCCGGTCTCCCCTACATGTAGTAGTGATAATCATGTACATTGCAGACTGAATCTCTGTAAGACTTCAGTATTATACTAAGGCGGTATATTGCATGAACTCTCTCTATATACTGATAAAGAAAAGCTTCCTTTATCAACTTATTAATTTGCTGCTTTCACTGAACAAATTAACAAAACACCAGAAAGGGGCAGGTACATTGTGTAATTAGTATGTGGGCTAAGGAAGCAAAACAAAGCATACGTTATCATTTCAAATGACTAAATGACATATCTGATACAGTTACTCAGTAATTCAGTCACTTTAGAGAGGAGTCGGGAGTCATGGAGAGTTACGTCACTGAAAATAATGCTGTTTGAGAGGTCTTTGCAGAGTAGGAGAGGTTAATGGTTTGGACCTGATCAGCTGCTGATTAAAATCAAACAGAGGGAATGAAAAGACTTTTTTAAAAACTTAAGATAGTTCCAAGAAAAAAGTAAAAAAAAAAAAACAGGATAGCAGCAATATCTGTTGTTGCACCGGGTATGGAATATGTCTATTTGGATTTATTTATAACCCCCCTGCCTGAAGAAAACCTGAGCAGCCGTCCCTGCTTACAATAAGAAACGCATTAATAGTTAATAGTCTTTGTTACGGTGAAGTCAGATTGGTATAAGCAGTATTGCTGTCTTTAAGAGATGCTTTGATCTTCGAGCCAGCATCCTGTGTGTGTGCTGACCACTGCTGACTTTAGGAGACCTGTAGCGCGTGACAGCTGGGGGATGCTAATTCACTGACACAATGACACGGTTGCGCGCGCGCGCACGCCTGTCAGTGATGCTGTGCTGCAGGGTAACGTTAGATAATGTTTTTGCGCTCCTTACCCTGCGTCCTGCTCCGTATTGGTTGGCACTCCACCGGGCCCGGTTGTCTACAGCTGACTCTCCGTTACCGGTGAGCGAGCCGGTGTCCGAATCCTCCCCCTCCTCCAGCTCCTCCTCCCCCTCCTCTCTCTCCTCTGTCTCCCTCTCCTCCGTTTTCAGTCGCTTTGCCGCCCTTCCGTAGTCTCCTTCCTCGCGCTGCCTGGCTCCTTCTACCGTCGACATGCTCACGGCTCCGATGAACCTGTTTGGAAACGCGACAGTGGTTGTGTCGAGCCGGTCACACAGACACGTCCATGTCCAGAAGTAATTCCGCAGAGCCTCCTTGTTGAACTGCCACCTTGTACCTGTGCCTCCTAGTTTGCCTGTCCTTGTCAGAGTCTTGGACTGTCTCTTTATTGGTCTCCAATACCAGTGATTTTTTGTGGAAGTGTGAGTGGACAGGACACATCCCGCCCCGTTCTGTTCTCTTATTGGCCAATGCAGTCCTGCGGCTTGGAGACACGGAGCATGATTGGCCGCCGTTGGTGCGTCAACAAGCAGCTCTTTTTCACGCTGCAGAGGAGTGCGCAGAGAGGGGGAATAGAGGGAATGGTGGGCTAGCGAAAACAGAAGAAGACAGATTTAAAAATGCAGAGCAAGTAAACAGACAGACACAGGCAGATGGAGTGTCGATGTGTTGCATTTTTGGGAATGTGTGGATAAATCTATCAGTGGATATCACCTGCCACTGTTCAAAGTCATAGTTCCTGAAGCCTCTTTGTATTTGTACATGTTTGCCATGTCCTCTCCAAAATGGGCAGAACCTCATTTATTAAATGTTAAGGTATCTAAGCTTTTAACCGCACAACCAGCTCGAAAAACTGGTAAGATGTGCAATCTGATTTGAAAATTCTTACTACCTGATTCAGCACTCAAATAAAAAAGACTTTTTTTTATCACTACAGTTGACGTTGTGTCTTGTTTACATGTTGGAGCTGGTGCAACAATCCCAATAACAGGTAAGGTTAGTAGGGACAGGAACCCCTAGCACCTGAAGGTTGGGTGTTTCCATTTGTGGTGGGGGTGGGGATGGCAGGTGGATTCATACTTTGCCACTCTGTAAAGTTGCTTTAAACCTGTATTTGTGTGTTACGACTAAGTGTTTTAGTTAAAGTGGATGTGCTTACAGAGAACAGACATGGTAAAAAAAAAAATTAAAAAAAAAGTTAATGTGGCCTGTGTCTATGTCGCACTTGGACATTACATGTCACATTCACCCACTCACACCACATTTATGCAAAGGCTGCCATGTAAGGCCATCATAATTAACGAAACCCATTCATACACACATATTACAGTGACCAGTTTCTTATTCAAGGACACTTCAGCATGTGAACAGTGGGACTTGGGATCCAATGTCCAATCTTCCAGGTAAGAGACAGTACTACTGAGCCACAGCCTCCCCTGATATATGCACTGGACATGTTGCATGAGTTGTCGACTGTCCAGCTGATGTAATGCATTCACTGCACTGTCATGCCTTGGAAATGGACAAAGTACTCACAGTCAAGGTTTCTGTCTCCTTTGATAAGAGTAGTTTTTTAACTTGAGCCATGAACACTTTTTAAAAAACTGTTAATAGCTTTAAATGTATTATTGTTCAGAGTGTTAACCCATTCTGCATTTCAAGCTTTCTCAGTGTAAAATAAATGAGATATATTGGTTACTATCAAGCTATGATGTTGATGTAGATGCAACAGTTTGGTTTTAACTAATTATGTTCTGCTTCTCTGAAAAAAATGTAAACGTTCATTTGAAGATGTTAAAAAGTCAAGTTCATTCAAGGTAAGGTGATATTGTCCATTTGGCATTTGATAAATCAATGCCGCTACCATCATGCCTTATTGAATTATATTTTATTTTTTGAAAGAGAAGGCTGCATGTTACTCATTACAATGAATGGACAAATAGAGGAGTTCCTTTTTAAAATATCCTTAGACACAACACATGCGCAAATCTTACAAGCTTAAAACATGTGTCACTGCATTAAGATTGCTCTGAGTGTCACAATCCTGCAGTGATGTGTTATGCATACATGTGGCTCAGTTCAACATGCATAGCTGTGTGTCTGTGTTTGATGTTCGTGCATTTTGCAGCCTCAAAGTGAGGTCACTGATAGAATAATGTAATATAGTAGTCATTTCCTGTTCCTCCCTGTCAAACCCTTTCGACACACTTAATCTTCCCTTGTATCTGTTTTCCCACACTGCATGTGATCACAAAGACGCTGTGATCCAGATTGACTGTGAGGCAGCTAGGCCTGTTGGACAAGACTGCACCTGAAAGATGAGACAATTCACACCTAATTCTTCAAGAAGGGTGTGATTCGTCTCTCTCTCTCTCTCTCTCTCTCTCTCTCTCTCTCACACACACACACACACACACACACACACACACACACACACACACACACACACACACACACACACACACAGTGTATAATTCTGCAAGGGATTTTTTCATTTCTCAGCAGTGCACAAAACTCTTGTATTTCTAAAGACAGTCACAGTTACTGGCAGACTTGGGGCACTGGCATGTTGTCTCTGGGGACTCACTGAACCCCCTAGTGGCCATTGTCACAAATGCATTTTGGGTGTTCATCATAATTGATACCATTTTATAATGAGTAATTAAATGCCCAAAGAGGACTTTAAAAATCATAAATGCATTGGAGGATTTCAGAGCTTGGATGGTCAAGGCTCCTGAGCGTTTACAGGTAATTGACCTTACTGAAGAGCATTTTAACAGTGAACAGGGGAAAGGATGGAACTCCGAGTTGTTGTCTAAATTTCAATTCATGTTTAGTTCACAATAGACTTGACAAATATCTGCTTGCCAAGCACAGATCCCACAAACTGCATTCAAAGGTGCAATTTGTAGTATCTTGCAGCATTCTGCAAGATAAGACTTTGTAAAAATGTAATACAGCATTCACAAGTTTATTCTAATTAGTGTTTACTCATCTGAATATAAAAGTTATTTTGTTTTTGATAACTGTGGTTAAACATTTATATCTAGGTAGGAGTGGATTCTGTTCCACAGGGGCCACTATCTTGCATGACCATGCTTCTACAGTAGCAAACTAACTAACATGTGCATATCTGTATTCAGTGATAGACAATGTGAACAGCATGAAAAAGAGTGGCTCTTGGTCGGTGCAAAATAACTGGTACTGATGATCATTTGTCATGGTTAGAGCTTGACAAGCAGAGGATAGTACTTATTATGCATCACAGAAGCTTCTTGTCCGTTAGGGACACCATCACTTCACTTACAGAGGGGATGAGCAAAGGGGCATTTCAATTTAGTACCTGAAATCACTGAATATTCCCAGTTCAACACACTGTATCTTTCACAATCAGAGAATGTTTCACCATATGTTTCATCATCATGCATGTTTTGCACCTCTTTCCCTTCACTCATCATGTAAAGTTAAATTGTGCTCTATTTTTAAAACCCTTCACTTTACACGCTGGTTTCTCCTCCTCCTCATCAACATCAGACACTCCAGTGGGCACTAACACCAGAGTCTAGTAATGCCTTGATCAATGAAACTAATGACTTTAACTATGAATCATAATGTCCCATTAGAGTCACTAATACAGTCCTTTCTGGGAGTCCCTGAGCTCAATCATGTCATAGGTTCCTCTGGATCACTGCTGTAGATGTTTTGCTGCTGCAGACCTGTCTGCCTTCCATCTGCTTCAAATACAGAAATCATTCTCTCCTCTCTTCATCTCTCTCTCTTCATCTTCCGTTATCATTCTCGCTTCTGTCCATCTCTCTCTCTCTCTTCGTCTCCCTCTGTCAGTCTCTTCTCTGTGAATCTCTCTCTTTCTCCCTCTCTAAACCCAGTTCAGTCTCAGCAGATGACTGTCTAACATCAGTCTGGTTCTGCTTGAGAACTTGAGATTTATAATAATTTTTTGTTGTGTTTTTGTTCTGTTAAAAAGCTGAAGTTTAGGGTTTTTTCAAATGCAAAACCAATTGCAAAGTTTTTTTGTTTTGTTTTGGTTATCGATTTGTTATCTTTGCACAATTTTCAACTGAATACAAGCTTGAAATTGTTTGCAAACCATCAACCTGTTTTGATCAATATTTTACACAATGTCCTAATAATTGGTGCACTACACAGTGGCGCTGATCAGCTGGTGTCTGTGCCACAACAACTTCAACAATGTAGACTTTGAGGCTACAAAAAGGCAATGTAATACCCTCACATTAACTGTGCCCATTTTACAAGCAATGAAAACCAACAAGATGAATTTTCAGTCACACTGCTGTTCTACACATACTCAACTGCTGTATCCTCCTGTTCACTCACCATCTGCATGATGCTGTTTTTGGTCTACTGTTACTGGAGAGGTGATGTGGGTGGACAGCCTGAAATATCAACACAATAGGCTAGAAAGAGCTAAAACCAGAGGACAGAGTTGAACTAAGCTTTGCACTTTTAGCGGGGTGGATAATAGCATATCACAGGAGAATACAGGAAAATTGGCACACATACTCCTTAGGAGTTGCTCTTTTGATATTTCCATCTGGCCAAATGAAAATTCAAGATGGCGGCCATTTTTCAAGATGGCCACCATTGAAAATACAGTAATATTGCATTTTGCAATAAAATCCCATAGACTTGTCTTATTTGGATGATCTTGGTGTCAAATCAAACATTTTCCACTATGCAGAATCCAAATTTGGACCCATGGACTTACTTACTGGCTTCCTTGTACCATATTTCAGTCCCGGAATCCTAATATTCTGGTATTTATGAGGTTTACATTATGTCCGACTTGGGTAAAATGGTTGGTAAACTATATCTTAGTGTTGTTAGAGGTTTAGTGTGTGTGTGTGTGTGTGTGTGTGTGTGTGTGTGTGTGTGTGTGTGTGTGTGTGTGGTCATTGTGACCAAGGAAGATGATGTTATCAGCAACAGTACTATTAATCTGGCTGGGGTGGCACCATGCAGTCATGAAGAAGCTGACACCCGGATCTTTGTGCATGCCAGGCATGCCACAGAAGCAGGCAGCAAGGTCATCATGGTCAAGGTCATGGTTGTTGTCATCGCAGTGAGTGTTCTGCAGGCACTTCAGAACCTCGGTCTGCAGCAGTTGTGCGTTGCCTTTGGCCAAAGACAGAACCTGAAGTGGATTCCTGTTCATGACCTGTGTGGCACTCTTGCAGAAAAGAGCAAAGGGATGCTCTTCTTCCATGCATTCACTGGTTGCGATGTTGTTTCAGCATTCCGTGGCAAAGGGAAGAAGTCTGCTTGGCAAACCTGGAATGTTTGTGATGAGGCTTCCAGTGTCTTCAGCAAACTCAGCCATTACCCACCTGTATTGGATGATGAAGACCTGAAAACCCTGGAGAAGTTTGTGGTCATGTTGTACGACAGATCCAGCACAGCTCAAGGTGTCGACGATGCAAGGTTGGACATGTTAACTCAGAAGCAGAGGCCGTACGAAGCCATTCCTCCAACTCGATCAGCACTTAAGCAACATGTCATGCGGGCATCCTACCAAGCGGGCTGCATCTGGAGTCAGTCAATAGTATGTCAACCAGACACATAGTCCTGCAAACTGGGGCTGGACCAAGAAAGGAGATCTGTGGCAGATTGTTTAGACAGAGCTCCCACCCATTGCAGAGAGTTGCCAGCAGCTGACCAAGTGTGGATGCAAGTCGGAATGCTGCGGTCGATGCAAATGCTACTGCTTTGGTCTGACCTGCACGGCACTGTGCAGCTGCAGGTGTGAGGTTTAGAAACGCTGTAGTAAAAGCCTACTCATCCAAACAGCCTACATGTAAAAAAGAAAAAAAACCTGCCTCGGTGGGATCACCACCTTAGCGTGGTGGGGCAGCTTGTGTGTCTCCATGACCCCTAGAGCTATGCCGGCTGGAGTATTGTACTCCTGGCAGGGTCACCCATGCCAAACAGCTCAAAGGATAGAGACCAGACAAAGAGTGATCCCACGCACTTGCCCTCCTTGCACCCCCCCCCCCCCCCCCCCACACACACACACACACACACACACACACACGTGCAGCACACACTAGACCTCTAACAACACTAAGATATAGGTTACCAACCATTTTACTCGAGTCTCACACGATGTAGACCTTATTAGGATCAGAATACCCAAGTCGGACATAATGTAAACCTCATAAATACCAGAATATTAGGATTCCGGGACTGAAATATGGTACAAGGAAGCCAGTAAGTGAGTCCATGGGTCCAAATTTGGATTCTGCATAGTGGCAAATGTATGATATGACACCAAGTTCATGCAAATAGGACAAGTCTATGGAATTTTATTGCAAAATGCTATATTACTGTATTTTCAATGGTGGCCATCTTGAAAAATGGCCGCCATCTTGAATTTTCATTTGGCCAGACGGAAATATCAAAAGAGCAACTTCTAAGGAGTATGTGTGCCAATCTCGGTGCTTTTATCCGCAAGTGAACGATTATTACAGTTATCTGCCCAGCTATTTAGAACAGACTGTTGTATTCCAGGGCTGACAATGCTTCATCATCACAGTACATGTCATTTAATGAACAGATTTTCTGAAGTGGAAGTAAGCGTTATATTTATCTATACAATGATTGCATTACCATCAGGAGACTGAAAAAAGGCCACACAATTGGGGCTAGAACTTGGAATTTAGTATTTGTCAGTCTGGTTTGGCCGTTCTTGGTTTATCACAAATGCTAAGTTTCATTTACATAACATTTTTTGTACTGTACTACAATCTCACTTCCATTGCATTTGTTGCCAGAGCAGCTTTCCACGATTCACACACAGCTCAATTCTCTTACAGTTACAGATAGAGAGTGAAGCTGAGAGCCAGGTCCTCCCTCCCACTCACCACCTTATCACTTTCTGTTCCTGCAGCAAGCTCTCTGCCTGCACCTCTTTTTACATCCTTCTCTGAGGAGCACGTTCCTCTTTGAACAGTCAGCTGGAACCATCCACACACTCCTGTCAGTTATAGAGATGATCATATGAAAGTCAATAGTTACTCTTAAACATGAGCAGACCTTGAAATCTTTGATAATGTATGATTCATTTACTGAATGACAAGAAAGGGCAAATGGCAGGAATAGCTGGTGTATTACATAGTCATTACTGACATGCACAAGAGATGGGGGGGGGGTCTTTAATGTCTGATCTGTCCATGGCTCAAGAGCCATACTTTTAATAGCAGCTCAACCAATGAAATGGTTCCATCTACCCTTCAATATTATACAGAAAATCACGGGTGTACTGTTCATTGATTATCCAACCATTGGCAATGTGCTAAATTTAGATTTAATCCTTTCAACCTGGCATTTAGCTTTAACTCAAACTGAAATTACAGTCAGTCAAATAATTTGATTCATCCAAAGAAAAAGAAAAAGAGTCAAATGTCTTTGTAGGAATATCAAACACAGATAGCAAATGTTACACAACTGTGCAGGAAACAAGAGGTACAGTAAACAAACTTGTGCTGACTCTGCAGACAGTGTGCTTTTGGTGGCCCTGAAGACTGGTCCACAATTTTTAGCTGCAGTTTAAGTACATCGATTCAACTCTTTCTGAGGCAGCTTTTGAAAAACTATAAAGTTAAATTTGTCTCTCCTTCACAGCCCCACATGAAAACAAGGATAGAAGAAACATGAAGTGGCATTTAAAAATTCAGAGAATCTAGAAAAATCTGTACAAAAAGGGACAAAGCCAATAAATGATGCTAAAGGTTCCTGATACTCAGGCCCTCTGGCAGCACTGCATTACAAACAGTCAGGACTCTGGAGTGGAAATCACTGTGTTGGCTCAAAATCACATCCAAAAACCTCAGTTGGTGAACACAGTGGGTGCTGATTTTAAATGCATCAAAAGTGTACCAAAAAAGGAAACACAAACATGATCCAGACATGCCAGTTACTTCTTCTCCAAGCCCACTTTTCTGTGGTCAGACAAATCCACATGTTGACTCTCTTTTTATTAATTAATCAAACAATCAATCAATCAATCAATCAATCAATCAATCATCATCATCATCATCATCATCATCATCATCATGCTAGATCCTGTAAACCATACACAGGTTTTCAGTTATTCTGCCATCATGTCAGTGCTGATTCAGGTACGTCCTTTCTACATGATACAGCAAGATGATGCCAAACACTTAACACGTATTAAGACAGCATGGGTCTGGAATAGAGGAGACTGAGATGTTTAACGGGCCTGCCTGCAGTCCTGGTTTGAAATCATAATGGCACAAAAATACAACAAAGAAGGCCCTGAACTGTTGACAAGCTGAAATCCCGCAGAAGGCAAGAATGGACTGTTCCCTTTCCAAACTCTAGAAACTGGTCTACATTGATCCTAAGGGTTTTATTGTGTCAGTCGAAAAAGAACTGATGCACCACAATGGTCAACATGACCCTGTAAGAACTTTCTCTTTCACAAAATTTCCATGAGGAGGCTTCATTAATTAACCAATAAAAACATTCAATCTCAACATTTGATTTGTTGTCTCTGCCCTCTTTCCAATCAAATAGTATATTCAAGTGACTTCACACAGAACTCAAATATTTATCAAATTGAGGCTGTATTTTGCATAGCTTTAAGAAATCAAAGGGAACCCTTAATGTTTGAAATAAAAAACCAAAGTAAATGAGGGCTATGTGAGAGAAATGGTGTTGAACATGCTATTGCCTGTCTATGCCAGTTTTAACTGTGTAAGTCAGAGCCTATGAGTCTCCTTGCATGATATCCAGCTTCCTTGTGTCATTGCTCTCTAAAGGAACATTGAAACAACACTACCTGTGTTTTCCAGAGCTCTGGTTTTTGCTCTTTTCTCCAGCTCTTTGCCACAACTTCTATCGTGATCACAGATTTTAGAGCTTCTCTGAGCGCAGATAAGAGGTTGCCATGGCAACACAACATGTCTCTTGGCAGAGTAGTAGGATGCCCTCTCACCCAAACCTGCTTCCTCACCTAGTGCTTTAGGAATAGCTCAGTCTATATAAAGATGTTGGACAGCTTGTAAATAATGTTTTATAAAAGGAATAGTGTGAACAGAGCGACAGCTCAGACTCAGAGTCTATTATTACATCATAAGGACAGATGGACCCATCTGATGCCAAAACACTTACTAGAATAGATATCAACACTCAAGTTCAAAGATAAACTCTAAACTGTTTTATTTGAAGTTTTTTTAGAAGCTGACTATGTGTAAGATGCACTTCAGAGCATGCTTTTGTTCACATTCTGAAGATCTCATCCCCACCTCATACCCAACATGAACAGACTGTAGTGATTCAGCCTGCACAGCCTATTGTAGCTGTGGAAAGGTTCCTATCTTCTTTTATCATATTACTCAGGTTAACAACAGACTTGAAAAGGCAGTGACTCTTACATTACAGTATAACATACAGAGATCACAAAAATTTAAAAATGCACTTCATTTCCCAGTTATTAAAAGACACCAACATGTCCTCACTGCCCCACCGCTGCTGGAATCAGGATCAGGCGGTAGTGAAGGTGTAACGAGTGATGTGCTGGTAGGCCTCACCAGGACGCAGGAGACAATCAGGGAACGAAGTCTTAACACAGGGAGATTAATAATCAAATGATGGACAAAAACAGACTGAGTAAATACAGAGGTATTTTTACAACTTTTAAATAATAAGAATAAGAATAACTTTATTAATCCCCGAAGGGAAATTCAATTGTCTGTTGTCTCACATAATATGTCTCAAAAGTTATCTACTATTTACACAAGTTATACAGTCTAGTGGCTGTTGGTACAAAAGATCTTCTGAATCTTTCTGTCCTGCAGCGAAGAGAGAGGAGTCGTCCACCACCATTGGCCCTTTGGTCCATCAAGGTGTTGTGAAGTGGGTGATCCATGTTCTTTAGAAGAGACTCCACCTAACAAATACTGTTTCTGATTTATTTTAGAGACAGCTATTAAAGACTGAGTCATGGTTTCTAAACCTTGAACCTTCTATGGAGATGTGAGCAATGAAAACAGGAAATTTATCAAACTAATGTACGTTTTTCTTCTTCTGCAAACCAAAAGATTATTTCATTCATAAAAATATCTGAATTCTTTGTACCCCTTTTCTCAGCTCTACACTGAATCAAAAAGATCAAATATAATCCCAGTCTCTGGTATGATGGCTAATTTTGTTTGCAGTGATTGCTTCTCTCTTGCAGACCTACACACACACACACACACACACACACACACACACACACACACACACACACACACAGAGCTTTGTATGATAAGACCTCTTCTAATTCCCACCATACCTGGTTGATAGCATCTGGCCAGTTCTGTGCCTCCAGACAAAAAGAGCTGTGCTTCCCGTAGCGTGACCCGCCCTTGCCTATCATAGAACCATCCAGATAGTTTGCAGTGTAAAACTGGACTCCTGGTTGGTTGGTAGAAACCTCCAGGACACGCCCACTGACTGGGTGACACACTCTGAGATGAAAGGACAAGTTTACGGGTCAAAACTGCAGCTCATTAATATGACAGCTGTAGCATAGGTGCAAAAACCACTGCTGCCACCTACCTGGCAGCATGCCTCTCTATCCAGGCATCTCTGGGTGATGACAGGCAAAAGTTGTGGTCAAACCCTGGACCTGGAACTTCTTTCAGCTGAGGGCCCATCATAACAGGCTTTCTGAGGTCAAAGGGCGTGCCCTCTACTCCTCGGATTTCTCCTACAGGTGGATTAGATTGTTGAATAGTGATTCTTTTAACTCCCTGAAGGTTATAGTATCATGCTCTGGATTTTCTTCACAAAACTCAGAGCACCGGGTTTGTTAAATCTATCAAACAGCTAAGCAGCAAACTCAAAAGATAACATCTGATTTGCTAATCTGGCAGGATAAAATATAGAATGATGGAGACAATGGTATAGAATGACATACGGATGCCCTAATCAAGACTTGCCTGCTGTTCATCTGAAGTGTCAGAGAATATTCTCTTGTTCAAATTGAACACATTTTCAACAGTTAAATGATACAGAGTGAAGTTGTCTAGTCAGTTACCCTGACTGTAACATGACTCCACTAAGCATGTCAATCTGCTGAGGTCAGCTCGTTTTGTCTCTGTGTGACTGTCTGAAATGTTTTCTACGTTGACAGATAATCATTTCAGTTGCTGCACTGATGTGAAAAATGAATATTTTACTGTTGCTGTGTCATCTGGAAAAACAGCACAGACACAGGAGAATAACAACAGCTGTTAGTGCGGTCACTGCTGATTATTGATCAGACATAAAGGTAGAGACAGAGAGAAGATTTAACTTCATGACCACTCAAGAGGGCAGCTTTGTCCAGTGTTTTAAAAAGCTCTTCATCTTATCTTATAACAGTTCAACAATAAACTGACCTTATATGTTATCTCTTCCAACAGTGTTTTATTTTGTTTTTCTGAGGAGCAAGATGGACAGAGTAGAGACTGATACAGGGAAATGAAAAAAAGAGAGTTCATCCTGTTTAAGCTTCAACTGAAAAAAGCTTAGAGGGACAGGAACCAGCTTACCACCACTCTAAGACAATCCTACCCTTTTTAACTGTACATGACTGACTAAATCCATATTTTATTTTGCAATTTTCACTGATTTCCTGCCTAACAAATAATGATATTATTATTAGACATAAATACACAAGAATTACATCCAAGAGTAATTAAGCAAACTGAATTGAAAAAGTCTCAAACACAAAAGAAAATGTTTTAATAATTTAACGTTCCGTGAAACAATGGTTTGAATTCATACAATATAAACTTTACAGGAAGAACTAGAAAAGCACTCGGAGAGCACAGACCTCCGCCAAGCAGCTCATGTCCCCCCTTATATTGTGATTCACACCAAAACTTTTACTGTTACATGTGTTTTATTAACTTTTATTTGTGTTTAAACTGGTATGTTCACTGTTCATAATGTTCCTAAAACAAGAACCCAGGACCTTTTTACTGTGAGGCAACAGTGCTAACCACTACACCACTGTGCCGCCCATTGGTTATCTTTCAGCATTGAAAATTCCAACGTCACCCTTATTTTTTGTATGTTCTGTATCACAGTATCCAGAATTTTGTCTGGATCAGGATCAACCTTTGACTCCTCATAAAACTCATTGAGATCATTTTGTGTAATTTTTACGAAAGACTCTGGCCATTTTTATAGAGTTAAATGCAAAAATTCCAAAAAGATTCCTTCATAAAATTCCTGGATCCAGAAGGCGATCCGAATCACCACCAAAATTTAATGGGATTCTCCTGGGGCTGAGACGCACCTCTGCTGAAAATTTCAGGTCAATCCGTCTGTTACTTTCTCCGTAAAGTTGCTAACAGACAAACAAACAAACTAGAAAAGCACTCGGAGAGCGCAGACCTCCGCCAAGCAGCTCATGTCCCCCCTTAAACAAGAAATACCCTGACCAGGATTTGAACCCAGGACCTTCTGATGTGAGGCGACAGTGCTAACCACTACACCACTGTGCCGCCTATCTACACCACTGTGCCGCCCATTGGTTATCTCTCAGCATTGAAAATTCCAACGGCACCCTTATTCTTGTGTGTTCTGGATCACAGTATCCAGAATTTTGACTGGATCACCACCAAAAGGTAATGGGATCCTCCTGGGGCTGAGATGTACCTCTGGTGAAAATTTCAGGTCAATCCGTCTGTTAGTTTCTCCGTAAAGTTGCTAACAGACAAACAAACAAACCAACACTACCGAAAACATAACCTCCTTGGCGGAGGTAGATAAATTCAACACACCCAAAGTGAGAGCTAAATTTACATTTTTCCCAAACTCCAACAAAGACAACAAAGCCTGACCACAATGGACATAAGAGAGACAAATAATAAAAAACAGAGAGAACAAGATGTCTGTGGAAAGACGTGTTTCACTCAGCTGTGTGGTGTTCATTCAGTACTTGTCCAACATGTTTTTTTCTTTAATGACTGATCCATGTTGCTATGGCTGTATTTGTCCCACTTATATTTTTTTCTTTGAAGAGGTGAGATCAATAAAAACAGATATTTGTTTTAGTATCGGTAACATAGTGTGAAATTAATACCTTTTTTGTGAGTTTTCATTGAAAATACAACTTTTGATGGTCAGACAGCAGTACCCTGGATCTGATGAGAGTTTGGTAGAGAAGCTGTCTCCTGTCCTGCACCCTGGTTATTGAATAATCTTTAAATGTCTGACAGCTAAAATTATTCCTACCTGATAGAACTCAAAGCACTGTTAAAAAAGGAAATCAATAACTTAAGAGTGCAACTGCTACACCAAAATAGCTGTACATGCCCTCTAAATTTATAATGCTGTGCTGTGTGAGCCTGGTCCCTCATGATAGAGATACTTGAGAGATTTCCTGGTTGGGTTTGAGTAAGTCATGTTAACATCTTTTATTGTTATTGTTTTTCTTAAGGATCATTCAGCTTTTGCAGCTGCCTGTTGTACCAATATTAATGGATGTGATCATTCCTGTATGTAGTTTTGGCCTCACAACTGATACACAAGTTCCAGTGGTTTCACAACATCTTTTTTTTTTTTGACTCTCTATCCTGAGAACTTTAACTTTACCAAGTCATTTTAACATCCTTCAAATGTTCTTCAATGTATTTACAAAAGTCCGTCTCTAGTCGGCTCATTTTGATGTCAGAAGAAATGAAATATGCAGGTTATTTACCTGTGGGAATCGATGTGTCATCAACAGGCAGGTAGGACTGAGCATTTATGGACACTTGATGGTCATAGATATCAGCTGTACCCTGCATGCACCCACACATCCACACACACACACACACACACACACACACACACACACACACACACACACACACACACACACACACACACACACACACACACACACACACACACTTCTAGTGAAGTGTTAACTTCCCTCTTTCGCAGGCTCATGTTTTTAAAACAACACTTGATGTTTTTCAGGCATATGAATCATCTTCAAATTGTAAAGTGAAACTTCCATGAGATTAGAACAAAGGCATGAGGTCATAATAGGTATAATAATTCAATAATACGCAATACTAACATGTCCAACCCTCCTCTCTGCATAGGTCTAAGTTAACTTTTTGTAATGATCTGTGCTTTGTGTGCATGATGAGTGTACTTATTTTTCTATGTTTGCTGTGCTTTACTCCTGTTAACATACAGTATATGCTGTCATCATATCTTCTCTTATTTAAGCACTATTGGGGGGGGGCATAAGGACACACATACTTCAGAAACTACACACCTCACCATAAAGAGACCAGCAATACAGCTAGAGGGTGCAGACACTCAACATCTCGTAATATTTAAGCTTATAGTTTCTAAACATTTGACAAAGTTCTTGAAACCCTCTATTGTACTTCAAAGTCAACACAATTAGTGGTGACTGAGAGATGAGTCCCTCTAACCTGCTCTGTCCTGCTACCTCACCATATTTTCTGCAGTAACGACAGCTCTGTGGACAGTGAAGGTCCATACAGCTAATCAAACAGCCTTACCTGCCCGGCCAGGTTGAAGTAGGCATGGTTGGTGAGGTTGATGGGAGTGGTTTTGGTAGATCGGGCTTGGTATTCAGCAGTCAGTGTTTCTCCCTAAACACAAAAATAATTACTTAGCTGTGAAAACCCAATAACAGCAGGATCTAACTGTCACCAGCAAAGACAACATCAATAACAGCCTGATACTCTCCTATTAAATTATAAATGTATAATCAAAAAATGGTAAAAGAGTTCAGCTCAGCTCTGACTCTGCCAATTATTGACATATTATTGTCCTTGGCCGACCCTGATGCCATATTTTTGGCCTTCTTAGCATCTGTATCTGTGTTTTTATTTAGTCATCAATGTAAACATGCGCTATACTTTCTCTCCCCACCCATTGTCTCTTTCCCACTGGATCTGTTTTGACTGCTCTCTATGTTACCTTATGTCCCACCTACAACATACTTTGATGGGCAGGACACAGTCACTCCACCATGTACCATAACTGTAACTGGTTAAATGTTAAAGCTTTGATCAAATTGCAAAAGGCATTTAAAGACAGTTTAGTGTTGGAGTTTATAATAATCCAAACATTAAATTTTGACAGTTGGATTGTCATTTTTTATATTATTGCATACTGGCTCCAAATTTTGGTTACTAGTCTCAGTAACCAGAATGATCGATACCAGTATTAGAGGTGGCTGGTTGATTTTGACATGATCAGTATCATATTGGCATCTGCCCTCACAAGGCTGACACCACCCTCATTGTTTACCATCTGATATTTTTCTTCCTTGACAATGTCTGATGGCCGGACAGACATCCAAAAGTCTCTTGTGGGGATATTTTACTGAGCAGAAAATTATTTCATCATTTATTTGAAATAATGTTAATTTTGGAATAATATAAAAAGTTCACCTCAGTTCAGAATTTTGCTTTTCATTTGTTTGTTGTTAAATTGTTGTATTTCATTAAATAAAAAAGGGAAATAAAATCCATGGGGTGATATTGGCATATAATGTGTGCCATTGGATGACCTGCTCTTTCATTATTGATAACAGCATCAGTCTTTAAAAAAGTGTAACTTGTAATCCTCTTAACAGTATCAGCCCTGAAAAAACTGTCTGTCGGCCCACAGACACAGCTAAGAGAGCAGCTCCAAGGGTTACTGGACCCCAACCATGTGACAGGGAAAAGTAGAGCAACATCCTGTCCTGCAACCCAGGCAGCAGCAACAGAGCTGCTAAGAGCACCTCTTAGCTGCTGGTCTCTACGTAACTTTAAGTGGTGGTATTTTGTGGATTTGCCAGGTTCAAATCTGAATCACTTCGGGGGAGGACAAGACCCTTTTCTCATCCTGTTGGGATCGTGTACAGGTGCCTATCCAATACTTCAATTAAGATAAATCATATACACTTTATCCACCTGTTCACTATCCTTTAAATATCCAACACTTAGATTAGAATGAATTATATGCACCTTATAGTTGCCTAAAATAGTCTAATGCTTTTGATCCTTTAACAATGACCAGCTATAGGACCATGAGGTGATGAAGCTGGTGTGTTTACCATTAAGGTATAGGACACTGAGACCTGAACCTCTCCGGGGTAACCCTGATCTCCATCTGGACTTGTGTGACTTAGCTGTACACCACCATTGATGGCTGTACCGAGCCAGACAGCCTGCAGAGACAAAGACATACAGTACATACAATTTAAAAAGTATTTACATATACTAATGCTACTTTAATCTCCCTGAGATCAATTAGCTTTACATGCATATTCTGTTGGACTGAAGGAGCTGTAGCCAATAACTGAATCTGCAAGTTTGAGACTGGGACAAGGCAAAGCTTTGCTTGTTTATTAACCTTCAGTGTAAACATGATCCAGATTCGTTTTCCCTTGGTGTCCTGTGGACATACTGTCAGAGTTCCAGGTAAAACATCTTGGGTCTGTTTGAGCAAGTCATATGCAACCACAAAATAACATCTTATCTTGTCCCATGAAAACCCAGAATACCCTTGAGCAGTACTACAGTAAAAATTTATTTGTTCTTGTCTTAGAACAGCTTGATCTTGATTAGATCAATAGACAGAAGCCACTGGTCAACTGACACTTAAGCAAACACGCACAGACAGATGTGTGGCAGACACACATAAGCCCTCACAGCACAGGTTTGGAGCCTCTACTTGTTTGTGCAGTTAAAAAGTGTGTCTGCATGTGAGGGAAAGGATGAACCAACTAAGTGAAGGCTCTAAGCCTCTGACTGTATGTTATATATGTATGTTAAAACAAATCAACTCACAGCTGTTTGGTCAAAACACCCCATACAGACATGAAAGTCAGCAAGGCATGTGTGAACAGTGGCAATTATAGATGACTATTTCTAGGACATCATTTACTTTTACCATATTAACTCAAACTAAAATCTTGACTCAAACTTAATGTTTGTGTACTCACACTGATTTAGCAGAAACTTAATGTTAATCATCTCTGAGTTTGCTTTTAAGCCTGTTATAACCCTGGGTCATAGATTCTGTTCTCTGTTCCTGTTGCTGTGCAGCTTTGTTTCTTCTCCTGCAGGGTGTGGAGGGTTCTCTATGAAAATGTTTGTGGTTGTATCTGTCATGATAGGTGCTGATGCAGGTGTAACCTCTGACTGGTCAATTGGAGGAGAAGTGCAGTGTTCTGATTGGATAATGATAGTCATCACTGGTCTAAATCTCCACATGCTGCAGCCTGCTTTCCCCTTTTGCTGCCACTACCAAATAACCATTGCTAGACTGTAAATTAGAAGCTCTGATTAGTGTAACTGTGTCAGCCTATTTTGAGAGTGTGTGTTAAATATTTTGATCCTGAGCTGATTGTTAGACAGATAGTCAATTATAAACTAATCCACTGTAGGGACTGAATGTTGAGTAGCAGCGGTGTAAGAGTGAGTATCTTTTAGGTTTTATGGTTGACACCAGTCTTGACACACATGAAGCCAACATCAAACAGTTGGTTGTGTTATTTATAGGTTATATAGAGAGCACATATCTTTTCAGTCCTTATGCTTGCAAGCCTGGCATGACATGGTAACACCTGTAGTCAGGTGTTCAGTTTCTCTCTGTGTGTTAAGTTGTGTGTTATCACTACTGAAAACTTATAAAGCTTACACTGCAGTGAGAAAATTACAAGTACAAACAGACTGCCATGCCTCAGTCCAACTTCAAAGACATCATTTACCTTCAGGCGGACTGTAGATTCTGTGTATGTCAGGGAAGATGAACAGATTTTCACTATTGAGGCTCCAAAGCAATGTCTATAGTCCCTTCCCAGCTTCACTCAGTCTTACCTTATTGAAGCCTTGCAGGCCTCCATGCAGTGCATTCGGTCCATTATTGATATCAAGTTTGTACACTTTTCCCTCCACAACAAAGCGACCCTTCGCAATCCTGTTGGCCACACGACCCACCACTGCTCCCTGGTACCGCTTATCTGACAGATAACCTGTCAACACAACACAGTGCAAGGTTGTTTTTTAATCCGCTGTGACCACCAGAACTCATCTTTTGTTAGTGTACCCCCCACAAATTCATACAATCAAAAATGTGGACTATGATTTACTTTTCCTTCAAAAGTTCAACAAATCTCAAATTGTCCAAACTAGTAGCCACTCTCCCATGGTATGCCATCTCAAGCTTAAAAAAAGCTTAATTTGAAAACTGACTCAGATATTACTGAAGTTGTAAATTCCTGCTCTTTAACCAGAGAATTTATGTTCAAATTTACAAAGTGTAGGGTAGCCCAACTGGACATTTAAAAAGACTAAGCAACATGCTCATACAGAGAATTTTCCTGTATTTTCTCAAGGTACATGATCAGAAACAGAAACATGCACAGTAAGCTTACAGTATTTTTTGTCTGTTTCAAAGGGGCAGTTGTGTAACTGTTGATATGTGCACAAAACTATAACGTCCCAGATATACCTAACTTATGACACTTATGTCATCTGCCAACCCCAGGAGTTTAACAAACAAGTCTCTTGTTGTGACGGCACTGCTCAAGAAAATAAAGGGAACACAGTATCATCACAATGTAACTTAGAGTCTGTCACACTCTCAGCATGTTGACCTGTCCAGTTAGGAAGCAATAATGATTGTAAATCAGTTTCACCTGCTGCTGTGCAAATGGGACAGACAACAGATGGGTAGGAGAGAAAAAGAGCAAGACAACCACTGTTGAGGAAGGGAACAACTAGAGGCTGCAGACCATTTCCTTCACCCCATCCTTTCTGAATAGATCTTAGCTAGCTTTTCCAGCGCCCTCACCACTAGTGGAAGCATGAGGAGGTATCTGTAGATCACGGAAGTTTCTAAGGGAGTGCAGCTTGTTTGGGACAGCAAATCCATACACCCTGTGCCCAGAAGGTTTGCTGTGTCTCCCAGCACAGTGTCAGAGCATGGAGGACGTACCAGGAGACAGGCAGGTACACCAGGACAGGTGGAGGGGGCTGTAAGGGGGGCAACAACCCAGCAGCATACCTGCTATCTGCTCCTTTGTTCAAGAAGGACCAGGAGACCACTCATGTGCATGTTTCTGACCAAACAATCAGGAGCAGACTCCATGAGGTTGACATAAGACTGGTCCTCAGTGAGTTCATGATTTTGGTTTCCATTGATTGTGCTGACATTATTATGTTCTGAACAAACAACACTATGTCATCAATGAAGATTTTCAACTGGAATATTTCATTCATTGACATCTAGGATGTGAGATTTAAGTCTTCCCTCTATTTTTGAGCAGTGTGTCATACAGCTGAACCCTTACCTTCCAGGTCATCATAGCCCAGGACTACATCTTTTATCTGACCATCCTTCCCCTTGCAGTACACAGACCTGATGATGGCCCCCAAGGTGAGAATCTCCACCCGCACCTGGGGGGACTGAAGGACCCACATGTCCACACTGTGCAGACCGGAAACCTCTCCCCACAGCTGGTGGCTTACCTCAGTCATGCTGGACCTGACAGCAACCACTACATGGCAGTATAGCACAGGAAATCACGTTAACATCAAGGGCCTGCGATCGCTCTCCTTCTTTCAAACTCTTAATTTCAGGTTTCCTGACAGCGTAAGGCTGAATGTTTCATGGTCACTGTAAATGTTGATGATTTTTGTAGACACTGTAGTGAATTTTATACTATTCATTCACTCAAACTAAAGGTGTGTAGTGTTTAAGAGTACTTGCACAAACACAACAAACTTTGAGATGATAAAAAGGTCTACGGTAAATATCACTTCAGTGAATTTCTCCTCATTCTTAATTTCTGAAAAAAAAATTAAGAAGTAAGAAGTAAGCATCATTATAATATGGATTAGCCTCTCACCTCAGTGAAGACAGACACTCTGGATCCGGACTTTCGGACTTGACGTGTTTATTTACCTAGTGTTCTTCTTCTTAGAGTCACTGAGAAATTTGGGACACCTGCTGGACTGGAGTGAGAAACAGATATATAATATGTTAACACCCATCAGCTGCCCCCTCCTTCTTCCTCATTCCCTCTTCTTTTGGCGGATCACGAAACAACGTGAACGATGCAATACCGCCGCCTGCTGGTTGTCATGGTACCTTTCACTGCCCAGCACTAGAGGGCTGTCAGCTGTGTGATCATGGGGCCAGAAGAGGGATGAAATGTTGGACTACCCAGGATCCAGTGGGAGGAAGGCGCCCCCAATATTCTCCCTCTAAATTGAAATAGTCAAAAACAATGAAAACTGCCCATGAAAAACAAGGCATGTGAAGGCAAGGTTTTCAGAAAGAAACTCCGAAGTCAGCAGTGCCCCTATTCCTTCCTGCTGGATTCATCTATTGCACAGGACTCAGATGGGGCTTTCACTTCCTTTAACTGAGAAACTTCTGCTGGACATCCTACTGAAGTGACAATGAGAGGAAAACTACCTCATCAATCTGTCATGAAAACCAGATGCTGTTTCAATTTGTCATACAGGGCATGAAAATTGACAGATTTTCCTCCTGGTCCTGAAAGTTGACAAATCCCTCAGCATGGTTCATTTATAATCTGTTTCCTATTTTGGGCCATCCTTGTTTCTGTGGGCTCTTTTGAAATTTTCTGGACTTCAATACTTGCCATAGGACTGAAACTAATGGAGAAAAAAATCACCTGCCTGCCATCCAGGAAACCTCTTTGGACACAGTATTTTTAATTTCATCAATTGATCATCAGCATTATTTGAAGAGCTTTTGTTGCTCGCTTCTGTAACTGTGTGTTTAGTCCCTGCAGGTCAATCATTCAGTCAATCAATCTTTATTTATGAAGCGCCTTTTCACAGCAAGTGTTATCCCCTTCACAAAAAGCTGGTCTAGACCGTAGTCAATTTAAAAAGACCTAATGTAACAATTGGATAAGTGCAATGTGTAACCCCATGTTTTCTTATGTTCTATTAACCCATACATGTGCACACACTACTCAAACACAAATAAGAGCCTTTTACATGCAAAGGGACAGTAGAGTTTTATTCTATTCTATTCTGTTTCTATTTCAACATCACTGGATCATCAAAATATAACAATGAAATTACAGAATGCTTTCTGCTGACAGGTCACATGGTGGCGCAGGGATTTCGCCTCTGGCTGGGCAAGGGTCTTTCTGTGAGGACTTGGTATGTTCTCCCCATAGTTGCATAGGTTCCTTTGGGGTATCCTCACTTCCTTTCTGTTTAGTTTCACGGACTTCTCTTCAAGAATTTAAATGGTTACTGTGTAGATTCTGCAAATCAGGCTGATGGCATCCAGGACAGTTGTTTGGTAGATGAAACCATCAGCACAGTCTCTTATCTTGAGTCACACAGGTAGCTGGTCAGCTGTATTAATTATCGAATGACATAAGGATTGAGAAATATTTATTCTTATACAATCACTCCTCTCTATGCTCAGGTAATGTCTGTGAGTAAATTAAGCAGATTACAATGTAAACAGGACTGCTTCCTGATTAGACCATGAGGATTCCCTCATGTGTATGAAACAGAGTCATAATTCATGTACTTAGGTTAGGTTATGTTAGATATGATGTCCTCAGTCTTTCTATATTTGTGTGTATGTGTAGTTCCCTGTATTATATAGGCAAATAAAGGGGTTAGTTATTTTAGGTATTGACATCATCTTTGGGCTCTGGACCTTTGTAAAAGTACTACCTCCTGAGCAGGAACTTTCTAATTGGTAATTAAGAACTAAATCCAGTTCCTGCTGTCAAAAACACACAGCTCCTCAAAAGGTCTGTAACTCTTGGGAAAGTAGCTGCTATTGAAAAGCACCTAAGGCAGATCTTTGTGTGTAGTTTTCACAGCATTAAATTGTTCAGATTTCAAAAGAAAAAAATCAATCAATCAAATCAAAATAAATGAGTGCTTTTGTCAGAAAACACATATAAAATAAGGACAAGACAAAAAATAGGACAAACCACTCTGTTCACAGGAGACTCAAATGTGAGGCAAATGGGAAGTTCCCAACAAAAGTTTTAACAAAATAAAATGTCATATTTGACATCTTTTTTATTCAGTCTGGCTGTCCTAAATTAAAAATCTATGGGCTAAGCAGCCTGTGAGTAAGATGTGGTTGTTAAACAATCAGATGCAGTGGGTTTGAGTTTTTTTTATGTTGGTTTATACATGTTTATCATTACAGCATAACTCTGTGTTTTTTTTATGAAATTGACTGATATTAATAGTGATGCCTATTGCAATCAACTAAAGGAAATTACAGCACTTACAAAAACATGGTGGGTTTCTTTTGTCATTTTTAGTGACTGAAGGGCTTATCGTGAGACAAGTATATCTGCAGCACAGTGAAAACAAACCCCTTTTCACTACTTCTCCCACTGCCAATCTTTATGAGAGAAACATTTCTCTGTTAAAAGAAAGCAGATTTAAACATGCAGCTACAAGAAAGGTGTGCAAAGTTGTTTTTTCCACAGACAGCGCCAATGTCAACCACTAACAAAGCCATAATCAGACATTTGCTCTGATAAATTTAGGGGCTTTTACCTGGAAATCGACCAGTGTACTTGCTGTTCACAATTACATCCTCACAAAGAAATAAAATAAAATGAAATAAAATAAAAGGTCATTTGGGATTAACATATGATTCGTATTAAAATAAAAGGTCATTATCAGATATAGACAGGCCAGATTAGTATTTGAATCTCTTCTGGTAACAAACTAAAATTATTTCCTCTGTCTTTTTTATTTTTTTTTGTACAAAATCCTTCAGAGATGTGTAAACTTTTTGGCAGTGTGTATCTGCGAGGCAAAAACACGTCAGGTTTAAAGACACTCCACCGTGCCCACTGTGAAAACAGGGATATCTGTCTGCAACAGGGAGCATGAGAAGATGTATGTCAATAATTCCTCTGACAAATTTTCAGTCTACTGTGGGCAAAAGGTACGAGTCTGTCTTCATGTAGACTTCAGTCTGTAAAAGTATACACTCGATTAATAATAAGGGGGTCCACATTTCAAGCACTCCCCCGTGTGCAAGATTTTGGTTGAATCCAGGGTTCTAGCAAATCCAAGATGGCGGACTAAGCAGCGACGTGCAGAAGTTCACTGTAAAGTCTAAACCCTGTAGCATGTCGTCTTCATCTTCTCTTCGCGGACTGCTACCTGATAAGAACGATCGCTGGTGAGTCTGAAATCACAGACTGGTGTCACACTGTGAAATTGCGGGGCAGTTTTAGAGCCTTTGCTCCGCGGAGCAGCGGTCGTAGCCGCGGCAGCTAACTAACGTTAGTCCAGGTCCAGTGATCCCAGTCCTGAAGAGCCCATGGTTTGTGAGGGGCATCTGTCTGAACAACTTTGAAAAATAGGAGCATGTCAGCTTCATTCAGGAAGCGATACGTGTGTAAGACCCTGGTCAAAACTCAGGTTTGTTCCTCGGGGTTTGGTTCTGGTCAGAAAATCGCCTTCAGCCTCAGCTGGGTTAGCATTAGCCAGCGACAGTCTGGTGGGACTGTTGCTCCTCAGTCCTCTATAAGTGAGCCGGGATCCACGAAAACCTACTGGCTGGAGGAAAACAATGTCATAGCTGTTTCTTTGTGGTGTTTTTGACCATTTTCAACCTCTTCTGTTTTCACTCCCCCTCTGCCCCGTGGTTGTTCATGATAGCACAGACATGTCTGAGCTCTCATGGACCATGAGGACCGTTTGGTGTGGTTATGGAGCCTCATATTTCCATCTGTGTACATGTTAGGGATGCACGACATCGGGTTTATACTTCTATCCACTATATGATTACTGTCTAACTCTGTTTGGTTGATAGAGATACCAATCTTGAAACCGATCCAAGTCCATCATTAACCTGGGTAAGCCAACATCCTCCACCTCTCCGAAAGCCTGGTAAGCAAGACCAGTGTCTCTGCTCTGATTTACTGGTTCGGCTCCTCCATCTGCGGTCTTTTCTTAACATTGTGCCATGCAACCCTTAGGAATATAATAGCAATATAGTGTTTTGGTGTCTGAGGTTAGTCGGGATAGTTGTCTCCCCCCCCCCCCCCCCAGTCAACAGTCCCCAGGTTACAGGTTTTGGGAGTAGTGATGCTTGAAACCTTGCTGTAGGGGTGATCGTCCTTAACTGATATTTTTTTCCAGATTATCTTGTGGAAACTGCTGCAACTTAAATATACCACTTGATTTTTAAACTACCATTTCAAACTTTTCTTTCCATTGAAAGTCCATGCTAAAATTGATTCTGAGAGAAAAAAGGTTATTGCCACAATTTACTGCAAAATAAGTGACAGAAAAGACCTTGAAAAGTCAGTTTGAGATAAGTTGATACTTCTGTCAAAAGAGATGTCACCCTGTTACACTGTAATGTCATATGTTTTGTGAAGAGTGAGAATGAGGGAGCAGGTGCAGTTTATGACCATGAGTGTAAGAAAGAAACAAAGCCGTTAGGGTTGCTCCATTAGTGCGTGATGGGATACCAGTCAGGGTTTAAAGAGAGGTGGGGAACAAAACAGCAGACTGACGGTGACAAGCAGACTGTATCACACTGTAACAGGTGTCTGATTGATGGGTCAAAGGTATGTAGAGGTCCTTTGAGTATCTCTGTCAACACAGTTTTCAACATTTATCACCTTTGGCAGCCCTCAAAATTTCATTTCTACAAGTGGCCATTTATTTGAATGGTATTTGTTGAATATTTTTGTGTCTTCAAACTCAAAATATTTCCGGTTACCTTGGCAAACAGAGCCTCAAATGACCACAAACCACAACATGTAAGAAAACAAGAAAAAGGGATTAGAAACTACAGGAAGCAATATTGGTACAGTCTGTTTGTTCTGCAGGGATGATGTTCAGTGAAGTTTGACAAACTTCTCTTGAACCAGAAGGGTGATAGCGTAGTGTTTCAACTTCATCTGCTTCCATCTTGTGATTTACAGTTCAGCTGATTGTATCACCAGAGAGACACTCCACAGTTATATAACTGAACATGAAAGAGATGGTTACTTAAATTGGACTCTGATTAAGGCTCTATAAAGCTATAATGTAACAATAGCAAACATGCAAACTAACAATACTAACCTGACTAAATTGGGCACTAATGGGCTGGTAACAGCTTACCTCTGTTTTTTATTAAAGCATAACTTTTAAGGTTGCTTAGTTTTATTTAATGACTGCAAAATTGTGTGAAAGCAACACCCACACGCTGGTGTCTAACTCTATATCACTGGGAAAGCAGCCAAAACAGAGGCTGAAATGAGGGATTTCACAGATGCTAGTATGAGACAGATACTTGAGGTTGAAACCATGCAAAAATACTCTATAGATGTTCCAGACTGACATAATGAGAGTAAAAGATCTCCTTTAATACATGAAGGAACAGGGTGAGTCATCAGGGGAGCAGTGGGTGTTGTTAAATATTATTACAGCACGGAGCTCTGTGACTGATGACTGTCAGCTTTTTTGCAATCAATAGTAGCATCACCAGGAAGCCAACCCTATCATTCAGGTAACTTCAGGGGCATTCAAGGTCAAGATGCTGGTTAACTCTCCCATTTGAAAAATGGTTCTGCCTCATTGAAGCAGCATCCTCTAAGCCATGCAGCTGTGTAGTATAGTTCTACACTGGATGTAACATACTCAACATACGTTTTCTAAAGCAGAAAGCACTCATCACAGACATTATACAAATGAAAAAGCTCTGACTAAAATAACATTATGAAAAACTTAGTGTGTTATTGGATCAGCTTTTATTGCTTGTTCGTGAGTCGGCTGTGGATCAGGTCCAATATTTAATGGGATCCTCCTTGGCCCAGGCTACACCCTTCCGCCAGGTTTCATGAGCATTTAGCCTGTAGTTTTTTTCCTTAATCCTACTTACAAACAGACTAACAGACACAAGAAGAAAAAGGGCAAACTGCACTAAAAACAAAATATGAATTGGCAGTGATATGGATTATTGCTAAGGTTAGAAGTTGATGCCTGATGAAGGTAAACGGACTCACTAACTGTTGACTGTCATCCTCTGAGATGACTGTGGCACCGAGTTTATAACAGTCTAGAAAATAGTTTTTACATTTCCTTTTTGACTGACACACTCTTATCATAGTAACTGTAACCTGTGCAGGACCACAACCCCTTTGAATTATCCAATGTCATCAAAACATTGAACCAGCAGAGAGGGAGCCTGTTATGGAGAGGACCTTGTAATATAACATTTTGAGGAGATTGTGGAGCATAACTCACTAAAAAATAAGTCTATGGGTTCATTAAGACTATTCCTGGAGTTAATGTTAACTGTAAGATCAGTTCAACTCTCCATCTGACTAATTAGAAGTTTTATCAATTATTTTCATCATTTGTTTCCTGTTTAAATAGAAAGGATTAGTGAGCTCAGAGACGGAGCAGAGCCGTATAAAGCCGACTTTTCCATCTGATGATTGATTCGTTTAGTTCAGTTTTTGAGTTCTTGAGACCCAATTAGTGCGCTGCAGGCCCAGGTCCTCTTCTGTCCTGAAAGCACATCACTGATGTTGGAGATAACGCTTGATAATTAAGAGGAAGGCCCTGAGGTGGTTCTCACAGGGAAAAAGTGTTTGTGCATGAGAAGAGGGGTATTAAAACTGCCCTGCGGTCAGTCCAGCAGCTTGATATTTTCTGGTAACTCAATTTAACTTTATGGATTCTGAACAGCTGCATGCAAAAGTGAACTGCTACCTGCCAGCTATACAAACAGACATTGTTTGGCTACAAACAGAGTGGATGGTGAAAGTCAAATACAAGAGTGAGTGAAGTGTAAGCCATTCACTGATCATTGTGCTGTGTTTTTCATGATGTGTGGAGTAGAGACGGGAACTCTGATCAGTCATCAGTACAGGATTGCAGACTTTTGAAGTTGCCCACAAAATGTAGACTGACAGGCTTGGGCTGTGCTGGAAGTCAAAGAGCACTTAAGTGAGCACAATTATGAACACAAACTCCAAAAAAAAAAAAAAAAACCTGTCAACCAATAAGTTGATTTGTGTAACTACAGATTAACCCACCCAGCAGTCTATCTGAACAATCATCTGAACCAGCTTACATTGTACAGTTTAACAATACACTGAGGAGTTTATACATTGACAGCTATTTCATGACCATCAGATTTAACAGTACTAACTTCAACTGCTGCAGTCATGTCTTGAAATTGTGCTGGCTGCAGATTGAGTACATATCAATTTGATGTACACTGCAATTGGACTATAATGGACTGTGTTTACAGAGCATTTCCTCTAGTCTTCTTTTACATCATGTCACATTCACCCATTTACACACTGATGGCAGAGGCTGCTGTGTCTATAGCTCATCAGTTTAAACTAATCCTAATCACACTGGGTAAGTTGTCTCGCCAAAGGACACTTGAGCATGTGGACAACTCTGGGATTGAACCACTGACCCTCTGATTGGGAGACAACTGACCCTAGCACTAAGCCACAGCTCCCCCTTGAAAGAGTGCTCTTCTTCAGCTCATAAAGTAAAACCTCCTCTTCCTCCTCACATGAGAACATCATCATTATTGTTCTGTAATTGGGTATTCTCATCAAACTTTCAAAGTTCTTTTTAATGTTTGAAGCAGTGTTACCCATGCAGACAGTCAGATAGCTATTGAACCCACTACAAAGTCAAACACAGCAGCAGCTCCTGGATGGAGTTTTGAGGTTGACCTCTTTTCTGATTCCTGTTCAGATCTGGGCCTGCTCATTGGTTGCTGGTTTGTTGCTCAATAGAGGGAGGCTTTACTGTCCGCGTGGACAGGTTCGTTCTTCCTCTTGTATGAGGGCTGAAAACACTGTTCTCTGTGACGGTGCCACATCAAAGAAAGGATTGGTTAGATTATGTGTTAAAAATGAGCCAAGTGTGTCTGAACACAGAAGCAGGGCTGCTGGTATTCTCACAAAACCAGAGTTTTAAGGCACTATCAGGGGTGTCTGGAAAGTTTGTACCCAGAGGCTGAAGGAGGAAGGTGTGTTAGGACATGCCAGGACAGGACAGGTAGGCAGTTAATGAATAGTATGCGCAGGAAGCTTTGCCCCGCCCCCCTAAACCCACCCTCTGTTCCTGATGCCTGTCATGTCTGCCCACCGCCCCTTGATTCACAGAGGTGTTACCCTAAAATGCCTGAAGGTTTTTTTTTTCTGTCTGCAATGTTTGGATGGATATTGTACTTGATGCAATGCAACTGGTACTGCAACTTTTGAAATGCTTTCAGAGTGAAGTATATGTTTGAAGCCAGGCCTGCATTTTAAAAATAGATTATTGATGTTTGTCTTTCATTGATTTATTGATATTTGTCTTCAGTTATTTTAGTTTCCAACTAGCTGTGTCATGTATCTACTCCTTTTTGTCCTGCTGTATGTGAGAAGTTGAGTCCACATTGAAATCTGACGAGCTGTCATTACTGTCATTTGGAATAATACACCCCTATTAATGAAAGGACAAAAATAATCTCAATAATCTTATGCTGATGTTAAACACCAGTAGTCTGTGGTACCTAGTTCAGGCAGGAACCGTGTCCTCAGATCTGTTGTTTATAGAGGGGTTTCAGCCTGAAATATTCTCTCCACTAACATGAGACAAATCAGAAACAGCTGTTTTTTTCCCTCAGGTCCTGCAACAAATACTGATGAATCTCACAGGTTGTTTTCTGTTTTAGCTGTTTTGGGATTGGTCTGATGGATTTTTTTAAGTTGTGCTTCCTTTGGGTTCCTGCTACCACTGGTGTAACATACAGGGAAAGTGCCAAAGGAGGGCTCCTTTAAGTGGCCGCTCCTGCAGTGTCTACAGTGTGGGGGGTATGGGTCACAGGCAGGCAGCACAGGACAGTGAGCTTCCAGTGTCAAAAGTTACTCCTAGCAAACATGTTGGTTTGCAAAGTTCATTAAAGGGGTGGGGGATCATGCTTTTCCACATTTACAACATAAATTTTAAAGTTACAAAGTTTGGTCACGAGATAAATGTATGTTGTCATAATCTTGTAAAATAGATGTAAACTGATCAAAACAGGAGCCTGCGAGAAATGTGAGACTTACCAAAATGCCTGTGTCAGCATTATAGGCTCTCCTCACTAGTTCACCTGTGCTTCCGGCAAAGCAGAACAGCCTGACTTCAACAGTGTGTGAGGTGACACCCACAGCAGAGTGGGGTAACGCTGCTCTACTGAATGACCACAGTAGAAATTAAACCAGAATGTTGATATGGACAGAATCTCTAGACTTTATGGGTTGAATAAAAACATGACTATTGCTTTTGAAAAGGTTTAAAACAACATCCAGGTGCACTCCTTAGGAATAGCTGCATTATCAAGCTAACAAATCAGTCTGTCTACTTCACTTAGTTTCTGTGGCCACAATCAGTATCTTTATATTCATTTCAACAATAGAACTCAATGCTCAATGTAATATTTAAATGATCATTCACATTGTTATTAGATTTATGTGACAGATAGGTGTTGGTACCTGCAGGGCATTTCTGCCTGACGCACCTCCGACGGTGCCTAGACTCCAACTGCAGGGTTGCGGCTGAGAGCCATCCTGGCCTCGCCCCTCTCCAGGTAGTGACCCTAGACTCTGCATGGCAGGGGCGTCCTCCTCCCTGAGCCAGGCTTGCACCTGACCGCATACCTGATGGTTGGGAAGCGAAGGTTGAAAACCTCATGGGCCGCTTCCATCGGGCCCACTTCAGCCAGTACAGAAGTACCAGCTGCAGGGTCATCAGCTAGGAGCCATCCTTCACTGATGTTTCGCCCCTTTGATCACCAGAACATCTCAGGATGGTGGGGCAGCGGTCAGGGACGTCTCCCCGCCACTCCCTGCAGCTGGACTTCGGCACTCAGGCTTACTGTGTGGCATCTCGATTCCCCCAACTCCTGTCTTTTCTTCTCAGCCAGAGCCAGAAACTTCCCTTTTCTGCTTCCTCTGAGAGATCCTGTAGGACCTTCCTGGCCTTTGCTGCTGTGAAGCCGATGTCCCTCAGGAAGCGGTTTGTTGAGAGGCCAGCATAGCCGCGGCAGCCAACTTCAACTGGATAGGTTGATGCTCTCCAGCCTTTCTCTTCACATTCTGCCACCAACTCTGCATAACGGGCCATTTTCCTCTCATACGCTTCCTGGATGTTCTGCTCCCAAGGGACCGTCAACTCGACTAACAGGACTCGCTTCTCAGTTGAGGACCACAGGACGATGTCGGGTCTCAGTGTGGTGGATAGATAGATGATAATATGAAAAAGGTAGAAGGTAGTATAACTCTGAGATCAAGAAATTATCAGCTTATCAAGCCTGAAGTCAAACCTCTTCATAACTCACGCCATATGGGAACCAGATGAAATCTGCTGCACCAGCTCAGCCCCGTCTCTCTGAGATGACTGTTTAATCAGCATGGTTTATGTTTGTCAAAAGTGAGCATTTCAAACTAAGTCTTAACTCAATCTAAAGCCGTTTGAACTCGAGTTTGTTTTTAAAATGACAAATGAGGAAGAGTTCCTGACACAGAAACTTTTCTTTCTTGATTAAAAACTTTTATTACTTCGATTAACACCTCAGTTTGATGGCAGAGATGGAGAGACTCTTAACTTAATAATTGAATGTTGTCATCCTCACAAGTTGACACCAGAATCTAGTTAGGTAAACATGTTACTCATGTTTAGATGATTGCAGGCTATATGTTGTGTCTAAGCAGTAGCACAGTCATGGTCACTAACTGGGGCTGGGGCAAAAAAAAATATGATGCTAAAATGTTCTTAACTATCCGGATGTAAACAAGTACAGATGACTGATGGGGTCTCGAGGCACAGCATCGTTTGGGGTTGTTATCATTTAAAGAAAGTAGACATTGAGTGATATGTTGGCTGAGGACTGAAGGTTGATTGGAAAAGATCTGATAACTAGGGTTGTTACAGTGAGAGAAACCTCCATGCAGTGGTTCAGGGTGCCTCAACACCGCTGTGTGTTTTCTTTTTGCAAAGGTGTGCCTATCTATCAGCTGTTAATTATTGGCGTCATTATTTAACAAGGGAGTTAATTGGATAAAAGATTATTCAATCCTTTTACGCTTGTTTCAGTTTATGTCAGCATCATTCATCATTTTGATATTACTTTACTGCAGGAGTATAGCTCAGCAGAAGATGACGCTGTCTGTGCTAAGGTGGAAAGAATGTGTCAGTCGTGAAGGACTTGGCTCATAAAATTAGCTCCAAGAGTGGTTTTGGAGCCAAAGAGGGACAGTTTTTGTTGAGGTATATGATGTGGATCACTTAAAGGGGCCTTCCAGCAGGTAAGATGGATCTCAGACAACTTGAGCAGGATCATCAGGCCTTTGTAGATCTGCAGTAACCTGTGGCTCTTTATTTATATAATGCATTTGGATTAAAGCTGGGGTAGGCAGAATCTCAGAAGTGCCAGTTTTTGGGAGAAATTTTAAATGTAAACACTACCCCTCCCAAACAGTTTTCCCTCAGCTCATCCTCTCCCCTCCTTGGTGCTCCAGTAGGCCCTGCCCACAAACAGACGCTCACGCTCGTTCCGACTCCCCAGTAATTTACTACCAGACGAGTGAATTATTATTATCATTACCGATCACATCAGCAAAGACTTGCGCAACTTTTGTCACAACATAGTCAGCAGTAGTAATGGTGCATAAAAGATGACACATAAGATAAAATATAACATACATTTATAGGAAAAATAATATCCAAACAAAGTCCTCTTGGTCAAATGTACATCTTGTGGGGCCTTTATGGTGTTCAAATTCCTTGCTCTGGACTTTCTTTCATACAGTCTGTAGTACCTGAAATGAAGAGAAGGAGAGTGTGGTATGAAGATACGACTCTGTCTAAAATATCTGTTGTACATATTTACTTTATCTGTAAACTTTCCAAGTTGCTTCATCATTCAACAACACCACTACGCAGGCTTTTTTAAAACAACAATGATGCTTCCAATTAAATTCAGATATAATAAAGATATATACTTCAGGTAATTACAAAGGGGCCCAGTCAACATTAAAGTAGATAGCATTGGTGCTACTGTAGATGCCAACAGACTACCATGCAGACACTGGTGACTGTAGGTGTGCAATATGACCAAAATGTCACGTCCTACAACCTCTTCTCTTCAATACAACGGCACCTGTACGCCGGCCACTACTTGAAGCTTGAAGCCGATGTTATACCGCACTTGTGTCCATCTCTGAAACGCTGCTCCAATATTCACCCGTGTTTTGTTTCGTTTATTGTCAGATTCTCTTTTAGAAATGTCAGTCCCTCATTTTTTGGCCTGCTTTTTAGTGTAGGCAGTTGTTGCCAATACAGGAATAGGTACTTGTTCTCTCCGACTATCTGTCATTGTGACCTGGATTGTGCAAACGCAGACGCGCATCAGCATTCACTTATAGACTTTCTCAACCGTGATTGGCTGACACCTAACGTTACGGTACAGATTTTCTCAAGCCTGTTCACAAAGCCAGGAGGAGAGGCAGAAGTGTGATCTCTCAGATCATTTCAAATCCAATACGTTGAAAGGTTATGAATTTTTTGCAAAATTATAAAAAAAAATTATTCTGACTACTGTACCTTTAAGTCTACTACTAGATTTGTAACATGGGGACTCTCAACAAACACAATCTACTACCAGCCTGCTCACTATATCCCAAAGCACACAGAGGCAGGTAAATTCAATGCAATTCAAATTCAGTTCAAAATGCTTTGTTCCAAGGGCAAAGAAAAGGTCATAGAGCAGCGGTATAAAAAGAGCAGAAGAAGCATGAAAAAGGATTGCTATCACACTAAAAGCCTTCTGTTGGTTTGAGCCGTGTTTCCCTTGCAAATCTGAAGTGTAACGTGAACCATAGGCTAAGATAGGGTTGACTCGGAAAAGTAAACTTTGGTTTTGTACCGGATTTTTCCAACCCTACATGTAGATCAAAATCAGTACTGGCCAGGTGATGGTGGTGCACTGGAGTGTGTTAAAGTGTAAGGTGTTCATTATCGTTTGACATGAGGAGAGCAAAGGATCATCTTCAAATGCAGCAGACTCCAGCAGACCACTGACACCCACTACAACTTCAACATCTAATTTAAAGAACAGCTATACATCAGATCATCTCAACAAAAAGAGGAAATGTAGAAGCTTCCTGAAAGTTGAATTTCTGGAAGTGCTTTTGTCTTTGGTTGCAGTATGTTTCTCAGTTACTTCGCTGGCTTTTGGTGATTAAATGTAAGTCTGAGTGTTACAGAAAAAAATGGGCTTATTGGGACTGCAGTTCTCAGACAAAAAAAAACTGATCAAGTCAAGAACAAATGATCTCCCAAGTTTTTCTGTAGACTATTCCAGCTCTGACAGCCTTTTTATGTGCACATGGTGGCCAGAATCCAAGTGTCCTTTGTCCATATGCTTTAATTTCACCTGATACAACTTGATCCTTTACCTTAGCCTCAAACTGGAACACAAGTTGAAGCCTGAATAGAAGCTGCTGGATTGCAGTGAGGGCAGTTTGCATTGAGGCATGCATTTGCACACACCCATGCAGCATTACTGTGTTAACCAACTCAAGGTAGCTCATGATACTTTGAACCCTGACCAGAGCAGATTTATGACGTTCTTTGTCTGAAGCAGTGCCAAACCCTAAATAAGTAATAATCATCATCATCATCATCATCATCATCATCATCATCATCATAATCATAATCATCATCCTTGAAGGTTATCCTATAAAGTTAGAAAAGAAGTACTGTACATTCACCTCCTTATTATTTGGGGTCATGTCAAGACGCTGCAAGGACAACATAAAGAGACCCACAAACAAATGTAGGATAACATGATCTGCATAAGTACATTTACCTTTTTACTGTGCAGTTACTACTAAACAGGTAACAAATGGACTCTTTTGTATTCTTCATTTTGAAAGGCTCTGGTTTTTCAAAGACCTCTGTGATCCCATCAGTTTTCTCATCAGATCTCTCACAGATCTCAGTGTAAATGTACCACATCATGAGGTTTCCATCATAGATATCAGGTCTTAATGTAGAGAAAGGGACGGCGTTTTATGTCTCAGTTCTTAATTTAGTGCTGACTTGTCTGGCGTGTTAAGGCTTCAGTGTTTAGAATGAATAGTTGGTATCAGTTATTGTTCTAATTAAGAAACTCAGTTCACCAACATGTTTTCTTTCACCACCACCACCACCACCCCCCCCCCCCCCCCCCCCCCCTCTCAATCTTTGTCTCTCAGGAGTTTCTGGATTTGTCTCTGAAGATTCTTTTGGTCTGCGCTGTTTTAGAGGTGAGACTTTCTCTCTAAACAGCAGACATAAACAGGACTTATGGTGGGCATAGTGATCATTGTTGTGCACAAATGCTAACCACCTAAAAACTGACAGGTGAAAAGGGAGAGGCACTGTTCCAAATCACTCTAAAATAAAATCGCAAGTATTCTTCACCCTTTTGAAGGACATTATAAAAGAAGCTTAGAAGACTGAAGTGTTTGTTCAACCTGCAGTCTGTGTAAAAGTGTGAGCAGAAAATGAGCAAAAACCTTCAGTTTTAATAACAGTGTAAACATACTTTCTTACAAGTGAGATCTGGCATTGAATGTAGTAAGTATTATCACCAAAGTGAAGCCAAAGCTCTGAAAGAGAAGAAAAAAATGAGCCCATGGTTCTTCAGTAGCTGTACACATGATTCTTTAAAAACTCCTATCATGCAGACAGACAGGCATGCTCGTACCACGTACTCTGCTTTTCTGAATGAGTTAAATATTTTAAGAGTGTTAAAGTTGTGTAAATGTGTGTGTCAGTAAAGTTAATTTTTTAAGTGTGTGCGTTTCCTCTTTCTGAATCATAATCCCTTCTGACGTATCCTTCTCCCTTCTTCATCCTTTCCCTCACCCCCTCCTCTCCTTTTGTCCTCTTATTCTCCTCTAGGTGTCTTTTTCTGGGATGTTGACTCTAGGTGGCCAGAGGGGGTTTGGCCCCATAGTTCAGGCCACCACAACAGAAACTCCCACCGTTGAGGGACTACGCCACCGTCAACAAGTAGACACATGTACACGTGGAGACACCCTCAGAGCTGCGTGAGGAGAATACTCTTGGAGCACGTCAGGCTGAACTTTTGATTGGATTTTAGGGTCCCAACTGGTCCTCGCACAGATATCACATGTGTTGGTGTTAGATTTTAATTCAGCCAACCTCCTCTTGTCTTTTCTTGAACCTCTTGATCGTCAGCATTTCAGTCATTAAAAAAGCCACCACCCTTCCCTCTGTCCATCTTTGTTTCTGTCCCCCACAGAGCTATAAGTAAGAGCAGGTAATGGACGATGTTGGCCATGGTCACCTAGTGTAAATGGCTATTCCCAAGCAAAGCTCAGTGCCAGCATCTACTGCTCAAATTTCCACTTCCACTCCCTCCTCCTCCTCTCACCCCTTCTCCACCTCTCTGCCTTCCTCTCCCGTTCGCTGCTGCTGCTGCTGCTGCTGCTTGCTGCCCAGTCTCGCCTCCCCCCTACAACACCATGGTAGGTGCAGGCTTGGGTGTGTGGAAGCTAATGAGAGGTGTCCGCCAGCTGGAGCTTCACCGCCTCATCCTGGCCCTCATCATCTTCTGCTTGCTATCCATGGCCTTCTTAGCTTACTATGTCTCCAACAGCCCCAAAATCAAGGAGGCCCCTCCTTTACCCTTCAGTGACTGTGGTGGTGGAGGGGGGATGTCCCTGGGAGCAAGTACTGGGACTGATGGGGGAGGGCCAGGTGTCCAGAGGGCCCCACTGTTCCTCCCCCCACGACAGGGACGACTACGACAGGTCAAGGCTATGGACAATTCAAGGACACAGCCTGTAGTACTGGTCTTTGTAGAGAGTATCTACTCCCAGCTGGGCCAGGAGATCGTAGCCATATTAGAGTCCAGCCGCTTCCGGTACCGGACAGAGATTGCTCCTGGTAAAGGTGACATGCCCACATTGACAGAGCACAACCGTGGACGCTACACTCTGATCATCTATGAAAACGTGTTAAAATATGTCAACCTGGATGCATGGAACCGGGACTTACTGGACAAGTACTGTGCAGAGTATGGGGTGGGTGTCATTGGTTTCTTCAAAGCCAATGAAAACTCTCTCCTCAGTGCACAGCTCAAAGGTTTCCCCCTCTTTCTACATTCACACTTGGGACTCAGGGACTACCATATCAACCCCAATGCCCCCTTACTCTACATCACGAAGCCCAACCAGGTAGAGCAGGGCTCTTTACCCGGGGATGACTGGACTGTTTTCCAGTCCAACCACTCCACCTATGAACCAGTCCTTTTGGCCAGCACCAAGTCGTCTGAGGCGCTGGGCCATTTTGGACCCGGCTCTTTGCGGACCCTGTATGCCACAGTGGTCCAGGACTTGGGCCTTCACGATGGGATTCAAAGGGTTCTCTTTGGAAACAATCTGAACTACTGGCTACACAAGCTGGTGTTTGTGGACGCCATTGCCTACCTGACAGGGAAGAGACTGTGCCTGTCCTTGGACCGCCATATACTTGTGGATATAGATGATATCTTTGTGGGCAAAGAGGGAACCCGAATGAAGGTCTCAGATGTGGAGGTGGGTGAGAGCACAAATAAACATTTAAAGACATATTTACATTTATAGACATACAGCACCTCCATATACAGACATTCACGCTTCAGCTGCCTGTCAGTCAAACAAACTGTGTTATATGTGTATGGAGCCTAACTGATACAGAGATTTGAAGTGATACCGGTTTTAGAGGGGAAATGTTATTGATCACAAATATGTCACTTCATAACTTCAATTCTAAACCTAGAGCTACAAAAACAAATCACTTCCTTTGACTCTCTTATAAAGAGTAATGATGGTCTCTTTCTCATCCTTCCACAGGCGTTGCTCAACACTCAAAACAAGCTGCGAGCTCTGGTGCCTAATTTCACCTTCAATTTAGGATTTTCTGGAAAGTTCTACCACACAGGTATGAAACATTTGACTCTGCTGTATGAACCAAATTGTATTGATATGACAAAAAATGTGTCTATTTTAGTCAACAAATATAAATCAAAGCTCTGAAGCTGTATTGTGCTGTTTTGAAGTGTAAATGTCCAAATCACTGCAACATGTCAAAAATAAGGGGGAGTCTCCAGTCCCTAGTCTTAATGCAGTTCTTTAAAACAAAGCCTTTATGGTTAGTATGCATGATGGACATGAGAGAAAGACGCTTTATTCTAATAATTCTCCACTGCCTGGCTTTCATGTGGACCTCAAAGGTTTCTTCAGACAGTAGGTAAAGGCTGACTTGACTGACTGACTGACTGACAGACAGATGAACTGCAGCTGTAGGTGAGGAGACTAAAGATTAACCAAAAGTTATTAAAGTGAGCCTATCCAGCATGACAGCCAGTATGCCCATGGCTCTGGGTGTAGGTACTTAAAAAAGAGTTTCTCAAAAGAGAGTCCAATTAAAGTAGCAATGAAACTCAAATACAAGCATAATGAGGCTTAAAGCAGAACCAGCATGGAAAGTTTGTTTTTTTTTAAAGTTCATTTTTCTTCTACTTCTTCAATTATTTTGTATTTATTTATTTATTGTCATTTTTAAGGGACTGATGAGGAGGATCGGGGAGATGACATGCTGTTGCAACACAGGATGGACTTCTGGTGGTTTCCTCACATGTGGAGCCACATGCAGCCTCACCTCTTTCACAACGTCAGTGTTTTGGCGGAGCAGATGAGGCTAAACAAGATCTTTGCTCAGGTTAGTGACACTGATTCACCTCAGACATGCTCAGTGTCTCTGTGTGTTTTATCTTTCTGACATTTGCATTGCTATTTGGAGCGTAAACAAGTGTCAAGTCATTTAAATTTGATGAATGAAGGGTATTTTTCTTTTTTCATGTGTAACAGATTTGTAAGAGTACCATACTGGGCCAAAAACTCTAAATATTGTAATCATAACATCAGTGCACACCTTCATTTAGGTCACACATCTCCATGTCTAACATCTCCTTACCAGTCTACCATGCTTTACTGTATTCTCTCCTGCATTCACTCCAGGAGCATGGCATCCCAACAGATATGGGCTATGCAGTGGCACCACACCACTCGGGCGTCTATCCCGTCCACAGCCAGCTGTATGAGGCCTGGAAGTCTGTGTGGGGCATCAAGGTGACCAGCACTGAGGAATATCCACATCTGAGGCCAGCTCGATATCGTCGTGGCTTCATCCACAATGGGATCCAGGTTAGACCAGAGTCCCTGAGCAGTTACTTACAGAATATTTGATGCTGATACAAATTTTATCTACACTACAAATGTTCAAACTTTGGCTAAGTTTGTGGACTTGGTGAGACAAAAACTCCCTGGTGAAGTTTGGTTTTGGTCTTACTTGATTTGTCTATACCACGACATCACACAGCTTTTGTCCACCAACCTTTATAGAAACTAGCCAGAGTGTTGGCTGTGTGATGTTCTGCTGTATTTAGTTTCTGATGGAGAGAACTTCGACTGTGAATCTGTTGTCATGAGATTAGTCTTCTTCACTTCTGGAGCAGAAACAAAAACCAAAATTAAGAAGAACTTGAAGATTTGGGACACCCACAAAATCTTACCAAAATATTACAAAAACCAAACACTGTGTTCTCAACATTTATAAACACGGCCCAATTTAGCTGCATGACTCAGTCACAAAATCCCCAGTGTGGCCACCGTGATGCTGTAGATCAGCTGTTCCTGTTCCTGGTGCAATGTGCAGCTGGCTTAACCCCAATTTATTACTAATAATTAATGAATTTAACTAGACTGTGCTTATAGCAGACATCTTCTTCCTGTTCATTCTTTCACACTGACATTATTTTATTGTTTTACCCAAGAGCATCTGACTTGTGGACTAGAGGAGCTGAAGATCAGATCACAGATCTTCAAATGAACACACACCATCCCTACAACAATCTGACAACATTCAAAATGAGAAAAGGGCAATGTGCTAACAAAGACCGGGTCTAGATTCAGTCAGCACAATCCAGTTTAAGGGTTAGATCATTGTTTTACTTAAAGCTGGTCTTTGTTTGTGTGAAAAGACTTCATCTTGGGTAGAGTTGAAACTCAAACAAATGGTCTGTGGGCTTGTCTCTGCTGTTGTGTACTGTATCATCTGAGACTGGTGACTGTCTGATGGTGTTAAAGCTGCTGGAAGCAGTGACCAACATACCAGAGTTTTATTTCAATCAGCCGTTTAGTGAAAGTAGACTGACAGCTCAGTCATCAGGGTGGCTGTGGTCAACAGCAGAGTCAATTGTCTGACAGCTGGAAGTTTGGCCGGTGGATTCTCCAGCTCCTGCAATCCACCTCTTTGTTTCAGTCCATTGAAGTGTTCTCAGATAAGACACTGAACCTGACTCGCTCCCAGTGGCTCAACCAGCTGTGTGAGTGAAAATAGTCAGCACTGATTGGATCCTTGATAAGCAGTTCCAGCCATCAGTGTGTGAATGGGCAAAGGTGACGTGGTGTAAAAGCACTGTTTGAGTCCATTTACCGTTTGCTTCCTCTTCAGTGCAAAGCCTTCTTTACAGTCTGATTCACAGTTTGAAGAGAGAAAAGAACAGATTAATTAAGAACAGACTGTTTGCATGAAGGTGATTTCAGACAAAAATCAAAGCTCTGGGTTGTTTAGCATCACAGCTTTTATTATTCAATCCATCAGTGGCCTCAGAGTCTATTTTTGAACAATTTAAAACCTCATCAATGAGTAAAAATGGAGACAACAATGATAACCAAAGAAACACAGGAATATAACTGGAACAACTGGTGTTCTGTTTGTGTATTTTAGGTGTTGCCCAGGCAGACGTGTGGTCTCTTCACTCATACCATCTTCTACAATGAATATCCAGGAGGCTCCAAGGAGCTTGACAAGAGCATCAGAGGAGGAGAACTCTTTCTCACTGTCCTTCTAAACCCTGTAAGAAAACCTCACATACACTGAAGTTGAAAAATGAGCATCTGGGACTTGACTTGTCAGCTCTGAGACCAAACTCACCTGAGACTGAGTGTCCAAAATGTAAATGAAACTTGCAGGTTATTACCAAGTATGAGGCAAAGCTGTACAGTAGACCACCACATCTCCAATACCTAAAGCACACCTTCAAGAGAGTATCTGAGGGTCAGCTTGGTTTCTGTCTGTATCCGTTAAAGTCTGAAAAAACTTTTGTTGGTTTTCAACACAATGAATCAAAGAACTGTATCAAAAACAACAACTTCATAACCTAAAATAAAGTTCTCGTCAAACTGTCCAAGTCTGCTAACAAAAGCTGACAGTTCAGCTCAGTTCAGGTTTTTTTTTTTTTTTTTTTCAACTGGTTAGCTTCTTTAAGTCCAACCCTTAAGGCTGAAACATACAGGATCCATATTTAGCACGTATTGGCAGCGTTGTGTATCACGCAACAAATAGGTTGTCATTCTAATCAATGCAGCAAAGCATACAGGACGTGTATCAGCTCTGTTGCAGCATCGTATCAGAAGTCTACCGAGAGCAGCACTGCTTAAGATTGGCGACAAGTCTATTTTTACTGCTCTCCACTTCCAATGCGCGTCAATCTACACAGAGAAGATCGTTCTAGACAGGAAGTCAAGTACGAAAACCACGCATGTCATCTAGTTTATTTCAAAATAAAACCGTATGCAAACTCTCGACTGTGTATCAGTTTGTGCAGATGAGAAATACTTCCTGGTTATGTATTAGTAACACAGAACAATCCAACGGTCAATCCCTAATCCATATGGACCCCAACAGGACTTTTAACTGTTAACTCTGTCTAAAGGTAACAACACAGCATAAAGGAACATTGTTTACTTTATTACACACTAGTTAACCTGCAAAAACCCAAACTGTAAAATCATGTTGCTTCTTCACATACAGTAGAGGCTCAACAGTCACTGAATCACTATATCCACATTAACAGGAAATAGACAACCGAAAGGCAAAACGACCTCTATACTGAGTCCAGCTGACCAGGGCTGCACTACGCTGCTGCTACGCTCCAAACATGCATCCTGTATGCAATACCCAGGGCTGCTCTGTGTTTTTGGATGTACTCTTTATTATTTATTATCTCTGGCTGAAGTGCTGACACTTGATGTAGTAAGGTCACATTCAGCACTGAACGTAGTTTTAATGTAACTGAATGGAGACGTGACCAAATCAAACTCAAGAGCTCACAAAGAAAAAGGGAGTGTACTTGGTATAGTGTCCTTAGTGTCCACAACAACACACATACAAATGCTTAATCTGCATCTGTGACTTGTCATTTTTCATAAAGTGGAAGTTTTTGGTCTGAGCGTTGAAGGAGGTAAAAAAGGATTTCATATTTGAGTTCATGTTTAGGTTCATATTTCTTGTTAGTTGAATTTTCTGCTTTGACAGCTCCTTCAACGAATCAGCTAACTAAACTGTCCCCTCTCAATCCAGATCAGTATCTTTATGACCCACCTCTCCAACTATGGGAACGATCGTCTGGGTCTGTACACCTTTGAGTCTCTGGTGAAGTTTGTCCAGTGTTGGACCAACCTCAGGCTGCAGACATTGCCCCCTGTCCAGCTCGCTGAGAAATACTTTCAGATCTTCCCTGAGGAGAGAGACCCACTTTGGCAGGTAAGTATTTTTTTCTGTCTTAAAGTATCTCATAAAACCTGTTGATCATTTTTATGCTGAACTTCTGCAAAACTTGGGCTCACCCACTTGGTCTATTTGAACACAGATTTGGTTAAAAGTGAAAATTGCCTCCTTATCTTTTAGAACCCTTGTCATGACAAGAGACACAAAGATATCTGGTCAAAGGAAAAGACCTGTGACCGGCTACCCAAGTTCCTCGTTATTGGACCACAGAAAACAGGTAACAATCTTCCTGCTTCCTGATATTTCTTTCAAATTGTTTCAACATCTCTCTCTTTTTGTCGTGACTAATCTTTGCTTTCTTCTTACAGGCACTACAGCACTTCATTCATTCCTGAGCCTCCACCCAGCAATCACCAGCTCCTTCCCCAGCCCCACCACCTTTGAGGAGATCCAGTTCTTTAGTGGAGCAAACTATGACAATGGGATTGACTGGTAAAGACAGGACTGTACTTCAATACTCGGCTACAGCCTTGTCATATCATGGCTCACATGTTTCTTTTTCTGAGTGTATTTATGATTTAGATGTCCATTTCTTCACTCCTTTTCATTGTTTCAGTGCTATTGAGGGCTGACAGGTCTGTCAAGATACAGTTAAGATCAAGTGTTCAAGTGTTAGGCTACTCAGCTGTCTTCTGCTCTTGTACAATGGGCCGCAAATTGATCAACTAACACACCTGTTCTGGGAAAACTGGAGGACAAAATGCAGTGATCAAGGTTAGGTACTTTAGCTTTGTGTTCCCTCTCTGTGCCTCCCTGCTGAAGCGCAGTAGATGCAAGTTAATTTCAGGGACACTGAACCTCCAACAGCTGCCAGGACAAATATACCCACTCAAGTCTAAATGGATAATTGATTAACTGAAAAACAGTGCCCTAACGCTGTTAACTCTGCTGCTTTGGAGCCCAAACTTCCTAACAACAGTCTTAAAGACCTGGTTTGACCAGTTAAGAGTCCAGAAGCCCAATCCAACCCAAACCTGTCACTCTGCTGTTTGCTCAAAGAGCTTATGTAGCTAAGGAGCAAAGATCTGCTGCCAAGGGCCTCTCCACACTAGAGGGTGCTCATACTTGTGCTCATATTTCTTAATGACCAGCTTCTTTCTGTGATCAGAGGAGGAATCTGTTTGACATGGAGTCTCTTAAACTGGCAGATGTCACAGATGGAAGTCTTTTTAAATGGAATGAATTTCAGTGTGAGATACTCAACTGTGCAGAGATTTATGTTTTCATTTCTTGGCTAACAAGCTCACTGGTGCTTTGTTTGATTTGTGTTCTCCTCAGGTACATGGACTTTTTTCCATTCCCTTCCAATGTCAGCACAGATTTCATGTTTGAAAAGAGCGCCAATTACTTTGACACAGAGGCGGCTCCAAAAAGAGCTGCGGCACTGCTTCCCAGAGCCAAAGTTCTAGCAGTGCTAATCAACCCATCCGATCGGGCTTATTCCTGGTACCAGGTGAGAAATAAGATCATCTTCTCAGCTAATGAAGTCTGAACATAGTCAGCTTGGTGTCAAGGTCTTCTATAAAACTACATTTTATTAATTAAAACAATGTAATCAAGAAACACCTGAGCAAGAATTCAATCCTAATCCCTGTCTTTACGAACATGTCTGGACATGCATCATCCATGATCATTCACACTCCAGACACCCATATGCTGGTATAAATAGGATCCCACAGTTTGTCAAACTGAAATGTGGACAGCAGCGTTTCTACAACTGTCCTTCTGTTGGGCTAAAAGTGAACAAGTTTAGTTTTAAACCTGTTTTACAGCCTCAGACTGCATTGTTTACAAGTTTCTACAAATGCAATGAAACAGTGTTTTGTTTCCAACCACAGCACCAGAGGGCCCACCAGGACCCTGCAGCCCTTAACAACACCTTCCATGCTGTGGTGACAGCAGGCCCCTCAGCCTCTAGGGATCTGCTGGTCCTTCAGAGACGCTGCCTGAATCCTGGGGTCTATGCCACTCACCTTGAGCGGTGGCTGCAACATTATCAGCCCAGCCAGGTAAGACTCACACATACACACAAACAACCCACAGCTGCTAACACACACTGGAGGAAGGAGGTTGACATTAATATGGTCCACTTCACAATGACATAAAAGCTAATGCTGATAATAAAATAATATAGAATAAAGTAAGAAGTACTCCACCATGACAGGGATGGTATAAATCACTGAGGTCTACAGACTGAAACAGAAGTTCCTTGTGAGAGTTGAACAATCAATTCTTTTTCTGACTGTTAATCAAAACAAATCAATGAACACTGATGAGCCCACTGATCCAGACCCTGACAGTCAGCTGTCGCTACAGTCTTATTTACTGGGAGGCTTTCAGAAAGTATAAAACCAACAACATTTCTGTCTGTGCAGGCTCAAAATCATCCAAGTTCACTCACTCATCAGCTTGTTATTATTAATCATAAGATTTGACTGAGTGGACCGCTGCACCAGTGCTGTGGTGTCTGTCATGCTCTCGACATTTTGCCCCCTACAGTCCAGTGAGTTATAACACTGCGGGTACAAACCCCAACTGCACATTGTTTAAAACGAAAGTTACGTATGTAACTACGGTTCTATGAATCCCGAATGACCGCCAGAGGCGGTGCTTTAAGCACTGAATATTCCCCTCGCGCATCCGTAGTTCGAGTGTTTATACCAAAATAGTCACCTGTGACCCCCGAATGACCCGGTAGGAGTCTATATCTGTGGGAGTCAGCAGGTAATTAGTCCCTACAGAATTTTCTCGCGAAACACAAGGATTCTGAGTGACCCAGTGCTCTGGCGGTCATTCGGGATTCATAGAACCGTAGTTACATACGTAACTTTCGTTCTATTTCATCCCTACTGACCGCCAGAGGCGGTGCTTTAAGCACTGAATGACTCATGCCAACATAGTCACGAAGAATCCTGATTACAAACCTTAACAGGTAGAATCGGACTCCGGGCACAGGACCACCCCCATTGGGTGGGGAGTGGTGACGTTCACCCTATAGAATCTAGCAAATGTGCTTGCTGATGCCCATGAAGCAGCGGCACAAATATCCCCTAGGGGCACGCCCTTCAGGGCGGCCCATGATGTGGCAACGCTCCTGGTGGAGTGGCACTGTGTGCCCGCTGGTACAGGCTGGTTGTCAGCTTCTTAGGCCTGGCTAATAGTCTCTACTATCCAGTGGGACAGGCGCTGCTTTGAGAGCGCGTGACCCTTATTAGGGCCCAAGTGGCTGAGGAATAGCTGCTCAGAACGCCGAATACGTTTAGTAGCCCTGATATAGGCCCTCAGAGCCCTCACTGGGCAGAGCAACTCCATCCTGCCTGTCTCTCCTGGTGGAGCAGTAAACTGAGCCAGCTGTATAGGCTGGTTGAGGTGCGACGCAGACAACACTTTGGGGAGGAAAGCATGTTTGACCGCAAAGTGACCCCTGACCCGTCTGAGTTCCACCTCAGACATGAGTCGCTCACTGACAAGGCGTGAAGCTCACCAACGCGCCTGGCTGACACAATGGCCAGAAGGAAGGCTGCCTTGAATGACAGCCACTTGAGCGCCGCCCGTGCCAAAGGCTCATAGGGAGGCCCGCATAGGGAATCAAGTACAATCTTAAGGTCCCACACCGGCACTCTCGGGGCTCTTGGTGGATGCAACCTCCAAGCCCCCCTGAGGAATTGGGACACCAGGCTGTGACTCCCTACTGTGGCATTATCGACCTTAACATGTTGACAGGATATGGCCGCCACGTAGACCTTTAAAGTTCAAGGGGATCGGCCCCTACCTTGGAGTGATTGTAGAAACTCCAGAATTGTTGGGAGAGAACAGCGCACTGTATCCTCGCTGCGATCATTACACCAGTTTCCAGCGGTTGGCATATTGCAGCCTGGTGGATTGAGCTCTTGCGTTCAGAATGGTGTGCTGAACAGCATCTGAGCAGCTGCTCAGCAGCGGTTCGGGCCCTCCAGCAGCCAGACACATAATTTGAGGCGTTGGGGGTTGGGATGCCAGACCCGCCCCCCTAGCTGCGAGAGCAGGTCTCTCCTGTCGGGAGGCGCCATGACCTCCCGTGACAGAGTCGGTGGAGCAGAGGGAACCACGTCCTCCCCGGCCAGAAAGGCGCTATTAGCAGGATGGTGTGACCTTCCTGAAGGACCCTCTGAAGAACGGGCCGGACAAGTGGAAGAGGTGGAAACGCGTAGAGCAGTGCCCATGGCCATGGGTGAGCCAGTGCATCCTGACACAGAGGACTGGTTGTCTCTCCTAGAGAGAACCACAGGGGGCAGTGCGTCGAAGCCTCTGAGGCGAAGAGGTCCACCTCTGCCCTGCCGAAGCGACCCCAGATGTGCTGCACTACTTCTGAATGGAGACACCACTCTCCCGGAGGAGGTTTCTGACGAGAGAGGAAGTCTGCCAGTCTGGGGTCACGATCTCCCTGCGGGATGGAATGGATCCCATAGGGACACCCCCTGAGATAAAGGCCCTGTCCCTCCAACAGGCCAGGGCGAGGAGACATTACTGTGACACCCTTATTCTCCTGTGCCTGTGCCGCTCTGCATCTAAATGAAAGCTGTTGAGCCATCTCTGCAGAGGGCGCAACCGCAGCAACCCCAGCGGAACAACAGCCGCAACGGAGGTCAGTTTGCCCAGGAGGCGAAGGTACATGACGTACGGTAGATACCTGCCTTCCTGAAAAGTGAGGAGGAGTTTTACGATGTCGTCCATCCGGCGGGTGGACGGACAAGCTGTCATGGTCTGCGTGTGCAAGGCCAGGCCGATAAATGTTGCGGTCTGAGAAGGTTGGAGACAACTCTTTTCCATGTTTACCTTCAGCCCCAGACTGAATACATGAGACAGGAGATGCCTCGTCCGTGTTTCGACCTCTTCCCTGGATGGAGCGCATACCAGCCAATCGTCCAGGTATGGCAGGATCTTCACCCCCAGTGCTTGCAGTGGTGACAGTGCCGCTGCCACACATCTGGTGAACACCCTTGGGGAGAGGGAGAGGCCGAAAGGAAGCACCCTGAACTGCCAATGCCTTCCGCGATACGCAAACCGCAGGAACCGGCGGTGTTGATGGGCAATGGGGACATGGAAGTAGGCATCCTTTAGATCCACGGACGTGAACCACTCCCCAGGTGCCACAGACTGCAGTATGTCTGATGTCGTCAACATGTGGAACGGTATAACTTTTAAATATCTGTTGAGTCCCCTGAGGTCTAGGACGGGGCGGCATCCCCCGGTCTTCTTTGCTATTATAAAATAAGTTGAATAGAACCCCCCGGGTTGAGACAGGGGGTCCACGGGCTCGATGGTGCCCTTGGCCAGGAGGGAGGATAACTCCTGGTCCAGTATGGTGGCTTTTGCCGGGTCGCCGATGACTGTTGTTTTGACCCGGCCGGTTGCAGGGGGCCGACGTCGGAATTGAAGCTTGTACCCGTGGGTCAGGGTGGAAACAACCCAAGGGTCCGAAGCTTGAGCAGCCCAGTACTTGAACTGCTGATGGGAAAAATATCCGACGGCCGGCCCCGTGGCTTCAGTACTTGGGCCCTCGGCCCCTCGGGGGCCTGGGGGGGGGGGGGGGGGGGGCGTCCAGGGTTTGGGGAACGAAAGTGCCTGGAGGGCCCAGGAGGCAAGGAGTCTGGAACCCGAGGGTCGCGGGTCTGACCCTGCACAGGGCGCTGGGAACGGCGCTGGCCGCTGGAGTAGGCTGGTGTTGGCGTGCTAACCTGTGGGGCATTTGAGCGTCCCCTGCCCCTGCCCTGTTTGGGGGAGGCATGCGTCGCAGGCCCGCAAGCTGCTGCCTTGTCTGCCCCGCCTGGATTGTTCTCTCCAGCGCCTCCTGCGCAGCTGGGCCGAATTGGGTTCCTGGCTCCACTGGGAGAGCACGCAGGGTTCTTCTGGTCTTCTCCGTCAGGGGTGACTGCGACAGCCAGACCTGGCGTTGAGCCTGGACAAGGTAAGACATCATTCGTCCGAGCTCCCGTGAATGTGGCCAAAGGCCTTCAAGGACGCATCGCAGAAGTTACTGCTGTCTCCGGCTTCCCCGGCTGCTTTGCCTCCTGGACCTGCATCGTCCCCATGCAGGGAAGCTGAGAGGGCCAACATCAGGTGTGAAAGAGAGTTACCTATGCGACCAGCACGTGCCCCCGAGTCATAGGCTCTGACTAAAAGGTCATCTGTCTGCCTGCACTGGGGCCGAGGGCACCTTGCGTCCTGACGCAGCGACTCATCTGGTGACACGATGAGTGATGCGATCCCCGGCTCGATAGCTGGCATTTTGTCCAGACCCACCGATGTTGCGTCGTGCATCGCCGCCAGGGCCCGGGCATCGGCTGACAGACTGGTGCCAGCCTTTGAGTCTATCCAGCTGGCCTGTAGCTCCCTCAGAAAGTCCTCTGAGTGGGGGACGGTAAAGGATGTAGGAGGCGGCCTGCGCCTGAAAAAGGCGCTTGCAGGAGCTGATCTGGCCTGCTGTGGCGCTGCCACATTCAGCTGCTCCAGGGCCGTGCGCAGTATGTCGCGCATAGATGAGTCCTCTGTCACGGCCAGTGAGCTGTAGCTTGAGAAGTGGGAGGCCATCGAGGTCTGGGAGGTACTGCTTTCTCCATCTTCCTCAAGCTCGCAGAAATGTGTGGCTGACGCTGCCAGGGAAAGAGCATCCTCTTCCCGGGCTAGATGTGGCATCGGCGGGGTGGGAGCCTCCTCCAACGGGGACTCGGGCCGGTGGGCCTGGGCCATAAGCAAAGCCTTCATCTGTGCCAATTCGGCCGACAGCTGATCCACTTTAGAGGTCAGATTGCGGTCGGGCTTACTCTTCTTTGAAGGGGGTGCGGCATGAGCAGTAGTGGCCTCAGCCCGGCTGCTAGACCTTCTAGACTGGGTTGAAGCCTCAGCCCGCCTCTTCGAGCGTCTGGTCTGGCCTGATGAGAGCTCGCCCGTATCTTCCACTTCTGCCAGCCTGGCAGCCCTCACCACGTAGGGCATGTAGGTGCAATTCATACAGGCATCGTCGCCGAGTGCGTCCCTCAGATGAGCAACACCGAGGCATCTGGGGCAGAGGTCATGGCCATCATCTGGCTCGAGAGGAGCCTCACAGGAGGAACAAGGGTGTGGGCGCTCCATGGCTTCCCTGGTTCCTCTATATCAGCGAGGCACAGTGCACGGTCACACCTGTTGGCTTCGCTAGCCGTAAGCCCGAGGGAGGGAGCGCGCACGCTACCTATGCAGGCAGAGGCTGTTTGTGGGTGGGTCTGTATACAACCAGCCGGAGGGAGGCAGCGCTAACGCTACCTGTACCTGCAGAGGCTGTTTGGTGGTGGGTCTATGTTCAACTTACCGGAGGGAGGGAGCGCGAACGCTACCTGTGCCAGCAGAGGTTGACAAGGAAAAATCGTATCAAAAACCAAATATGAAAATAGAATAATTAAAGTAAGCTATGAGCTGATAGTCAGCTATCCAGCAGGGACCATAAACTGGGGAGAGTGGTGCTTACACCCCCTGCCAGTAGAGGCCGTTGTTGTCACGGAGTCAAGAAATTTTAATGAATGGTACGGACTTTACTTTAAGTTAAGTACAATTACTATATCATACACAATATACTCAGCTAATCAGCCCAAAAAACAAGCCTTGACAACAACAGAAGAAAAAAACTAGCCCAAGGAAAAGCTTCCCACAGCTGCCAAGCTACTAGTAGCGGCTGAGGAGCAGCTAACGCTAGATGCCGGGAGGAGGGAGCGCGTAGCTGCCTACTCACAGGGCAAGAACAACGAAAAGAGTGCTACACAAAATAGCAACTGAGCCAGAGGCTAAAAAGGCTCCCTATCGACTTTCGGAGCGTTAGTTGAAAGAAAAAGACGCTCGACCACCGAGCTAAAGCCTCACGCTGGCTGAAAACT